AGCAGACTATAGCTGTTAGATCTGATTTAATACTGCCTATTCTGCAGATCAGTTAGATCACATTGGAGGAACAGGAAAGCTAATCAAACTAGCTATTGTTATACATTCTTGCCGTGTTGCCAACTAATAATCTTGATCTAAGCTAATAACTGAGAAATGAACGTGGTACTCTTTTTTTCTGGTGATACCCTGGGGGCTGTCTGCACCCGTGTTTCTGAACAGTTTCGGTCAAAGCACTTTTGCTTGACTCTCCTCCTGGAGGTGGAGGTCAATGCAAATCACCACAAAATGATTCTGAGTGACGGTGGCAGATGTTGCGTCTGATGCCATTCAACAATCTTTTAGAAAAGACCGGGGCTGTCCTGTGTCACTGTGTGTGTGTGTGTGTGTGTGTGTGTGTGTGTGTGTGTGTGTGTGGCTCCTCTCTCTGCCCTTGAGCCTTTATCAAGTCTTCTAATTATTTTATTATGCAAATGAGTCGCCATTATTTCATTAGCGAGGCAGCCAATCACAGAAGCTGATTAGGAAGTGATTAGCATGCAGTCGGTTTCTGTCTCTCTCTCTGTGTCCTTGTGAATGGAGAGGAGGGGGCCAATAATGACCCATCTGGACACACACTCGTGCATATAGTTGGAAAATTGTTGAAGGGATTTGTTATACAATATAATACAGTTAACACATGCAGGGAGACACAGTAAAAATACACACTGGAACCCGTGTTAAGTGCTTATAATCGATTTTTATTTTGTAACGACGTGTCCAATGACTATGTAAGACAAAGTTACAACATTTGGGCAGGACATGGCTCATTACTAAGTCTTTTTCCCCAGCAGAGGTAAAATAATAGTTCAAGTTCTGCTCTTCTCATTATTGGCAACAATGATTAACTGTCTGATGCATGTGTCTGTTGGTGTGTGTGTTGGTTTAAGTTGGCAGGACATTGAGGAAAGGGAGAAGTGTTAACTGAGAACGTGGGCGAGCTAGCGTGAGGTTTGTGTGGATGTGTGTGTGTGCACAGTTTCACACATATTTGGTTTCTGCAGACCCCCCTTTTCAGCAGACACACACAAACACACAGCTACTTTGTTTAGTATGTTAGCAACTGAAAGCAGTGAGAATGTCTATCAGAGGTGCACAAACAAAAACAGAGGAATGCTGCACGATTGAGAAATGTTCTTTTAAACCAGTCAGTAAAGCGGAATTTAAAACAAGGACATGTTTTTCTTCCCTGCTAAGCCAAGGCAAAATACCCCTTCTACCACGGCACTGTGTCAGAGCTGAGTGGAACTCTGTGTGTGTATGTACACAGTTAAAAGCTCACAGCACATATTTTAAACACTGTGGGTTTAAATCCAATGTTGTTGTGTATACTGCTTTCAAAAGCAGAAATTCCGGAAAAAAAAGCTTTGGAACTAAATGGAGCTTCTGTATGTATTCTGTAGCTTCAGCAAGGTTAAACAAGGCCAAACAAATGCTGTAACAGGCAAACCAAGGCTAAGTACTTCTGCAATGTCAAAACAGCTTATCACTTCAAGAAAACACTCTTTTCAGGCTTTACACTGAACTGATACTCACAAATACATAAGTGGTATCACATTTTAATTTCCAGCCACCAGTAGCAGCAGTGTTGCCAACAGTATAATACCAACTGTTTTTTTTCTCTTACTTTAAATTACATAAGACTGACTGCAAAAGGAAGTTTTTCCTCGGCACAGTCTGTGTGACAGTTTATCTTTGAATGCCCACCATCCATTCAGCACCAGCTTCACATTAAATTTCAGCGCTTTAGCAATCAAACTTAATATACTGATGCACGACAGGTGCTTGTCTTATCTCGTCATATATTTCAAACAAATCAACGACCATATTCATTAAACAATCAGGGCTAGTATTAAACATCCTCACCTTGTTAATTAAACTTGAACATCATCTTTACTGAACAGTCTGAATGACTGAGCCATTTGGAGGTCATTTTGGAACAAAGATACTTTAATTGCACCAATACTCTTACAAAGAGTACCTCTGTGCGTGAGGTCACGTCCACAACCCATCAGGAGAATGTGTGTAGATGGTAATGAAAGCCATTGCTTCCATGCCCATTGAGACATTTGTGGTATTAGACGTTGTCCTGGCTTCAAGTACAGAAAATATGTTTTTTGAATTTTTCTGTACATAACTCACTTCCTCTACTCCTGATATCATCACAGTCACATGCACGCAGATTGCAGCTCTGCAAAGCCATCAAAAAGTTGCATATATGCATCACAGTCACATCAGACTATTTATTATTAAAGCGAAAACAATTACTGAGAGATTACATAATACAGAATTATTCAAACAAACATGAAAACCAGCATGACACTAGAAACTGGTTGCCCAGTTTTAACTATCTACAGTTGGGAGGTCATTTTCTGTACTAAGAAAAAAGGACATTATTTTATCCTTTCTGTATTAGAGCTGCAATAATTAGTCAATGAATGCATTAGTTGTCAACTATTATGATAATCGATTAATTGTTGTGAGTTATTTTTCAAGAAAAAATAGTTTCTTTAGACCTCTATGACTGAATAAACGGATAAACTGGATATCTTGAACAAAACAAGACATTTGAGGACATCACTTTAGGTCTTGGGAAACAGTGAGCAATATTTTTCACCATTTTCTGACATTTTATGGACCAGACTACTTTTTATTAATCCTAGCCCTATTCTGTATACAAGCGGTTGGTAAAAGAAAACATACTTATCTTCTGTTTTTCGATACTCATTATTAAAATGTCATATATGTGATATTCAGCTCAGAGTGTATAACTGTGTAGCAGTTTGTCTCCTATTTTTTCATACATACCAGTTTGTTGCACTTCCATATAGATGCACCCCAGAGTTACACACTTTGCTCTTTTAACCCATGCAGAGAGAACTACCCGGCAGCAAGATGTAAACTGACACACACACTGTGGGAGACAGGAAGTCATGTCGTTTTTACAAACACACACATACACACACACATACGTTCATCAGCATTTGTTAGACACCAGTAGAAGTTATTTTGATTCTGTGCATTCAAGTTGAGTTTATAATACAATGGTTTGGAGTAGGAAATGTTTGTTGTCGTGCTGTACTTCGTGCCCTCTACATGTTCCAGCATTTTCTCACATTATGACCGGAGGTAACTCGCTGTGACAAAGACTTAATTGAATTGAATGGGAGAGAACTCAATTGCACGAAGAGAGGCTGATTTAAAGAATGACGCCGAGAGGAATGTGATCCAGTGCATCTCTGAGGCTGTGAGTCACAGCCAGCCATACAGCCGGCAGCCGAAGACAGTCGCTTAGTTTGATGTTAACTTGTTTCTCCTCCGGCGGCGGCTGTCACCTCTTGGTATCCCTCTGTAGCAGCAGCTCAGATCAGTGGGGTATCTGAGGGCCTGTCGTTCTGCTCTCCATCACAGCCGCCGCAGCTCGCTCTAGGACACAGGTAGCAAAGTTGTACCGCTAACTGAATGCTAGGAGATTTATGTTGCTGGCAGTGCTGGTTGCTGATAGTGCTTCATGGTGGCTTGTGCTCGTACACCTTCTTTCTTAGCGGTTTCTTTGTAGTTGTGGATATTGTGTGAGCATTTTTTGTATCCAGGCTTTGTAGCTCATGCATGACTTCCACTTTAAAGGTGCTACTGCACAAGAAAGTTCCACAATGAAAATTATACATTTCACAAGAAAGAAAAAGAAATGACAATGTTGGGTTATGTTCTTGTTTAGCCAAACTTTTCAGTACTATCTCCAACTTCAATTGTTCAACATTGTTCTTACTAATTTTGGCATCAAGACTTAGAGTGACCTATATTTTCCTTTGAAAATTTGATGTGGCCAACAAGATCAGTCCTTTCAACTATGCTGGTTCCACTATAAAATTGATATTGTAATAAACGATTGATTATCGTCTTGGGTTTGAATATTTTAATTAGAGCTGAAGTATTTTTTTATGCAAAAGATCCACAAAATCACTGGTTCCAACTTCTGTTTTGGACAGTCAAAGTAAAACATCTGAAGACATCGTGGAAATTGTGAGGGGTGACATTTTATAAACCAAATATTAAATCAGTCTAGTGAAAACAATTAGTTGCAGCCCTAAGTATAATGTTGAGATTAAATGTAGTCTTTTCTGCTTCTTTAAGGATGCATTACAGTTAAGTGATAACATTTTCTGAGCTTATTTGCTATTGCTCAATGGGGAAAGGGAATAATAAGGCACAAATAATGATCCTGACATTATATTGTCAATATTATCCAGTTTTTATTCCCATTCATCTAGTATATGTACTGTGTAAGTGTATTATAATCATTATCATAAAACTATACAGAAGATTTTATCCATATCACCCACTCCTTCTTAGGCCAATGTCAAGAGGGGCACAGAGGACACATCTCTGTGACCACTAACCACCAGTGACTTGAATCAGATGGCACTGTGGCTTTTCTTAGCCATATCTCTCCTAGCCATTTTATTAACACAAGCCATGCATCACTTGTAGGTCAATGAATCAGATAGCAGTATGCTATTTCTATCAGCAATATTGCCAGTACAAGCCACATATCATTGCAAGTTGATTATCTCAGTTAGCCGTCAGGGACAAGTGGCGTCTCTCTGTATTAGAGCGACTTCCTGTTTAGGCGGGGCCACAGGCGGCCAGCTCACACATGGTTATCCCGAGGCCGTGGTGATGGGCTCAGATGATCAGCTTGAAGGCCCTGATGGTTGAGTCAGAGGTGATCCTGACTGGCCTTGAGTGATGACTGTTGGAGCTCAGACTCCTGGTGGTTTATTAATGAGCTGAGACAGGCACGCAGAAAGACAACATACAGGAAAAGAATGAAAAGTTTACTGGATAAGACAAGAGAGGAATTCATGTTGCATTAAAAATAGTTAGATTTGTTTAATTCAGTCAATCATCATTGATCCGTATGACGTGAACCAAACTGTGTTGTGTTTCTTTCTCTGCAGGGAGCTGTACGTTTGATGAGGGCTTCTCTCAGTGTGATTACCAGCAGGATCCCTATGATGACTTTGACTGGACGCACATCAACACCCAGGAAGTGCCATACGTCTCACCAGACCTGCCACAAGGTGAGACTTCACTTCAGTTCTTCTGTCTTTGTCACCTCACAGTTGGGGAAAGTAGCTAAATACATTTACTCAAGTACAATTTAGAGGCACTTTACTTGAGTTTTTCCATTTTATACTGCTATTCCCTTCTACACTACATTTGACTGTTTATTCCACTGCATTCATTTGACAGGTGTATTTATTAGGTACTTTTCAGTTATCATAAAACAAGATGTGATAAGCATATAAAATACAATATAATGTTAAATATTAAACCCGTGGCTCCCAACCTTGTGACCCCTTATAAAAAAACATTGTCTAGTTGGCCTCTTGTCATGTTTCAGATGTCTATGAGCAGTTCTACCAAAGAGATATTTCACCTCTAAACTTCTGTGATGGTTTAATTTTAATAACTGCTTGAGTACAAGTTTGTGTAGTAGAACTTTGTTTTTGTTTTTTTCCCCCCATTAATCATTTCACAACCCTCTAGATGTATTTTGTGACCCTCTGCAGGGGGTCCCACTCCTAGGTTTGGAACCACTTGACTAAACTTCTAAGCTATATATAAAGTAGTCTAAACTAGCTGCACCTCGTCCAGCTACAGCAGTAGAATGTTTTTTACACACTGATGGAGAGGATTAAGTATTAACAATCTAATCATGCAATATATATCAGTCACAGGGGCCATTTGTCTGCAGAACCAGGACTTTTCGATACTTTAAGTACATTTTGAACATACTGGTATATTTCTACTTAAAGGTTATACTTGGATGGAGTATTTTTACATTGTTATATTTGTACTTTTACTTAAAATAAAGGATCTGAGTACTCCTTCCTTTGCTCTCCTCTCCTCTCCTCTCCTCTCCTCTTTAATCAGTTGTTTTTTTCTCCATGATGATGATGAAGGGGAAATTAAATCTTTCTGCCTCAGGGCTGAGGGTCTAATTAACAGAATATGAGGTCATTAATCAACGGCAGGGAACAGGGAAGGTTGCCTACTTTACAATGTTAAAAGCAAAATGTTATAACAATAACCAGCTATGCAATGTTGAGACAGTAACTGGCTTTACAAAATTAAAACCACAGAGTAAGAATGTTGACTGATGGATGAATAATGGCATTAACCACAGTGAAGAAACCATGTTAAAATGTCACAACCGTGCTTGAGTTTGCCTCTCCTCTCCTCTCCTCTCCTTTCCATTCCTCCAGATTAGTTTATTTTCCTCTTGTTTCCTTTCCTCTCCTCTTGTCTCCTCTCATCTTCTCTCCTTTCCTCTTGTCTCCTCTTCTTTACTCTTGTCTCTGATTCTTGTTTATTTTCCTCCTGTCTCCTTTCATCTCCTCTCCTCTCCTTTCCTTTCCTATTATCTTATCTCCTCTCCATACCTGTCCTCTCATCTCCATTTGTCTCTTTTCCTCTGATTTCTCCTCTTATTTGCTCTCTCTTCCTCTTGTTCCCCTCATCTCATGTCTTCCCCTCTTGCCTCCATTCATCTTGTATCCTTTTGTCTCCCTTCCTCTCATCTCTTCTCCTCTTGTTTCCTTTTCTCTCTCCTCTTCTATCCTCCCTGCCTTATAGTCTCCTTTCCTTTCCCCCTTATCTCCTTCCCCCTTATCTCATCTCCCCTTATCTCCCCTCCTCTCCTTCTCTGTTGTGGAAGATTATGACTTTGTTGCCATGACAATGTGATGCCATTATTTATCTCTCATGCTTATCATCACGACAACCCAGCCTCGCTGACATTTAGAGAAAGGTTCAGTTCAACACCAGCTCTTTATGATTTTCACACAAAACACACATTTCTTCCCAAAGTGTGTGTGTGTGTGTGTGTGTGTGTGTGTGTGTGTGTGTGTGTGTGTGTGCTTGTGGTCTTGCACTTGACAGGTGCGAGAGTGGGGTGCCTTGCCCAATGGTATAGAGCCAGAGTCTAGCATTTAGTGTCATTAATACCAAGTGGTGTCACTGTGCAGAGTGGGCAGAGCTGGCAGTTTGAAGAGGTTAAATACCTTGCCCAAGAGCGCAGAGGTAATGTCTGGCATTAGCATAGCATAACACCTGTAGAAGCTAGTGGGATGAGCAGGGGCACTGGGATGGCAGTGCAGGTTAATGGTTTGGAGATGTTGATTTGCTAAAGGGGGTTCAGAGCGTTGCCTGAAGGTGCGGGAGCATGAACTGACATTTGATGTGTTAATAATGCCAGCGGGGTGTGGGGCAGTGGTGCTGTTGATGGGAAATGAGGTTGCTGGGGGGTGGGTTACAGATACAGCACTTGGCTAGGTTTTGTATTTGGAGGAAGGAGTAGGGTGAGGGGATGAGTTGGTAGCTTTAATGCCTTGCCAAGGGACACATTGGTAATGTCTATTATTAGAAGTGCTGTTTTCTCAGGCAATCAGTAATTTAGAAGCTGCAGTCTCCCCCGAGGCCATGTCATTCTTTAAAGCATAGGCACTAAACCTTTTTGACTTTTGACCCCTGAAAACAAAGAGATACCTACCCTCTTTGTTTAAGTGGGGTTGTTAAGAGTGTTTGGCCTCTCGGAGACCTTCGGGAGTGAGTTCATTTAGCTGATTAGTTGTTCAGAGTGTTATATATTGTCAAAGGTACTGGCAGAAGAAAAGAAGTCATCTAAGGGCTTTACGCAGAATGGTTTTAGAGTCATTGGTTAGCTCAGCCAACAAGTATACTTTTGTTCCTTATAACCCACATTGATTTGTCACAGTTGCTAATCACCATTTATGCTCAAGGCAGTATTGAGTGTGGAGGGATGGTTTGGCAGTTTTTATAATAGAGATAAAACTATTCTATGTAATCTCTCTGGGGGTTGATGTTGGCACTAGCCACCGTGGCAGGGTCTAGATGCTACGCTGGCAACGTGCACTGTGCCAGTTGAACATTCATGGGCTGGAGCTCTGTGGCTCAGTGGACTAAAGCAGATACTCTTGACTCATAATGTTGTCAGCCAGTACCACTCTAAAAAAAAACCCATTTGGCATGCCATTCTCTCTGTGTGTCTCTCTTTACTCTTGGTCCTGTTTCCACAGTGTACTGTCTAATAAGGGAGGAGAAAAAAGGGCATTTAAACTGCAAAAGAGCTGGTCTCTTGTCAACTGGATGTTTTGCTAATGAGTGAATGATGATAGATACAGCAACACCAACTGTACAGCCTTAAAATTACCATTCAATCAGACCTCTCTTACAGTCTCTGCAAGATTTGAACATTAAGGTTCACAAAATAAGTATTTGATGCATTGGATTCAGTTCAAATTAAACTGCAAATCCTAGATTTACTGTGTCTGTTGAGCATTTATATTAGGAAGGCACGTCAGTTTATTCACAGAGCAGTTCAATTGAAATGATTAGTTAATGAATCACGTTTTTAAATAATTTTCAAGAGAAAATGGCAAAAAAAATTTCCCTCCATTCCAGCTTCTCAAATGTGTATGATTACTTTTCTTTGTCTTAATGGAAAATATTTAGGTTTTGGGACTGTTGGTTGGACAAAACCAGACATTTAAAGATTTCACTGTGACAAATGATAAATTATAATTATAATAATCTGGAACACATTTAAAGCCCTTTTATGAGAAATCAGAAATAAAAAATAATAAAATAAATAATAAAAAAGGAATGATTATACATAACACTATAGAGTATTTATATTGGTAAATATAGTACCTACACAGTACGTGTTTATAGTGTATATATGAATTATAGACTTTCAAAGGTTGTATGCAAATGTTTTTGTACTTGCTGTGACTTCATTTCCCTGTGTGGGATCAATCTAATCCAATTATTTTTTATCTTATCTTCAATCATGCAGTCATATTAATGTTCAAAAACCAAAATTAAAAAAATAGATCTTAAAGACAGGTATATAAAAATACCAGTGAAATTAAAAGATTTAATACCGAGGGGGAAATGATTCTCCAGTCTGAAAGTACTGATCACCGTTGGACTTTTAGCTGGGAAGTGATGGCAGTGTTTGGTTAGTAAATGTTAGAGGCCTGATCATGGAATACAAGATGAGGAGACACAAGCAGCTTTGGTTCATGCTTTAAAAAAATAATTAAATAATCCTAAAACCAGTTCAGTGTTTGTGAACCACAACCATTATAGTACATTTCTTACCACCTTGTTTCTTTACTGTGCACCCACATGTATTTTTTATTGGTATTTTACTCTAGAATGTTAAATCAAAGAGCCTGTCAGGTATTTTGGATCCCACCTAAGATAGTTGGTACCATAAAAAGCAGAAAGTAAAACTCCCCCATTAGCTGTTATCCCAACAGTAGGCTGTTGCTGTTTTTGCTGAAAAATACTATCCTCCGTCTACCGCGCTGCTGCTGTTGTTGTTATGTGACATATCTAGGTCTTAAGACTGTCACAGGGGGTATTTTTAGCCTCATCGTTATATTATGTCGTCATTCTATTAGCGGCCATTTTAGACTTTGGCAGTTCAAAGACATCAGCCATTTTAGAAACTGGCAGACTTCAGGTGTCAGATGTTCTTGGCATTACAAGGTCTGCTTTCTTAGCATGGGTGTTGTATCAGTTTCATGTACTGTCAATCTTTTATTACTCATATTTCCCGATTATATTTTTGTCTCAGCTTAGGTGTTGTTATTGTTCTGTCTCTGAATTGCATTATTTCTAAAATATTATTGAGTATTATTTTAGTAACCACGCAGGGGTAACACTATAACATGTTGGACATTGCTGTGAGCCCTATTTACCAAATATTATTCAGTTATTTTTATGCATGCCTAATCCATTTGTTGTATTTTTCAGAAGGCAGCGTTATGATTAACTGTAGTGCTAAAGGTTATATTTTTGCCATGTGTGTTGTGACATATCTGGGTCTCTGACTGATAGGAGTATTTTTAGCTGGCACACCATCTTGGCAGCCATCTTAAAGGCACTTTTCTCATGTCACCATCTTAGTATCAGTGCCAAAAATGAAGGAATAGGAGTGACATCCATCGTGTGTTCATTTTGGATGGATTTAGATTACAGATTTGGTGATGGAGAATGAAGCTGGCCCAGTCTTGTGTCTGATCTGATTGGCTATAGTCCAGTTTGGATGTTCTCATTTTCTGTCTTGTTGGTGACATTCAGAACCAGGAAGTAGGATTATACTGCTATGGCTGAAATAGATGAGTGTTTGTGTGTGGAGGCAGTGGTGGGGTGGTAATGACAGAAAAAAAGAGAAAAGAGATCAAGAGAGAGGAAGGGCCAATCCAATAACGAGGATACAGTGTTTGGTTTTGAAAAGCTGATGTGTGTGGGTGCGTGCACGCTCATGTTTCGGGTGCACTATTTGAAAGCCTGTTATGTTGCTGCTGTATTCTGCAGAGAAAAGTGTTTTCTCACAGTAGATTAGCTAAACAATAAGTGATAATCACCATTGTCCTCCTGCTCATTGTATAGAACATATTGTGTATGGTATATTATGCAAATAGAATTTACCAGTTCGGATGGAGGGCTGTGTTTGTTTGACTGGAGCTCACTTATCGTGCTGTTGTTATATTGCTTTGTATTGTATTGTGTTCTATTCTAATCTATTCTACTAGTTCTGTTCGGTTTTGATTTGTTATATTTGACTCTATTCTCTCCTCTTCTATTTAGGGCTGCAGCTAACAATGTTATTGTTTCCATCACTGATTAACCTATCAATTATTATTTCAATGACTCGACTAATTGCTTAGTCTATAAAATGTCAAAAAATATCTATCACAGTTTCCCAGAGGCCACAGTGATATCTTCATATTGCTTGTTTAGTCCAACCAGCAGTCCAAAGCTCAAAGATATTCAACCTACAACGTTTTAAAACAGAGAAAGCCAGCAAAGTCTGACATCTCAGAAGCTAAAACCAGCACGTCTAGCATTTTCGCTTGAGAAATTACTTACATGAGTAATTGTTTTTCAAAGATTGATAAGCCAGTTAATCGACATATTGTTTAAGCTCTAGTTCAATTCAAATCTATTCCGTCCTTTGCTAAACATAGAATTAAACACCACCATGGCTACCTTCTCGCTGTGTGTGATGAGCTAATGTGAGATTAGACATCAGGCAGGAAAGGATCACATTTCATCATATTTCACTGAAACAACATCTGGTTGAGGTCTGAGCTGATTACTGGAACATCTGGATGGGCTGACTGACTGTCCTGTCAGCATACCCAGATTATGTTTTATTCCAGGCTCCATTTCCTGCAGTCAGCTACTATAGGTACAAGGTACAGTACTCAATATTGACAGTTGGCATAACAAAGTACCCAATGCCAGTTTTATCATCAGTAGTGACCTACGATCTACCATGGTATTGGAATAACAAAATTAATGTATTTATATTTAAATTCAGCAGAAAAAAGAGGAGGAACATAACCAGAACAACATAGGCCAGAGGATAGATATAAAAATTAATCATGTGACACTGCTGGGTAGTTGCAAGTAATAATATGTTGCAAACTGTGGAAATATTAAATAATGACGAGTGTGGTTAAGGAGCCTGTGCAAACTTCAGAAACTCAACATGTTGCTGCTTTGGTTAAGTTAAACAGGAAATAAAGAGAATGTGTAATTTCATAAGAACATCAAATGAGAAATATAAGAGAAAGAAGTAGCTTTTCTTTTCTTTTGTCTACTTTTTTCTTTTCAATTTCCTGTTTTTATTTGTCGTTGGCTTGCTGAGAAACAGCCTCAAAATCACAAAGGAGAAACAAATGATACAGTCGTAGGAACAGGGGTTTGTTTTATGTGTCTGCTGGAGGGGGGACTGATGACTGATTCTTGTACTGTAAGCCCAAAAGGAATGAGAGGAGAGAGAAACAGAAGCGAGTGAAAACATGCAAACATAAAGGGAAAGAATAAAAGCTCTTTGGGGGTTTTTGTTCCCATGACAAGAAAGTTGCTGCTTTAAAATGTCTCTGTCGAAGAGGGAAGGCCACAGTGGGCATCCTACTGTCGCGGGGATGGGAATTAAACCATAACATGAATCTCTGACAAAGTTGTCAATGTAGAATTGCAACCGAGCGAACGACTGAAGAGTGTGCAAGCACTCTGTCACACACACTGACAGTGCACATACAGCAAGAAGATGAACCATGACAGCGACATCTGAAAGCCTAATACTAACTATCAGAAAGATACATACGGTAAGCGGAGATTTAGATTCGAGATTCAGTGGTTTTTATTTGCCATATGCTCACTTCAGTGTCACAAAAGACAACAAAACCAACGTGCAATAAAGATAAAATCTAAATATTCACTAATTAAAGGGCCAGTTTAGGACAGTAATAAAATATAATATAAATGGAATATGATATTTTTTGGTATGTATATAGTATTCATAGGTATGTTTTCATCATTAGTGTATAATCACCTGATAATAAGAACCATTGCGTGTTTTCTACATTAAGCAGTTTTCGGACAAACGAGCTGTATTCAAATGATTGCAATCTGCAACTTCACCCCTAGATGTCACTAAATCAAGTGGCCTTTAAAAATGTGCCAGGGGAGGAGTTAAAAATAAATAAATACTATATAAAGTTATGTAAAGAAAAACTGAAAAACAAAGGGAATGAGGAGCTGTCTTTCTTAGCTGTTCATTCTTCTTCAATGTGGATTGTTTTTAAGACACACAGTAGCAGAAAAAGTCGGTCTACTCATGTAGGTACATGACACAGCCTACTCTTTGGCAAGTTCAGTCATAATACCCACTAACTACCTCCTCAGAGGGCACTATTGCTGGTCTGTTCAAGCAGTGAAATTCAGCAGGTATGTGGTGTACAAGCACAAACAGCTGCAAACAAGAATAAGCTGATTCATGGGTCTTGATTCAGGTCAGATTCACAAACACTGAACCCGATCTACCTGGAATTTTATGTGATGTTGCTTTTTTTATATCTTTATCTCTCTGTTTCCAGGTTCCTACATGTATGTGGACGTCTCTCAGTACGATGTTGGGGAGAAGGCCAGGTTTCAGCTGCCAGTCATGAAGGAGAATGACACTCACTGTATCGACTTCAACTATCTTCTCACTAGCCCTGACGGCTCCAGCCCGGGCACCCTCAACGTCCTGGTGAAGGTAATAAGAATAAACACAGGAGAGAACAGAATATGATAGAGGTTCTGGTTAAGTTTATATGGTATAACCTGCCCAGTAAACAATCTGTCCTTCACCTTGTTAGTTTTGAGACATAAACACCATTACTGTTAACAAACAAGACAATCTGAATGCCTTAACTGACCTTTGTATAGCAGTTTATACTGTGTGAGGTAAGGTTTGATTTCATGAGACACAAGCTGGTTTGCATTATTTTATTATTTTACTCCACAAGGCCACAATAGCCTCTTTAGTTAAAACAAAACAGGATTTATGGGAATTGTGGTCTGGATTTTGTGAAACACAACCCAAAGCTATGAAGCTAGCATGCAATAGCGGCTGCTGCCTGCCTTGCCATAACCAAGAGTTTGTGTAAGGTTACCTAATTAAGCATAAACTTTACATTTTACAATAAAACATTGACTTTTCAAATCAGTCTTTGTGCTTAGATTGATGATACAAAATGACGTCATTTTGTTGGACATCTATGATGTACAAAGTGTGGAGGACAGACTCAAGATGAGCATATCCTAAATTACCCAAAAACGACATCCGCTCCTTTTCAGTTGTTTCCACAGCACTCCTGTCTTTTCATCCCCTCTCTTCTCATCCTGAGTTTTATTACAATTTGTGGAAGTGGTTAGAAAACACATTAGCGGAAGATTGCCATTTTACTGGTTCTAACATTTCTTGGTCTTGAGCAGCAGGGGAGCATTATGAGTAGGGAGAGTGTCCTTCAATTTAATGGCTCAAAGTTAAACCCACATTGCTGTAGACATCCTCCCTGCAAAACAGCTACCAGCCTAAAGGGTGACCTCTGACCTCCTTTTTGACAGGGACAAGCTCCAAAACATGATTTACAGTATATTATAATCTATTATTATTTCCTTTTTTTTTACAAATCAATATTTTTTTGTTTAATTGAAAACATTGTAGAATTACTCATCAGCCATCAGGGAATGCTAATTTTGTGCCTGATATGTTTTACATTGTGCTCTTTGTTATTTCTAGGTAAACAAGGGTCCACTGGCCAACCCAATATGGAACGTGACGTCATACACTGGTAAAGACTGGCTCAGAGCACCCCTCAGACTCTCATTTCATAACTGATTCTGACACAGTTTGTGATTTGTTTATTTGCTAAATGTTGTAATGTTGTCTCTCAGGTAAAGACTGGCTGAGAGCCGAACTCGCCGTCTCCACCTTTTGGCCCAATGAATATCAGGTAACTCCTTAAATAACAACCAACGGCCGTGTTCATGCATGAATTCTTTATCATGTACACATGTCCATATTTCCACTTCATGTGACTACACAAATACCGCACAGAAATACACACACATGCTGTGAGGCAGGCAGCTGATTTATTTGTGTTGACTGAGGCTCAGGAGGTGACGATTAGGCTAGAAAGACACTGACACACACTATGTATGTATGTGCACGTGTGTTTGCATGCATGGGGTGTGTCACCATGCTGGACATTGACATTATTATTATTTTTAATAAACACCTGCCTGACACACTCTCAACACCTAAACATTATGAGATTCACAGAGGTAGAAATAATTGCAGGACTGTCGAAGTGGATTCATTCTACTACACGTGTGTTTGTATGTTTCTTCTTCTTTAAATTATGACAGTCAGCGTGTGCATGTTGTATGATAGCTTGTCTCCGAATGTCCTGGCAGGCATAGACACACACACACACCGATCATGTTAACACACACAGCCTGGGGACCCTATAATATTACTGTAAGGCGAAGTGTGAAAGCATCCTCCAAATGGCCCATCTGGAGCCCAAATGGCCCTCAGTGACTATGGGAGGAGATCACCAGCATGAAACTCGTGTGTCAACATGTTTTAATTGAACATAATCATCCTGCTTTGCTGAGGCTTATGTAGGTTTTTCAGGCCATGAAACAGGTTATTAGATTTGAGGTTATGAATCTATTTTTTCATGTTCAAACATGTTTCTGTGTTAGCACTTTAGCTTGAGTTGTAATGAGACTGGTTTCACAGGGGAAGACTAGGCTCATGCAGACTCATGTAGTCACGCACACTCACACAAGAATTGATGCGCACACAAAATGCACACAAACGCCTAAGTAGCAGTATTTAAGTAGAGGTGGGTGCTTTCAATTGATGAGTTTCTTGTCTATCACTGGACTGCAATACAGTTAACCGACCTCAGATGTTCATTAATCAGTTGATTCATTTATTAGTCGATTGACAGTAAATTAATCTGAAAATATTTTGATAATTGATGAATTATTAATTTCATTCAGTTCACATTTCATAGAACAGTTCACATTGAATCGATAATAAAAAATCATCACGAGTTACAACCCTTTCCTTATTTTTTTATGAATTTCTGGCACTGGCAAGATTGTTTTTGTTTTCTATCACTATTATAAACCTCACTGTTGTTTTGTTCCAATAAGCCTTGGGTTGTATAAGTACAACCTTCTGATAATGAAGTTAAATTGCAATGTGTTTAGAGACAGCAGGTGCGTAGACGTGGCTGACATTTGCCATGACTGAGAGGATTCCAACTATGAACGCTCCTTGCCTGCTGATTTAGACATTTTTGATTCAGTGCCCATACACGCATACATCAAAGTGATATATGTGATTGGTTGATAAGAGGATGTACGCTATCGTCCATCCCCACTCTGGAGTGATTATGTGTCAGTCCTCAGCCTTCAGCGTTGCAGAGTTGCTTTGCTCATGTTAGAACTTGTGAACCCAAGCTATCAGTAATCCTGCCTCTCACTGATGACACCAGTCAGTCAGTAAGTTTGACACCTGCATGATCGAAATACTATCCCCTCAGAGATGACCAGCATTTGATCCACGAATCACAAAATAGAAAGGGTTTCATTTGATCATTAAATTCTACAAGGAAACAAAATGTGCAATGACTTGCATCCACCCTCGGCATTGTGGAAATAATTTAACATCCACTTTTTCAAATGCATAATCATTAACAGAGCAATAGACTTGAGTCTTGGACTTGACTGCTGTGAAACATGACTCACTTGTGATTTCACTGCCAAAAGATTTGGCTTGAGATTTGAAAACAACAACAAAAACCAATTCAAATCTCAAGTTCATATTATATTAAATTAATGATTAAGAGTCCCTGAGTAATGAAAATAAAAAGACAGCCACAGGCAGGCGTTGCAATGCCACACTGTTGATGTCATTTATTAAAAAAAAAGTTTGAACAACGTGTCAACAACACATAATTTGTTAGAATTGAATTGAAAGCAACCTACATAACCTAGTCCTAAAATGTGTTGTTGTAGTTGTGTCCCGCTTATACACTGTGAAGTTGAATATGTCATTAATGAATACATTTTTAATTTCGTATTTGTTAGAAAGTTTGTTTCTAAATAAAAGTCACAGCTCTAATCGACGCAGCTTGAAAGTGAAACATTAAGAATACTTATTTTGGTCTCAGGTGTAATAAAACACACATTTAAATGTTTTTACACTTGTTAAAAGACAATAATTATTCAAATGAATTGTCATTATATTGCAAATATAATAAGGTATTATTTGCTTATGGCTTGGACTTTGGGCTCTCAGGGGTTTTAGTCTTAGATTTGACACATTTGTTGGACTTGAGTTAAAAACAACTCTTATTTTATTAATAAGTTCATGAAGTGGACGTCTCAGACATATTAAACTCACTAATTTTCACACATACATGTCCACACAAAGGGAAGGAAGTCCTTATGTCATGTTATGGCTACCAAAGCAAACATGGTTATAATAACAAGCAACGATTAGCAGACAGGCAAGCCGGTCTTCACACAGACAGAGATGAAGGTATTAAAAGTCAACTGATGTCTTTCTGCTGTGCTCTGCAGTGAGCTATGAGTGAAAGATGATAGGAGAGAGAGACAAGATAGATTGGTAGGGGAGGGAGACAGAGGGGGAGAGTGTGACAAGCAGGGGATGATAAGCTATGGGTAAACAGTTCACGGCAGATTTCCTCCTACAGGTGATGAATGACAACAACTGCTCACCCCCTCACTCTGTTTCTCCCTCTGTCTCTCTTTTTTTGATAGCAACCTCCTCTCCTCCCTCCTCTCCTCTGTTCATTACAGAGCTCCACTCTGAGTAAACACTGTTAGAAAACAGAGACGGCAGAATATAGGGGAGAGAAATGGTTAGAAAGAGGACTGATAGAAGAAATAAAGAGTGGAGGGAGGGCTAACATATGGACAGGGAGGATGGTGAAGAAGACATAAATGAGGATGAGGAGGGAAGTTATTCAGACCATGAGTTTATGAACTGAGATGGTGGTAAATGGAAGCAACTGTTGAATGAAATAACACTCATAATATAAAATGTATTGAAGCAGGTGGAAACAACAAATATCTTTTAAATATTAAATATATTAAACATAAATCAAAACTAAGGTTTATATTTTCATCATTCCATTAAAGATAAAGAGATGCCTCATTATTCCTACTATGGTTTCTGTGTGTTGACATACAGATAAATTAACTCAACCAGAAATTGAAGTAAATAAAACTAATAGACATATTAACATTCTAATGTTTAGTGTAGGTGTGTAGATAACATATAGGTTACATTGTTCAACATCTTTGTTAAGCGCGTTAGCATGATGGTATTTAGACAATTGATGCTGATGGAATTTAGTTTTTTATTATATATTTGGAAAAGTATTGGATGCCAGAGCTCTGGGGAACATGAACGTTTGTATACAGTTTTATGGAAATCAGTCCAATATTTCAGTCTGGACCAAAGTGTTGGATTGTCGAGATTGCTATCCATAGAGCCAATATCGCTAGCGTGGCTAAATAAAATCTATTTCCACATGTATTCTTTTTTGTCATTTTCACTCTTTAAACTAATAACATCAACATTAGTGCATTGCTAATGGAAAGCACACTTGTTTAAAAAGCCAGCAAATCAAGAAAAGAGGCAGCAAGAGAATGAGGAAAAGACACAGGGATGGGATGTGAAAGAAAAACAAATACATTCTCTCATTCTCTACCTTACCACGCTTGGTTTCATTACTTATTATCATTTTTGTGGCAGCCATTTTATGTGTACCAAAGGAGATTACTATGATCCAACAGGAAGTATCTCATTTATCCTTCCTGGCTTGTTGGCCAGAATGTATAAATCTAGCAGTCAGGATGGCAGCTTTGTATTTATCCAGTTTAATGCACACCACTGGCGGTTGTCACCGACTTTCTATCTATCCTGTGACAACTTAGATTGGATCCATCACTTTGACAGCAAATTTAAATGGCAGTAGTCATACTTCCAGTGCACTCAGAATGCATCTAAAACTCAGTTCAGAGGCACTGTTTCTGATTTAGTAACAATACTAAAGAGGGTTTATGATTTGTTAACGGTGCCATAGAGGGTTTGTGATGTGGAAGCAGAGCATTTGCAGCTTATGTAAGTTTTAGTTTTCTCCTAGGAACAGCATCGCCAATGTTTTCGCTGTTTTATTTTGTTTTTCTCTGCATTTCGTATGCTTGACCTGTTCCATTTAATAATACTTTAATTAAGTAATCCTTATTTTGAAAAATACATTTAGCAGAAATTGGATCAAATAAAACAACAAACAAATTGAAAGGGTAAATTAAAAACAGAATAATATTTGATGCTCTCATTTATTTAGAATGTTTTATACTCTTTAAACTGTAATTGTTTTGTGGAAACTCTGTTGTTTAAATAAAGGATTAGTAAAAGATGCTCTATAATATTCATAATAATGAAGAAAATAAGAGATCAATCTCTCTCTCTCTTTTCTCAGGTCATATTCGAAGCAGAAGTTTCGGACAGCAAAGCCGGCTTCATCGCCATTGACGACATTCAGGTGCTCAGCTACCCATGCGGTGAGTCATTAGCATGCCAGCAATTAGTCCTAGTTCGCTGAATAGACGCTGATAGCTTTGGCCACTAATTAGACTGTACCTGGGATGGTTTCTGTTGCAGTTGAATGGGCAGATAAGTGGGAAGGTGACACAGGAGAGGAGGGATGCAGCGAGAAGAGAAAGACAAGTCGTAGAGAAAAATGAGAGAAATAAAAAGGGAGAGAGAGATTGTAAGAGGGAGAAACAGAGAGAAAGAGGGAATAGGAGAGAGTGAAGCGGGAAATGAGACAGTATTAGGGCAATCATAGAGAGAGAAGATTCTGACCACTCAGCACTTTCTCTTTCTCTCTTTAACCCACATGCGCACACAAAGTTGCACATACACACACACACACACACACACACACACACACACACACAGAGCGAACAGTAGCTGTGTTGTCTCATACTGACAGGAAAGAGATGAGGACTGCGATCCATTTTAAATTCTCGCTACGTCCAAGTCTTCTTCTCTCCTTTGCTTGAGTGTTTCCTTACTTCTAGAGGCCAAAAAAAAAAGAGTTGTGACGACAAACTGTTACTGTTAATGGAAGGATTTGTTCATCTAGAGCCAAAGGCACGCTCCTGGAGGGTCCCTGTGTTGGAAAGGAAGCAATTACAACTCCTTTTGGTCATCTGTCTAGTAGCAGCAGGACAATTTTGTTTCTTAATAGATTCTATCGATTACAAGTCATAAAAATAAACTGTCTTGCACCATCCTCTTGTGCAGTTTGTGAGGTCCTTGTTGTCCCTGTCTGTCAGAAGTCAGCGATATGTCTGCAAGAAATTTCTAAACATTAATTTAGTCAATAAAGTGACCTGAAATCTGAGAAAATATAAGGGCCCCGGTCTTTTAAATGCAGAGGAGAAGGACTCCTAATAGGAAGGAGCAAGTATTTGCAAAGGAATTAGTACTCCACAGTGGAAGCATTCATTCTCACAGCTGCATTTCTGGACACACACAAGTTTGTGTGTGTGTGTGAGTGTTTGCATGAATGCATGCGTGCAAGCTACTGTGTGTGTGTGTGTTTTCATTCACTATAGTAGCTGCTATCTATGATTGCAATCACCTCCCCAGAATAAAAATGTCATAGCTGAACTGCATCTTCAGGGTCGAAAAAGGCTTATTTCATATCTTAGCATGATAGTTAAGACTTGGGAGCTATGTGAATTATATATACCGGATGTGTCATTGATGTTACCTTCCAGTGGCAATGCAGTACTGTGCTTTGGTTTCATCTGACTCCAGTAAAATCGAATCGCTGTAATAATGAACATATTCCTTAGGGTTAGTCTTTTTGTGATAACCTGATCCATAACTCCCTGTGGCTCTGTCACCTCATTTCCACCTTTAACAGACAAATAAAATGAAACCAAAAGCATTTTAAAATACAAATACATATAACCTCGCTGTAAACTCAATCTAATTGTCTTCATGCTTGACTTCATTTGCCGCAGATAAGTCCCCACATTTCCTGCGTCTCGGGGACGTGGAGGTGAACGCCGGACAAAACGCCACTTTTCAGTGTATCGCTACAGGACGAGACACGTCGAACAATAAACTCTGGCTACAGGTGAGGCTATATACATACTGTACATGTACACATTTTAATACAAAACCATGTTTTAGTCTACGGGTATTGTGTGAACAACAAAGTATTTGTCCTGTTTGTGAGATTTCTGCCTGCGCTCAAATAAAATGGAGGTGAATGAAATTGTATTTGTGTTGCTCACAGCGCTGAAAAATTACATTTACAAAAATTTAACAGCATCTCCTTGTTGCAGACATAGTGAATAATTGGTTGCTAGATAATCCACAAAATACACTGTGTACTGTTTTCATTGGAACTGCTTTCAACCAGGACAAAATTGTCCTCATGAAAACAGTTGACAGTTTTACATTTTCATTGCTTTGAGCAACACAAACGGAAAAAAAATGTCAAATAAAGTTTAAACTCACATGGCCAGATACCACTGTAAATTATAAAATGTGTTTTCTTATCATTTGGGTGAGCCAGTAATTTAACTGGCATGGTTATATCTTATTATTATATATATCAACATTATAATGTTGATTAATGTGCGCACAAATAAATACAGAATACATATATATATATATATATTTGTATGCCTACAATATGATGGTGTAGAAAAAGGCAAACACAAAGAGATGAAACATTGTAGTCAGTGTGGGACCCTCAGGACTGGTGTGTCCAATAATAAAGTGTCATCCACACACACACACACACACACACACACACACACACACACACACACACACACACACACACACACACACACACACACACACACACAGCGACTCCAGGCCATACATCCTAGCAGCTAACATGATTAAGAGTTTAATAGCTGCTGATTTCATTATGGCTCTATTGTAGTCATGACCTTCAAACCTGCTGTCAGCGAGGCAGGGTTGGAGGGGTGTAAGTGTGTGTGTGTGCACGTTGGCGTGTGTGGTCCAGTGCCGCCTTGTCACCTTGAGCAAGGCAGTTAACCCTCCACCAGCCTCTGCAGCACCTGATCTGTCTGTGTGTTTGTTCTGTGATTCAGAGGAGAAACGGAGAAGATATTCCTGTGGCTCTGACCAAAAACATCAACCACAGACGGTTCGCCGCCTCCTTCCACCTCAAAGAAGTCACTAATCAGGACCAAGATCTGTACCGTTGCGTCACCCAGTCAGAGCGCGGCTCCGGGGTGTCTAACTTTGCAGGTCTTATCGTCAGAGGTGAGGATTAAAAAAAATATTTTTTCAGGTTATGTGATTGTTTTCCTGTTTTCCTCTCTGATTTAATATTTGATGTTTCAGCTTTTTGGAGATGTTTTTTTCTGCTTTAGTAGATTGCTTTCAGTGGAAAGTAACTAAGGTGGTTCAGTATTTTTCGGGAGCGAATTTACTGTTCACTAAGCCCCGCCCTTAGTTACCGTTGCTATGCCTATTAAGCTTTCCATTCTCACACAGCATATGATAGAGTTTACAATGATAACAGTGACACTCAACATTTTTTGTAATTTCTGAAACTATGAGTCCTTGATGTCAGACAGAGGTACAATAACAACAGGCTTCTCATTTCTAGCTTTCAACTGTCAAATTTTCCTGCTCAAATGACAACCATAGCAATTATTATCAGCCATGTTTCTACAGCAGCCCCAGAATGATCAAACCAAACACTGGCTCCAGAAAGGGCCTTTTACGGTTTCTCCTACACTACATTGCTAGATGCCACTAAATCCTAAACACTGGACCTTTAACATTACGTTAGCTTAAACTCTAATAGGGGATCCAGGATCAGCTTACACACAGTGATTAGGCTACACAGGGGATACGCTATCGTTAAGATAACCCTGCATGACCCTGTCATTGACCAAAGTTATTCTCTTGACCCATCTTACATATTTTGTCTTTTTGGTAACTTTTTATTGTGTTTAACTTTTGAAATGTCAAATATCTTTCCAATCAAATTCACTTTCACTGTGTCTGCCTGATAAAATGTAAGTCAGTAACACAATATAGACTAATGAGGAGAGTTTGTGTGTGAGTGTATGCAGATGTGTGTACCCCAGCCTTGTGTTTGTATGTGTGTGCAAATGCTCTGTGTGTGTGTGTGTGTGGATGCGTGCATGGGTGTGAACCAGCGGCATTAGTGTCTATGTGTGAATGTGTGTGTGAATGGAAACTGTGTGTGCTCCAGCTGTCATGTGCAGCTGACATGTGGTTAATAAGGTGTCACCAATGTGTGTTTGAGATGGGATGCTTTATTCATTCACATCCAATAGCTTACATATTCAATTCATCTCCCAGAGAGAGAGAGAGAGAGAGAGAGAGAGAGAGAGAGGAGGAGGAGGAGGGCAGAGAGAGGGTAAAGGCGAAAGAGATTCAGGAAGAATGATACGGGAGTGACAGAAAGGGGGGGAGACAGAGGAGTGTGAGCAAAGAGAGAAGTGGAGATGGTGAAGAAAAGTTAAATGTAAATAGTCTGCTCATTATCCCAAGAATATCAATATCAGAATCAGGAATATGTCTGAATATGTAAACAGCTGAGCAGAGTCATGTTTATTATTCTGCATAAGAGATGGCAGAGGAGAAAGAAATGAGGAATCAAAGCAGAAGTGAGCACCATGAATATGAATATTAGCTGGTGTGGCTCAGATAATGGAGCTCTTCTGTCCAGTTGTGGGGTTCAAGTCTCTGTGTGTCTCCGAGCAAGACACTACCAGTGCCAAGATTAGGGTTACAATCCCCACTGTGAATGAAAAGGTTTGTTTTCTCTTTGGTCAAGCGTATATGGGGGTTTTGGACTTTTTTTCCACAGGACCTTGCTGATTTAGTAAGAATACATAAGTGGCTAATGTTTATTTATCAAGAACATCTTTTTTTTTAATATGAGAAGGCACAGAGGAGAGAGATGAGGAAGCAGCAGGAGACATGTCTAAACATAAATAGGACCAATCTACATATATGAAAATAGATTCAGGTTCAATAAAACGCATTGCACTCTATGTGTTTCATAGGCATGCATGGGCTCGAGACCCAGTCCTTTTTTACAGTATGTGAAGAGATGCTTTTGAAGCTCTGAGGGATATTGGTGATTATGAATATTGATCCAGAGCCTGGTTTTTAGAAAGATATTACAATAAAAGAACGAGGACTGCATGTGTGAATGTGGAAGGAGAAGAACCTCATGTTTATTTATTAGAAATATCAGATGGGAGATGAGAGCTAGAGAGAAATCAAAGGAACAGGAAATATGTTTATTTCACTTCTTGAAAAGTATGCATGTTGGAGATTTTAGGTTCCTGCAGGACATTGACGACCATGAATATGGACATAATTTAGCTGCATTATTAATATTTCTAGCTGAATATTTTACTTTTTAATATCTATTTATATTGTGAAATTGAAGAGAGAGGAGGAAAGATGAGTGATGATTACTGGAGGGATCATGTATCTGGCAGGAATCGGATGAACAGGAAAATAGTAGAAAGAATCATTGGGATGTGGATATGATTTGTATATATGAAAAATGTTTTGGCAGTAGGACAGTTACCCAGGTTTCATTTCAAAGCCTGAAAAGTGGTCCGCCGGTGATGTGAGATTGCCTCGGTGCGAGCACGCACAGGCCTAGTCTATTGATATTTACAACATGTAGATGACAGAGATGTGCCATTTCCGTCTCCCTGCGTGTTTGCTGGGGCTGTCAAGATCAGAGGAAAGAAGCACATTTTGCAGAGACAGAGGTGCATCACGGGAGCACGAGAGGTGTGGATTACCAGATTTCTCTCTTCCTTGAGTACAAACAGGATTGCTTTATCAATTAAACTTTCGTTTAGTGTACAAAATGCCCGAGAGCACAAAATGACAACTCAAAGAGTAGAGATATTCCATTCATAGAAAGTTATGAAAATCTAGAGGCTGCAACCTGCATTTGTGATAGTTAGATTATGAAAATAATTGCTAATCAGCCAATCAGGGTTTTTGGGCCAATCACCAATCGCTTTAAGCAGTGTGGACCGATACTGACTATTTGAAGTTTACTACTACTACATTAATATGCTTTTCCCAAACACACACATAGACACCTACACCTCTGCCTCACACACTGGCTTGCCCCATCCTGCCTCTTTCTGCCTCTCTCTCCATGTGTAGCATTTAGCGGCACATACCGGTGTAGTGATATGATTTCCATGTTTCTGTACCGATACCAAACATGACTTGTATTAAATATTGTAAAAGTGTGTGTGTGAGAGAGAGAAGAGAGAGGAGAGAGAGAGAGAGTGAGAGAGTGTGTGTGTGTGTGTGTGTGTGTGTGTGTGTGTGTGTGTGTGTGTGTGTCACTAGTCGTTTGGCCAGAGCCGAGCTCTAATAAAGCCTTGCCCTCTGGTTCCTACGGTGACAGAGCGCATCATCACGCCAGTTCGTATCACACTCATACACACACACTCACACAAGCACACATGCACAGATGCACGCACACACACACACATGCACACACACACACGCCATGCCAGCTTGCATTACACACAACCCATGGCCTAAAAAGCTCCTGCAATATTACTGTCACACTCATGCACACAAACACACACATAAGACTCACGAGGACGCACAACTGACTTGAATTTATACAACCGTCTTAAACCTGTAAAGGTCCACTTCTAAAATGTCCCTTTCTCCTTTTAACCTATCGCACACACAGACACACACACACACACACACACACACACACACACACACACGCTCACTCTAAGTAATAATGACAGGTGAAGCTTGAGGCGTTACAGAACTATAGAAAACCTACTACCACTGTTGGCTGTCGATACGACTGAAACACACACATACACACATTCCTCCCTTGTTCTGGAGGTCAGTTGTCCTCCAGTGAGTTCCGTGGTGATGTCAGCAGCAGTTTGTGAAAACTAAAGTTTATTGACAAGGTTGCTGACGATGGACAACAAAGAAGAACATGCCTAGTGGGCGCCAGTCACCAACACAATATCTGTCTATCGTCTTTCTGTCTTTCTTTATGTTGGTCTGTCTGTCTCTGTCTTGATGTTTGTTCACTATCTCATAAATCTTAAATCAGAATACCAAACCCTATACCAATGCCTCAGGAGAAATTAATCACGCAGACGAGTTAGGTCGCAAACGACACACACATTTTGAAGTTTTTCCAATGTTGATTTGTTTTGTTATTATCATTTACATTTGACCCAAAAAATGAGGAATGATGAGAGGGTTCACACGTGATTAATAATAAAAAAGATGATGACAACAAAACCATCGCAAAACAACACCATTGATGATTTGTTATAGTTTTTTAGGTCAACTGTACAAATGACAAGTGATGGAACAAAAAAAAGAAGAAAATCAAAAGCATGAACCCGTTTCAGCTCTTGTTTTCTCTGGAGTCACATAATGACCCACTTACATTCCTTACTGTTCTGTTCAATGCCTATTATTTATCTTTTAGATATTCAATGGCTTTTTAAGTAACACACAAACATACATTCAAGTTAACACACAGGCTGCAACAGACTAATCTACTGTTTTGCATGCTTGAATAAATGTATCATTTGGATTTTTTTTTGCTTCATTTCTTTGTTTGTTTGTTAATCATCAAGTTGTTTACTTTGTTTATTTTATGATGTTGCAAGCTGACATGTTGTTGACGTTGGTTTTCTGAAGTCACTTCAACATTCATTATCTGGATTCAACTCTGTCTGCATGTGTTTGTTTGTGTGTCTGTGTCTCTGTGTGTCTGTCTGTGTGTGTGTGTGTGTGTGTGTGTGTGTGTGTGTGTGTGTGTCTGTGTATGCGCACACATGCATGTGCTGTCAAACTACAGTGTTTCATCTGTTGCTAAAAAGACACTTCCTAGTCTGCACATCTCTGACAGCCATATTCAACACACACACACACACACACACACACACACACACACACACACACACACACACACATAGAAATGCCAACAGAAACACACACAAAGAAAAAAAGAGGTGACAGCAATGCAATATATAACTATTAAAGGAATAACACACATGCACACAGATACAGTATCATTTAGATAATATTTACTTTGATGTGATAGACGATGGATTTAAAAGAAAATCAAATTTTTTCCTATCTTCATACTGATAACAATATTGCCTGGCGGTGTGTTTAAGAGCGATAAAATCTGTATGATTTACTGTATGTGGGATAGACCACAGTGTGTGTGTGTGTGTATGGGGAGAGTGTGATTAATTCATGTGTTGATCTGTGTGTGTGTATATATATGTCAAACAGATAAATCTTTGATGCAGTGTGTTTTAAGGTTTTGTGTGTAAGTGTGAGTGTGTTATGTTTTTGGCTTGTCAGTCACAGATGTGTGACAGCTCTGATCTGACTGACTGGGCCTGAACCATCACACATCCATCACATTTACATACAAGTGCACGCACACAGTATTTATTCACTGCGCATTTTGGCACAATTTCAAGACATACAGTACAAGAAATCAATCAAATTATGTGTAAAATAAAAATGCATATAGTTTGGGTTACATATACAATATTTAAATGGCACTTTTTATGAAATACACCCATAACCAAGTACGTAAAGGTGCTTATCCATTACAGTTTCCCTTTTAAAATCTACCAATCAAAAATGAGGAGACGTAGATAAAGAGAAAAAGACCAATTCGAGAAAATTTGGTAGAGTTGTTGTAAACTTTACCTTGAATGGGGATATATACAGTAATGGCACTGTGATCAGAAGCTCTGATCCTGCCGTCACACTGTGCATCTAAATCTAGATGTATGCCTATGTATGTTGCAGTCAGCAAGCAAATACTAACCGAAGCCCCTTTTAGAAATGCGACCCAAACATTAATCTGATGCCAATTTAACATTAAGGTCTCATGTCTAAATAAGTGCCTGAATCACTTGTAGGTAAAGGTCACAACAGCAGTCTGGCACAAGTCAGAATTGAATGCCGCTAGATTAACTTGCTGTGAAGGCTGCAGCAGGTAAGGAAAGAAAATAAAATAAAATAATTTTAATAAACCATAAAACAATTTTAAGTTGTTGAGGAGATCCTTCTTATATCTGACTGTTCTAAAGAAAATTCAGAGCGGGCAAAAGGGGCTTACTAGCTTCTGACTGACTGTATAAAATAGGCGGCAGAAATCACTGTTTAACAACATTAAATGGTGAAACTGATGGAAAAATGTATTAGAGGCTTCACTTCAATAAGTTATAATATAAACATACGTTTTAAAATCTTTCTCTCATGCAGCCTGCAAGAGGAAAACAGCCTTCTTCTTTCATATAATTACTTTATAAACTTAGCACGCTTCTTCGGAGGTACAGCCTCTTCCACCGGATGCAAAATATCACACTTGCATTGCAGCTCTTTTGTTGTAAGGAACATTTACATAACAGACACCAATTCCATTACAGGAAGGCATTACTTTAACAGACAGATGAAGCCGGAAAATTAACATATTCAGTGTCTGAAAAAGGCTCAAACTCTGGGTCACTGTGGTAGACACTTTCCAAATAAAAGCCTTCCAGTTTCTTGTTTTGAAGGTGGAAGGCGTTTGATGTGAAGCAGCTGCAAAAGGCGTGTTTGCATTCATATTAAGTTCATTATATGTTGGTGCGTGAAACAACATTGGCTTCTAGCTGTTTGATGAAAGTAACTGTATATAAAGCTTGTTTTGTGAAGTGTCTTTGAGCTAGAAAAGCACTCAATTCATAAAATGTAGTAAAAAAAATTAATTCGGAAAGTAAGAATGGGAATACAGGACTGAAACAAAACTCCAAACAACACAGATACACTGAGAACTAGTGCTTCCTCTCTACTCCCCTTCATGACCACAGATGTTTAGCCAATTAGTTCCCCATGACATTCACGTAGCTTGGTTGTCACAATATTGCAGGTCAGTGCATTTCTTACTTGTTAGGATGGCGCTAATAATCTGTGCCATTAGTATAGTTGTCATTGTTTACTGGTAGTTTGTTTAAAATTTTAATTTGAGTTCATAAATATCACTTGTCAGACGTTACACTAACAAGGCTTTGTATCACAGTGACTTCAGTATGTTATCCCGTGTGCCGCTACCCTCTTCGGTTCTGCTGTGACCTTGTTTTAGTGTGTTTCTTTCATCTTGTGAGGTAATTTGAAACCTTCTTTTATGATCTTGTTAATTGTTTTCTCTCCTCAGAGCCCCCGCACCCCATCGCCCCACCCCAGCTGCTAGGCGTCGGCCCCACATATCTGCTGATTCAGCTGAATGCTAACTCCATATTTGGAGATGGGCCTATCATCCTGAAAGAGGTATGTTCAGGATGAGACATTGTATGGTTTTTAAACAAAACTTGTATGTAACAACATTGTATGAAGCCACTGTAAAACAGGACATCAAAGCCTTTCACTTAAAGTGGCAATAAATACTATATAAATACCATCTGTCCTGTATTAGAAATTAATAGAATTACTTATTAATACACTTAATTGCTTTCATGCTGAGAGTTGGAAGCTAATATATATTTTTCCAACTAAAAGTCGAGCTATTCCTTTCAGACAGATGAGTACGTTTCTTTCCCACAAGATGAATAGTTTCTGAAAATTATATTTAAATCAGGATTTGACATTTACATTGATATTGAACTTAAATTCTGATTAAAATTTAATAAATAATTGTAATATGTCATATTTGATTTTTGTCCTTTAGGTTGAGTACCGTATGACATCAGGCAGCTGGACGGAAACTCACGCTGTCAACTCTCCCAACTATAAGTTATGGCATCTTGACCCAGACACAGAGTACGAGATCAGAGTGTTACTAACCAGACCGGGAGAGGGAGGGACAGGCAAACCGGGACCACCACTCATTACCCGGACCAAATGTGCTGGTAGGACATAACAAACAAATGTTATGGCAAAACTAATACATTTTTTGATTACTTTAAGGAAAACAACCATATGAACACTGTCCATATCTTTATATGTACACTATATCCTCACACTTTTAACTATAATGAATTCTGTGATAGTGGATCGTTAACATGTATGTCCAACTAAAATATGATCAATTACATTCTGCAAGAAAAAGGTAGGTGGCAACTTTAGTTGAGTCTGCTTGTGCACACAGCTTTTTCTGCCTGTCTGATTGTCTATCGATCTGTCCATCCACTGTTGTTCTTTTTGTCTTGCTATCTATATTTTAGTTAGTGGAGTGATATTTGTACTATGAGGCAGGGAGAGGAGAGATGTAGCGAGAGATAGAATTGGAGAAGAACGGAGGGGAAAGCCTGAGTCAGTCTGTGGTTGCTCAGTGATCTGAGAGAAAGAGTGATTAAAATACTGGAGGCTCTCGCCACCTTTCTCACTTTTTATCATGCTTTTTCTTTCCTTCTCTCACCTCATTCCTGCTTTCTTGCTGCCGCTCCTCCTTTCTCGCATATCTCCCATTCCTCCCTCCATCTCTCTTTCTACTTCGTTCCTTGTCGCTTCCTTTTCCCCTTTCTCCCCGCCTCTCTCTCTCTCTCTCTCTCTCTCTCTCTCTCTCTCTCTCTCTCTCTCTCTGTGGATCAATAGACGGAGGGCAGAAACACTGTCTGACATTTGTAGAAATAAACGACTGAAATATAAACACAGCTAGCCTGAGGGAGAGAGACGGAGCAAGCGAGAGAGGGCTGATATGAGAGAGAAAGAGACAGAGAGAAAAGCAGTGAGCTTGAATGAGAAACAGAATAAAGGAGCGATGGAGAGATGATGAAAAACAATAAGGCTGGAAAAGAAAGAGAGGAGAGAATAGAAGCGGGGAAGGGGGGGCATGAGAGGCAAGAGAATGATGAAACTGGAGAATGAAAATGAAAGAGAGATGAAAACTCATAACCACAGGGCCTGACTGATGTCTTGCAACCTGTGTGTGTATGTGTGAATGAATCCATGTGTGTGTGTATGTGTGTGTGTGTGTGTGTGTGTGTGTGCGCCTGTGTGTGTTTATTGACAGAGAGGAAGGCATAGACTTGTTCAGGCGACTCATGTATTGAACAGTTTCCTGTTTGACAGGAAGAGGAAATTAATCTTCTTTTCCTCGCTCACGCAGGAACACGTTTGAGTTAATAACTCATTGTAATCCACACAATGTGTAGATATCAGACCAAATCAGGGAAATATGCTTATGAATTTAGAGAATTACATTAAATCATTCTGTATATCTGAATATTTTTTGACCACTGACTGGGAAGTAGTCAGTGTATCAAGGGTCTTTAGAGGGGTTGCTACTCTAATGCACTTTAATTATTGACACTAGTTGACAAGTTATCTTGTTTTATTTTCAGTTTGTTCAATTTCTTGAGACAGTACAGAATTTTCTCCCTCTTTCTCTTTTCTTGTTTAACGTGCCTTAAAGGAATAGTTCAACATTGTGGGAAATGCTCGCTTCTCAGCTGAGAGATCGATGCGAAGATCAATACCACTCTCATGATTTATGGGTTATGACACTGACTATTCCTTGGCTGGGTCATGGATGTATTCCAGAAAAACTGGATGTTCCTATGAAAGTTGCTCACTGAGCGCATATGCCAAAAAAGGCTCCGCAGGCTTTTCATGCTTCTGCGTTTTTGCCTGTGGAGAATGCGCACTAGTCCTTCTCCTGCTGAGCTGGTTGAGAACATTCGTGTCCAAGACTTCTGCTTGACACACGAAGGGGATAAGAAATTAATCATACGGCTTTTCTAGCCTTTTGTAATTGCATTGGTATGTATTGTAAAATGCATAGATAATAGATCTGCGCTGCTGCAGATAACGTTTTCAGTCACAGATGACTTGAATGAACAAAATGGCGCCCACGCATAAGAGGGATGTTCTGTGTTAGTATTTTGACCAAATAAATTAAATGAACCTGCAGTGCAAGCAACATTAAACTTATCATTTCATATCTTACATATCATAGAACATCTAGTTTGACGATTAACCATTTGCACATTAAGCACAAGGGGCTAGCTGTTTCCTACGGTTTCCGGTCTTTATGCTGAGCTAAGCAATATACTGCACATAGATATCTACTGAAAGTAGTTATTACTGGGATGTATTTTGGACTTTATTATTATTGTAGTGATATCGTCCCACCTGTCAGTCTCTCTCTTTGTTTTCACTGTGACTAAGGTCATTCACACACACACGCACAAGCACGGACACACACACACACACTTGGAGCAGGTCTTGTGTGTGTTTGTGTTTGTTGAGAGAGATCTAGAAGAGAAATGTTATTTAAATGGTAATGATTCCTTTGCTTTTCCTGTTTGGTTAGGTTTGTCTGATCCCACCACCTGTAGTTTACTGAATATTTAGTTCAATGCAAAATAATGAAAACATGCACGCACACACTTTCACGGGGAAATGTGTGCACAAACGCCAGGCATAAACCCAAGCATGTCACCACACAAAACACTGTTTAATTAAAAACCAATAAAGTTAATAAGATACAGAGCAGAAAACACACACACTGCAGAGCAATTGATATGATAACAGGAAGGATTTAATCTCTTCCTCTCTGCTCTTCTTTTCTCTTTTCATCTCTTCGTCTGCGCGTTTGTGTTTCGTTTCTATCTCTACTTCTTTCCCATGCTCCCTCTGTTTCTCCTTCTCTCTCCCATTCTTCTCGATTTTTCTTCTGTGGTGATTTATTGCTCTTGTCTGAAGGGTGAAAAATAATCAACTTGAAGTGAAGAGTTAGTGAGTGTGTGTGTGTGTTGTGTGCACTTTTGTGTGTGTGTGTGTGTGTGTGTGTGTGTGTGTGTGTGTGTGTGTGTGTGTGACAGAAGAAGGTGATGAAGTAGCTTTTAATCCAAATCCTGAATTTTCTGCCGAAAACCTCTTGGTCATGGCAGGTTAGACACACACACACACACACACACACACACACACACACACACACACACACACACTGACACACACTGACACACACTAACAGGCATAAGCACACACAGAAAAGAGACACTAAGAGGTATAGAGATGGAGAGAAATGTACACACACACACACACACACACACACACACACACACACAGTTCAAAGAGTCACAGTATTTCTCGTATGTTGCACAAACTCAGCATCACTTGGATTAATGGAAGAATGGAATCAAAAAACGCACATTTCCAGACACACAAGCACAGATGTCGTAGGAATCACACACAATATATCACATGTACTTCTTTATATATATGAAACACACACACACACACACACACACACACACACACACACACACGCACGCACACACAGTCAGCAGTACGATGATTTAAGGCCCTTAAAATAGTAGCCAAGAGATTAACAGACACAGTACTGACTGCGGTGTGTGTGTTTGACTCAGTCAGCTTTACAGTTCTGTTTTTGTGTGTGCATGTGGTAGTTTATGGCAAACTCTGATGGTTTTATTGAGTTTCACGGATTTGGTTTAGGGAAGAAAAAAACTTGAACCTCTAATATATACATATATTATTTTAAAACATAAGAAAAAATATAGTTCAAAGACAAACATGACAGCTTCTCAGAAGATGAAATAATCCATTAATAGGAAATGACCGCAGCTGTGGCCATGAACTTAACAGAGCTGCTAACCATCTAAACAAGGCAATGTGATTTTATGTATACAGCACATTTCATACAGAAACTCTGTGTTGGTATAGATTTATAGTTCAGTGTTTGATTTCCCCCCCGCGACGAAATATCAAAGTCTACCCATCTTTATCATATATTTATTAGAACCAGTGTTACTCCCTTCCATGTCTAAACAGAGAGCGTCATCACAATCCTCACCAGATGGTCCTTTTAACTTCGTAGTTGCAGAAGACGCGACCCCCCGCTTATCCACAAACACATAATTAATGAGGTTATTATAAAGACCGGCTGTATGTGTGATTAGAAAAGAGTATGCTTTGTTTAATAACTCTCAACTCTTTGCTTGTACCTACCCCCTTTTGCTGTGAATGTTTTTTTTTTATGTTTCATATGTTTTATTTCTTCTAAACTTATCTGAATATCTGGACAAATTCCACCACTTTACCGACATCTATACCTCCGATTGCCTGCCTCATAATTAGCCTCCGCACAGGCCAATCAGTGTCAAACTCAACGTAGCGCGCAAGTTGAATGTAGCAACACATACATGCACCTTTCATGCGCTCAGATCTGGCTCATAAAGAGACAGAGACACGCGGAGAGAAAGCGAGGGTTAAAGACAGAATGAATAACCAGAGTTTCATTTGTCTTCCTCATGACAGTGGAAGGATTACCAGGAACTAATTGGACAGATTAACTTGGATTTAGCTGCATCTCCTGTCAACCTTTTCTGCTCCTCCACCCCCCCTCCTACTCCTATCCTCTCCCCCTTTCCTTACCTCTTTTATGCTCTGCTTTTCTTTAAGCTTCTTTCTCCAGCTTTAAGGCCTTTTTAATGTATATTTCTTGGCTCTTCCTAATGCTTTATGTTGGGGAACAGGGTTATTTTCCCCCCGCCCTAAGCATAGTTCTATTTAATTTAGTTTCATTTCCTTTCCCTTTGTTTCCCGTTCTTTAATTCCAACCTCTGGATTCAGCTGATATGAAGCTCGCCGTCCTTGGTGTTATTGTTGGTGTTTATTGGTATTGTTGTTGTTTTCAAAGCTCCATCTGTGGAGAACAAAGCCTTTTAGTTCCAACATGAATCCAGCCGTTTGTCTGTCTACCGGAGGAGGGGAAAGGGACAAGGCAGCCTCTGTGGTTTACCGTTGGACCTGGTCCCGCTTGACTCTGGCCACGTTCCAAACTAGTTATCGTCTCTCCCCGTTCCTCCTCTCGGCCTCTCTCTTTCCCTGTCTCATCTTCCTCTCCCATTTCTCTCTCTGCTCCCTTTATCAGTCTCTCTCTCCCTCCAGCCCCTGTTTAATTTTTCCACGCATTGCTTTGGTTATACACTCTTCTTTACTCATTTTCTACGCTACTCTGTTTGCCCCGTCTTTCTGTTCCCTCTTCCTTCTGTCTGTCTGTCTTTTCTTCTACCTTGCTCTCTAGCCTCTTTCTCTACCAACAGTAAATAGATGGAGATAAGCAAAAATGATGGGTCAGGAGGGAAGTGGGGTTTTGGAATGCAGGTTAGAAGTGTGTGTGTGTGTGTGTGTGTGTGTGTGTGTGTGTGTGTGTGCGTGCGTGCGTGCGTGCGTGCGTGCGTGCGTGCGTGCGTGCATGCGTGTGTGTCTACATCCACACCACAACATTGTGTGTGTGACAGGCAGCTAGTCGTATATTTTGTTGAAGACCATCTCAGTGTTAGTGACAAGAGACCCTGAAATCAATACAATTTATTACACTGCCCTAACTGTGTGTGTGTGTGTGTGTGTGTGTGTTTGTGTATGCGTGTGTGTCCTAATAGCCAGGTTTATGGTGAGGATCACAAGTATTGATTGAAACAGGGAGAGAGACAGAGAGGAAGAGACCAAGACAAGTGAGGAAGAGGCAGGGATAGAGGGAGAGACAGGCAGAGAAAGCAATAGGTCTCCATCTCGCTCTATTTAAATGTCAACCATCCAATAACAGGTTGAAGCAAAAATGAAATGCTCTGACCCCTCAGCTATTAACACACACACACACACACACAGTTGAGCAATAATATTTGCTCAGCAGACAATTACCTGCCCGGGTATCTTTACAACCTTCTTTCCTTTCTGTCGTTTTTCTGCCTTTCTCATTTTTTCTCATGTATCTGTGTGTATCTTATTAGTTGGCTGTTTACATCTAAATGACTTAACAAACCATGTTTGTATTTCACTTACAGCTCTGGGTGTGTGTTGAGAGTTGTGTTTGCCCTTGACGAGGCGTTCTTATTATGAGAAGTTTTATTGAGACGAGCGCACACACATAAACACACACCTATACATGCTCTGCCCAGATTTAATCTTGATTCTGTCACAACCTGAAGCGCATGTGTGTGTTTGGGTAATAACGGAGTGTGAGAGTGTCCGTGCCTGTGAGTTTCTGTGCGTGTGTGTGAGTGACAGGCAGATAATGGGTTGTCAGAAGAAGCGACAAGTTTGTGTCCTTGTGTTGTCTCCTCTGAGAGAGAAAGACCTAGAGAAAAACAGAGAGCGAGACAAGGAGGGGTTGGGGAGAGACTTGAGTCTCTATTTAAGGTGAGCTGTTTTTATTAAAAAATCCTGGAAGGACATGGGGAAGCAGGTGGATTACAGCGAAAGATAGAAGAGGAAGGGACATCAGCAGGTGATCGAATAACTGTGAATGAAGACTTGTCAGTTTATGACAAGGAACAATAAACAAAATGTTTAATTAAACTTGCTCTGGTTGCCCCGGAATTGCTTTCACTTTTAGTCTGGGGATGTCCAGAGCTAATATCCAAGATCAATATCGGAGTTAATAACGGTGTATTTGGTATTGGCTGTATTGAGCTTGATCAGATTTTTTTGTACCTTAAATGTGCTCTCAGCTGTCAAAAATATCTAATCATCTTCTATTATTGATGGGAATCAAGAACCAGTTTCATTAGAGAACTGGTTCCACCAAAACCGTGTGCCACCGAGCTTATCAATTCCTTTTATCAAAGCCAGAATGTTTTTCAGGCAATTAACAAGCAAAACAATGACATCAAACTACATCGCTGGACTGCTAAAACACTTGTCCATTCAAAAAATGGATCGGGAATCAATTAGTAATAAGCAGAATTGATTGTGGTATTGCTATAAATAAAATCTTTACAATTTCCATTCCTTCTTAAACTTCAAAATAGCTCTGTATATGACCTTTTTTTCCAACGTATGCTTATGTTGTCACTACTGTGGTGGGATGTAACTAATTACATTCACTCAAGTGCAGTTCAAGATTTTACACTAAAAACTTATAACATATAATGTAATGGTACAGATCAGACTACCTAAAAGTATATTAAATAGATCAAATGAGCTCCATCTCCAGCAACTACACCATCACTGGAATGTTACTTGAACACTAATCAATACTCTGGTAATGTGACATTTAATATAATAACACTTCCAGGGGCCATTTTACTTTTACTTTTTACACTTTAAGTACATTTTATTGATAATGCTATGGTATTTTAATGTAGGTATCGAATGTGATGGAGTATAAAAGCAATAATATCTTCCGGTATCAGACACATGTAAGAGAAAACACAATCAGCTCACCTCACCTTCATTCGGTCTTCATTCAGTATCTAAATTAAATAAATTACACTTATGTAGCCCCAGAATGTAGTCCCATTTTTGAATGAAAGATGCACATTTACATAGTTGTTGGACACCCTGACGCAGATGTATACATTCTGCTTTAACCCTTATAGACCGTGTGGTAACTACTTTGTGAGTGATAGAGTGATATATCTTCTGGAGTAATAACAGCCTTCTTGATTGAGTGTTATCTATTCTAGTTAGAGAGGGAGTTTTCTTGTGTAGAGGAATAACTCTTCTACAACAATTTGTAGCTGCTAAAGATTATAGCTTTCCGACAGAAAACAGCAGCTCCTTCTGGTAGATGGGTAGCCACAGCAGCTTGAGGAGTGCCTCTTCTGTCTGAAGGGTTGTGGTACACCCTTAGTGTTGAATGACTTGGGAAACACAAGTAGGTAAACAGTAATGAGAATGTAGTGCTTCAAATATAGTGGATTGATATGCAGGCAGAGAGAGCAGATAAGGAAAGATTTGGTTTTGCATTTGCCTGTGAACGTGTGTGTGTGTCTGTGTGTGTGTGTGTGTGTGTGTGTGTGTGTGTGTGTGTGTGTGTGTGTGTGTGTGTGTGTGTGTGTGTGTGTGTGTGCACGTCTGTGGAGGTAGGTGGGGTCTTGGGGGTTATTGATCCAGTTAAATGAGCCAGTTAAGGTAATTAAAGCCCTGGGCCAGCAGGAGAGGAGGTAGATTATATTGACAATAACAGTTCTGAATACACATAAAAGATAGAAACCAAAGACGTGCCTTGTAGAAGTTATTGCATTTGAGTAATGGTTGAATGGCAGTGAGCAGCCGAAATAGAAGTTCATAAAAACGCTCTTGTTGTATCTTCGGGGGAAAATGTTGACTCAGCATTCTTGGCAACACAAAGAACATTTGCCTCTTGTTCACACAGTGCACCAGAAACCTCTTTCACTTAAGTTCACTTAATTACAATTCATTCATTTCCACACCAGTCTTTGATGACTGTTGATATTGGTGTGATGGAGGGGACAGAAATCTACTCCTCACCATTGTGCTTTACCTTCTTTCCATGTGTGCTCCTCCTTTTCTCCAGAACCTATGCGGACTCCTAAGAGGCTAAAGATTGCTGAGACCAGGTCTCGTCTGATAGCGGTGGACTGGGAATCGTTGGGTTACAACATCACACGCTGTCACACCTTTAACGTCACCATCTGCTACCATTATATGACTGCCAGCAACCGCAGCAAAGCTGATTGCTTGGACATGGATCCTAAAGGTAATACTCGGTTTAACCATTAATATAGACTTTGTTACCATTACTTATTCTGCTATTTTACTGTTACACATTCACACTATAAAAAATACAAGATTTAATTTGTAACTGCATTATGAGTATGATTTTTAATAAAATACTAATACAAATGAAGCAGACTGAGAACTGTCACCTCGTGTAAGTGCTGAAAAACTGTCAGTACAGAGGATACTTGTCATTATTGAGTATTCCAGTGGGAGACTACCTAATATCTGCAGTGTTAGCATGTGAACACATTTTTCTGGGGTGTTGGTTCTCAGTGGGATTAGCAGTTGTACCAGCAATTGTTTCATTTAACATTTGAATTAATATTAATATCAGAAAATTGAAAATACATCACATTACATTTGAAAGTGCATGCAACATTCAAGCAGTCCTTGAAAACGTGTAACCAGATATTGGTGGAAATTTTGTGTACCTAAACTCGGAATGACCCGCACTACTGTTGAATGACATGTACTGTATGTTTTCAGAGACAGAGCTATAGGTTGATTAAATGGTTCGTTGATTGATAGAAAAAGAAGCTATTTTGATAATTGATTACATGTTTAAGTTTGTATTCAAGCACAAACTTCAACCAATGTGAGGATTTAATGCTTTTTTTCTTTTACTTTTTTTTCTTTGCTATTTTTGACTTTTTATTGGCTAAACAACAAATAAAAATAATACGAGAAAATTGATTACCAATAAGAACAATTCATTAAATAATAAAATGCATTGAAAATGTTAAAAATTATTGTTATTGTTTTTTTTCTTCTCAGCACCACGCCACCTGGTGGGAAACCTGCCACCGTACACCAACGTCAGTCTGAAGATGATTTTGACCAATCCAGAAGGACGGAAAGAGAGTGACGAGACCATCATACAAACTGATGAAGATGGTATGATACACAAAACACACTTTTTAAAATTATTTTTGTAACCTATTTATTTGTTTTCTCATTTAAAAAAATATGTAGTCATATATTTATTGTTTGAATGTTAGCTTTCAAAAAAAAGGTTAAAGTAAAAAGTAAATGCTTCTAATGCTGTAATACTTATGTACAGAGGGTTTTTTTTCTTCACATGTACTTAGACAGTTAAACTGACAAACAGCCTGTTGAGAAGTGGAACAAAGTACAAATGAAGAATCTTGACTAGCACTACAGTATGATACATTTTTGGTAAAGCTGCATTAAATTGAGAAACTATCACAGTGGGGTACACGGATCACTTCAACATGTCACTGTTGTGTGTATTTACTAGGAACTTCATCCGGAGCGAAGAATTTTACTGTTAGTTTTATTAGCATTGTATAATTGTGTCTGTGCCTGTGTTAACAGTTCCAGGCGCAGTTCCCAGTCAGTCACTAAGAGCCACTCCATTTGAAGACAGAATCCTTCTTTACTGGAAGGAACCGGCTGAACCCAACGGAGTCATCATACAATATGAGGTACTATTAGAAGAAGCAGTCGGGAAAGTAATCGTAGGAGGCAAGCTATCACTATGTTCAGTGTATAAACAAAAGTTCTGTCTCTTTGTCTCACCTCAGATTAGCTACAGCGGTGTGCGTTCATTTGACCCTTCAGTGCCTCTCCAGCGGCCGGGGCTCACAGTGTCTCTGCCCTCGAATGCCACCCATCACCTGTTTTCCCAGCTCCACCCAGGTGTCACGTACCAGCTCTCTATACGCGCATCCACCTCCAAAGGGTTTGGTCCTGCAACCACGCTCAACGTGACCACTAATATTTCAGGTAGAAAATAAGATTTATGTTTTATTGTCACACAGTTTTTCTGTATCACATTTATATTAGTTAGTAAGATGATGCATGGACACTAATAGACACATGTGCTCTTTCTTCAGCCCCGACAATAGATGAGTACGATGGGTCAGAAGCCTTTCTGAATGAAACTGCAACAACCATCACTGTCCTGCTCAAACCTGCCCAGGCCAAGGGAGCACCTATAAGGTATACAGCATACATAACATACCCCAAACCCAGGCTTTTATCACACCGTCCTGTATTTGGTTAGAGTCCATATTTCTTACTTTTAGTATGTAGTATGTTTATATTTTACAGTTAGTTCTCTACTTAATGTAAAGCAGCCAGTGAGCCCCTAGAAATAAACATCAAGTAGTTCTTCTTGCATGTATATTTGTGAACAGTGCCAAGCTTGAACATGTGCTTTGCAGTACAATCAGTTATTATTATAATTATGCCAACCATGTTATTTTCTCAAGGAGTACCATGAATCATAGGTACTCCTTGACACATGTCAAAAGCAGTTTGATAAACAGTAATTAAATCAGCAAGGCCAAATAAACATGACACATAACTACACAACCTACTTTTGAAATCACACCTTAGAAATATTTTTCATCATGAGTTTATTAATAAAAAAATATAAAACTCAATTAAAAGCGTATTTGAATTGTCTTCTTGTCCACAGCGCGTACCAGATCGTAGTTGAGGAAGTGAATCCTCAGCGGACACGTCGTCAGGCTTCCTCTGACTGTTACGAGGTATTTATTAAACTGTTCTAGGAATATTTAACAGAGCCAAGCCTTTACAACTTATAAAATATACACTTATTTTTTTGCTAACATAAATTATGAATAATTTAATCCTAAAAAAGATCAATTTTACAGTAGATATCCACCATTTGTCTCTATAGACCAATGGACTGTTGAATTTCAGCTTTTATAAAGCAGATGTTTTATTTACATTGTATTTGTGAGTCAGATTTATAGGCATATTTTTTTAAATGTAAATATATCGTCTTTCCCAGGTCCCAGTTTCCTTCCACAGTGCGTCTAGCGGTGGATCTCCATATTATTATGCCGCCCAACTGTCCCCCAGCAACCTGCCTGAGCCGCTCCCCTTCACTGTGGGAGACAACAAGACATATCAGGCAAGCCCTTTTTATCTAAACAACGTATTCTGTACGTAGTGCAGCAAAAATGTCAAGTGAAAAGATAAATCAAATACAGTTCATAATAAACTTTTAGCCTATAGAAGTTTAGGGATCAAGGTAACAAATGGGAAATAAAGTTTAAGTTGACTTGGGTTGTTATAATATCCTTTTATTTATATTATGTTTACCGTATTTAAACTTAAAAAAATCAAATATACTGTAGAACACATGCAGTATGTCGACCAAGGCTGCAGAATCCAAACATTGAGAAATGTTCATTTTGACTCAGGATACTGGTTTACATTAAAATCTGGCACATTTATCATGAGCTATATGCATGTGCCAATTCCTTCATTTGCAGTAGTGGTGAAAATGTACATAAATGCCTCTGTTATGGTCCCATCTTTCCATCAGATTGAATGGTTGTACATATTAAACAAGCAATATATATTGTGTTACTTTGTGAGAGGCTTTAGAAGTGCTGGTAAGCATATTTTGTTACCTTTGGTTCTGCTTATAGTCTGTTTTGTAAGTTCTGCAAGAAAGCAAATAAGTGTTTGAACTGAGCTTCTCTTTTAAAAAGATTTAAGATCCTGCTAACTAACAAGCAAAGAGATAGGACAGAAAACACATCTTCTTTAGCATAAGTAAAATCACAAGCTGACAATCTGCGTATATTTAGCTTCACATAAAGTTGATGATCTCTTCCTTTTAATCCACAGGGTTTCTGGAATCCTCCACTGGCTCCAAGAAAGAACTACAACATCTACCTTCAAGCTGTTAGCAGCACAGAGAGGGTAAATAAATATTTATTCATATGAAGACACACTAAACACACAGCGAACTTACAGCTCGCACCTGCTAGCTGCAACGGGTAAATATGTACACATTCAGAGAGAGGCACTAATGACGTTTGAACTACATTACAGCTCCTACCTGCAAGCAGTTATGACTTCTGAGAGTATGGGAGTCTAAACAGAACTTAAAGCACACATATTACACAGTAAAAGCAACTGAATATGCAGCACTTGTTTTTCCTTATAGTGTAAATACATGTGTACAATATTTAATATACAAAGTCACATTCTTTTGGCTACTTCTGTGGCGTTCAGGACCTAAAATTCACAGTCGCTCTTATTGTGTCTTTTTTTCTTCAGGAAACTAAGACACAGTGTCTGAGGCTGGCTACTAAAGGTAAGAAAACAGTCTCCGTTGATACCACTCTCTGTCAAAAAATACAAAAAGACCCTTGATTAGTGTTAACTTGACAACCAGATGCAACTCAAGTGGTAAAAAACTAAAAACAGAATAAATGTTTGGACTAATGATAGCTCATTAACTATATTTTATGTATTTTGTGTCGATTTCAGTTATTAAGTTACTTACTGTCCCTTAAAGATTGATGTTAATCTGATGTTATTATGTGTTGATGATATTACAGATTGTTTTGATACAATAACACTGTATTAATAATCGGATCAGTCCCTTATCCCAAGAGTTCAATAGAGAAGGGTATGTTTCTGTATTATGAGTATTAGTGGGGACAATAAACTGTTTTGCATTGTAGAGAGAGAAAACATATTCATGTGTTTGTGTGCATATTCAGCCGCAGTATGCGCACACAGTCTAAATGTCATGTTTTTACTAGCGGCCATATGTTGATAGATTATCAGACTGGTTTTAAATGGTGTGGAGTTAATCCCCGGGCAACCACACACACAAGTGCACACATAGTGTTTTGAGGAAAGATTTTCAGACGCTGATGGATCAGAGTTTAGCTGCATGGAGTAAGAAGAAGGATAAACAGAAAAATACATTACCATGTTTTCAATGAAATTGACAATCCTGGTGGCTGGTAGCGTTCAAAGAACAGTTAAGTGTTTATTTGCCTAGTAACGCAAAACTAGAAGGCAAACAGAGGTGAAATGATGAATGAAAATAGAATATTCCCATTTTTGTGACTGATATTTTCAGCCGGCGCCATATTTGTATTGTTCTAATAATGTAAGCAATGGTAATGTTCATCTGACAAACAAGAGTCAATTAATCAATGGATCATTTTCTCTGTTAAACGTGAGAAAATAGTGATAAATGCGCAGTACAATTTCTCACAGCTTGAGGTGACATTGAAATTGCTAATTTGCTCCAACCAACAGTCCAAAACCCAAACATGTTCAATCTATAAAAATATGAAGCCTAGAAACATAGCAAATAATCACATTTGAGGAGCTGCAACTAGTTTCATCAGTTGTATTCATCTTAATGTAAGGATTTAATTTCAATATAAATACTTATGACATGCTCAATGTACTGTGTAGTTGACACATATCCACAATTTGAGACAATAGGTGTGAGATAAAAACCTATGAAAGGACTAATATAGAAGGTTGGAGTCATACAAAACATCCAACCAGGTGTGGTGAGCACAGCATCAAAGTACTTGAATATTGTACTTGTAAGCCATCTTATTCCTACCGCAGTATGGGTGGTAAAAAAAAATCACTTTCTGCAGCTAACTGTGGGTCCTTGCTTTGACCTTCTAGTGTTGAAGGATCATAAAACTAGACAGTAAAAGTGACATAATTTTCAGCACAATCAGCCACAATGATTGTATAATTAATCACTATGGCCGATTGAGTTGTGTATTTTTATAACGACCTACGTAGGGACGGACACTGCAAAAAAAAATAGCGTAGGTGATAAATTCTGTGGCATGTGGCATTGTTCCACGCTATGAACTTCTCCCTATAAAATCTAACAATAAATACATTTAAATAAAATAAGTTGAAAAGAGACAACAGGAAGAGAAATATCCTGTATAAATATAAAATTCTGCATCCACATAAAATAAAATCCCTCCTGTTGATAGGAGTTCACCTATTTTTCTTTGTAGGTCACAGAGTTCAATGCCACCAAGACATGTAAGCCTCATAGGAAATCGATCCCATGGGATAGATCAAAGGTGTGGTTCAGTGCCTCCAGTGCCTGTAAGGTGTCATGTTTCTAAAATAAGAGAAAGTGGGGGGAAGTTGCTGTTTTTCCAGCGTCATCATATTTCAAGAACTACTGGTGCTTGTAGTCACTAGAACAGGTGGTTACTTTGCCAAGGGCTGCTAGGAGGAGATCATTCTCTGTCATTTCTAGCCCAAGGACGTCTCAGTGAAGCTAAAAGACTTATTTGAGTTTGTTTTTTTAATAAGTCTGAAAGACACACTAATGGACAGAGAGGTCAGATGGCCGTCCCCTCCTCTCTCTTTCCATCCCTCATTGTGTGTGTGTGTGTGTGTGTGTGTGTGTGTGTGTGTGTGTGTGTGTGTGTGTGCACTCAATCGTGCATCCGGGAGGGAGGATTAAGTGATGGTGGTCCTATTAGGTCATCTGGGGTATTGTGTATTGTCATTGCTGCCTCAGGGTGTTTTGTGTGTGTGTGTGTGTGTGTGAGTGTGTGTGTGAGTACTTGTGTACTGACCTGGATAATTTTTACAGACATTAAGAGCTACCGCCGACATTATGAGGTCAGACTCAGAACCTTTTAAAGATTGTTTTTCTTTTTTGTTACGTCTTGTTTTGATACCCTTTGCTCATTGATTCTTGGTCTGACAGTCATTGAAGAAAAGTAGGTGAAACCAGTAAATGTGGTTTAGATTTGTGCCATTAGCCTTAAAAAAGTGTGAGGGAAATTTCATACAGTCACAAATGCAAAATGATTTTTAGTCATAGAGTCACCCTAGTTTAACATAAAACAATACATTGGCGGTTGCGTAATATTTAAGACCGATTTGACCTATGACCGTTTTTTTTTAACTGCGTAAGTAACATACATAGCTTTTTTTCATAAAATCATAATAAGCTAATATTGGACGATATATCGGTCTAACTCTATAAGCTCTAAACTCAATGATATTTATCGGTAGGTTCTGCTGTTGCTTGTATTCAAAGTATATCACATGTTACTGTTATATACTCTCTTAACAGTTTAAAAATGATTAGGTTTATTCTTAATGAAAAATCATATTAATTGTATTTCATGGTCTCACGTTTTACTAATAGTCTTTGATTAAATTAAGAATTTCCACGATTTCGTGAACTTGTGGTAAAAGGAATCCTTAAATAATAAGATAGTAATACTCTATATTTTTATTATTGGCAACAAATCCCAAAGACCAAAACCAGCAATGAATTTAACCCACAGACTATGTAATCTGATATTTCTAATTCCTCTGTGCCGTAGACCTCAATGGTTGAACAAAAACTGTTATGCACTGGGTAACATGTTGCTTAATTACCATGAACATGGGCATTGTAGTTTATTTTAAGTCAATCCTACTTTTACTGTTTTTTGCTGTAAATGATATAAATGTGTATTAATCCTATGTTTAGTCCTGTTTGAGTGACGTTTGCTGAAAACTACAGTGCCCTGCCATTTTAGAAAATGATTTCCTTTTATAAAAATGAAACTATATATTTGTGATTTGTGTTTTTAAAGGCTTAGGGCTGAGTGACACAGACGGAGAAGGAAGTCAGACAGAATTGAGAAAAACATTGCTGGGTTTAGTCTTCTTGTGGAATTTGCTGAGAAGAAGACAAATACAGAATAATGCCAACCTTATTCTTTCAAAGCAACATTTTGGCTGACACGTCCTTACTCATTCGCCATCTATCAGTCTGAGTCCTGTGTTTTAGTGTAATATTGTTATATAATGACATGAGGCTGGATTTTCAAAAGATTTCAGCAGCAGAAACATTTTATAACAAAATAATATGTTAAGGTCACAAATATTGAAGGAGATAAAGAGAGAGAGGAGGGAGATTATGCTTATCTTGTTGATATTTAGCATTAGAAGTGGATTATTGTTTGATAGCATTATAGTGAGTTTTGTACATATTTCTTTTGTGTTGGATTATTTGGATTATCATAATGCATGATAATGTTCTTACGTTGCAGTACCAACTATTCTGCCGTTATGGGATCAGATCACTAAGCTTAGGAGCATGAAAACAGATGCTCACTCTCTTTCTGTTGACTCTCTGTCCGTGATCAAACGGGGATGCAGCTCCACTACAGCGTGCACTCTGCCTCAAACATTTGTGAATTATATTCCAAACAGACGAAATCAGGGAGTTCAGTCAATTCTCTGAAGTCATCAGGAACAGAAATGAGTTTGAGTACAAGTAATACATGTGACATTGGTGCAGAAACATTGGACAGCTACACTCAAATTGCATTTCAAAAGCATTTCCCAATGAGAGCATGACGCCAAGGATAACCTGAAATACACTGAAAAGACACAGTGCGAGACACAGTCAATTGAGCATTTGTGTGTGCGTTGTCAATGTCGGGTTATTTTTTTTATGTTTTATTTAGCGTGGTTGCCGCTGGGACTAGGGAGTAGGAGTAGTGAGCATGTAGAGAGTTCACTGATTCAGTACATTTACCATCAGGTGATTCAATAAAATGAATCAGAAGCTGGAATCTGTGTAAGATGAGTGTTTTTAGTTCAATTGACCCAGCTCCACAAGATGCAGTGCAGGGGTAAACACTGTCAGTTTCCTCTGATGCTCTGTTAGTCTACTTTTACATGTTTTTATCTTTACAGTTTAATAAGTAAATGCAAGTTAAATTGTTAAATTAACTAATTTCTCGTGGGTAGTTTCTAGCCATGCCAGCATTGTGGCAGTTTGGTCCAATTATCTCAACTACTTGATGGATTACCATGAAGGTTTTTTACAGTTTTTTCCTCGAGTCCTAAAGACTTTGGTGATTCAGGGACTTTTCATCTAGCGCCACCAGCTGGTCAAAGTTTTAACTTTTATCCTGTGACATATCTTAACATCTACTGGATTGGCTAAGAATTTGGAAGAGACATTCAAGACCCTCTCACAGGATGAATTGTAATCATTTCAGTGACCCCCTGCCTTTTCATGTAGCGCCACCATCAGATCAACAATTCTAAACCAAAGTCTAATCCTTTGGTTTATGTTCAAACACCTGCAAAACCGCTATATTTTTACTACATGTTTTGTGATAATTAGCAAATGTTATCATGCTAATATGCCAAACTAAGGTGTACAGGGTAAACGTTATACCTGCTTAACATGCAGTGTGTTAGTCACTTGTCATTAAGAGGCTGTTGCTTTTAGCATTAAATTTCGCCTCACAGAGCCGCTAGCATCTCTGTAGCCTCTTGGGGTCTGTATAGTTCAGAAAAAGAGAGTTTTTTGTTTTGTTGCTAAAGCTATACCTGCTTTATACCCAGATGTCTACTATTAAACACACTCTAAACTGTTCTCAGTACAAGTGACTGTTTGTTCAGCATCATGATCACGATCACATTAATGAAGAATTTTCTGTTAATCAATCTGTGATCCAAATAAGCCTCTTAAACAAAACTTATGGCTTTATTTGCATCATAAATGATGGGTTACCATGGGATTTGTGTTCTCAGACGTCTGACTTTGCTTCACAAGAATTATTTAGAGTCTTGATATTTACCTGATCTTTAGCAAGGGGCTGATTAAACCTCCCTATTTAAGTGGCTCATCAGGATTTGTTTCCTTATCACACTCTCCACTTTCCTGATGTGGGGGCATTTTGTTCTTGAGAGAAAACAAACATAATTCCTGATGCTGTTGGGTGGCATACTTCGCCAGCCTTAGGTGACACAGGGTTGTGTAAATACTTTAAAATAGTGCCAAGATTCTATTATCTCCGTAACAGGCTTACAGTCAGTGCAAGGGAGCAACATTTCAGAAGTGTGTAGAAGGTCTACACCTGCTAAAGATGCAGGGTTCCTGGAAAGCTTAGTTGACTGGTGGGTTTGTTTTTATTTGACTAGTTTGCTCCCTCAAAAGATCGTTTCAAAAATAGAGGCTTTGGGTGGTTAGAATCATTATCACTGGTTAACTTTTTCTTCGTTCAATATCATGCAGCTGTTACTCTGCTGCGGGAAAACCCAGACGATAAAGCTTCTAAAGATAACTCCAACTGTTGGTGTTTGATTTTCAGTCTTTCTGTTTAGCAGCTTATGCTACTGCTGAAGAAACTGTTGGAACTTTCTGACTTCACAGAAAAAATGTTGTGTCTTACAGTAGCTGTACTGAAAGCTAGACAAACTTAGCTTGTCAATTAGAAGAAATCTTTTGCAAACTGGACATTTTATACATGTTGTATTTCCCAGATTGCTGGCAGGTTTTTAAAAACTGGTCACAGTATTTTAGAAGAAGAATAAATCGCAAGCTCACAAAGCTTTAAGTACTTTAGTCAGAGGCTGCAGTGTGCAAGAAAAACTTTTAGAACTACAAAATGTAAAAATAAATAAATCTATTTTTCATATTCTTTATTTTGGATTTTTATACTTCTGCAACATTTCTAGACGTTGATATTTTTTCACTTGTTTTACTAAAATGTTAAAGTCCTGCTGAGATGTGCCTTTAATGTTTTTTTAGCAGCTTTCCACTGAAGTCTACATTCTTAAATAAGCTCTTCATTTTAATAATGAGCTCCACTGGCATGGTATTTTAGTGTTTGTGTACCAGTTTTTTTGTTTGTTTGTTTTTTTGCAAATGGGGATGTAAAATGACCTTTTATTTAGATTTTGATTATTTTTTCCACTCCTAATACTACGAAAGAATAAATAATTACTGTAGTAGTCAGGATGATTGATGGTATTTCATTTTCATTCTGTTATAGGTGCTACAGAGGAGCCAGAAGTCATCCCTGACCCCGCTAAACAGACGGATCGGGTGGTGAAGATCGCTGGGATCAGTGCTGGCGTTCTCGTCTTTATACTGCTGGTGCTGGTAGCCATCCTACTGGTCAAGAAGAGGTGAGTGAGAGCCCCTAACCGCGCCCACTAAAACAGCTTTAATGGAAAAGTTTGATGAAGAGTGCAAATACTACATGAACAGTACGACACCAACACACGTGCAGATGCAAGAACACAGACACAAATATGCACTTGAATCCATTCTCTTGTTGTGTGTTGGTCCAGTATTTGCTGTAGTAACACCATCTTCCATCCATCCACCATAAACGTTGATCTCCCTTCAGAACCAGCTTCGTTTCGTTCTGTTTTTAAGGCAATAAATATCTGAGGGCTTGTGTTCCTGAGATCTATTTGAAAACATGGAATTTCTAAAATTAGAAACTCCTGCCTCAGAGTTTGATTTAGTGCAAGAAAGATCTGAAGCCATGGTTTTTCTTTTCTTCTACAGTACAGCCGTTGAATCAAACTAGACAAAACAACCACTCAGAACATGTGACTGAACTGAAAGTAAGAAAGAGACAGACACAGTGACAGTAATAACATACATATAATATATAACATAATATCTAAACCCATATAATTTGATCATGATAAGATGAGGATCAATTGTGCAAAGAAAAGGAGATTTTGGCAAAGTTGACTGAGGAAATTCAAAAATATTGAATGTAGAACGAAGGGTAGCTGGTTGGACTTTGGGTTAAAGGAACAGAAAGAAATGATTTTTTTAAGCCACTGGAGCACACACATTGCCCCATACACTTTGTTTGTTAAGGTTCACACTTAAAAGAATTCATTCTTTCATTTAGTGTAATGTAATGTACTAGATTACACACTTAAAAAGGGGACTGTACAGGTATGAGTAAGGCTTTTTTAGATAGAAGAAAAGAAAGAAAATATGAAGACTGGAGACTGAAAGAATGATATTTCAGAATCATTGTGTGTGTCTCTGTATCTCTACTCCAAGAAGAGCATTGAGAAGTATCACAGTTAGTCCCAGTGTGACTGAAACGTTTTGGCCTGTAATGTTATAGTTTGGTGCAGGGCTCCACCATGTGGAGACTATACACAATTACAACATGAGATCGCTGCTGCAGTTTTTAGACCGTAGTTACTACTGCATGTTTATTAAGCACTAAAAGTCATTTAATTTCCAGTGGTTCACATCCACCTCCAATGAAACATATCGTTTTTTAACATGACAGTAGCATTATTTGTGGACCTCTGCAGTAATTAGCATTGCTGTAGCATTACAGTACCACATTTCAAGTTGATCTAGTGGTAGTCGCACATCATCAGACACTGACATAGAAAAGTTATACACCACAAGGCAGTTCACAGTGGCTTAATTGAATTGTGTAATAGGGATTATCACATCAAACGTCTATGAAGCTATTAGGAGAGCCATCTTCATGTTTTAAACGGAACCCCCCACCTTAAGTCTAGACGTTTTGCATAGAACCTGCTCTCTATTCATCAGATTTTATCTAACTAACTGTGAGGTTACATGAGGTTGTATTATGCCTTTGTACTCAGGGCGTGTGGGTGCATATGTGTATGCACACATTTAGAAGTCATAAAATGAGTGCATGTGTGTAATAATTAACTATTACTGAACATGTCGTTCTTCCTGTGACCTTTCAATTAAAATTTGGTGTTCAGGGAACCTGAGTGCCTCATTAAAAAGAGAATAATTAGGAATTTCATTTGCATATTCAGGTCAGATACATTCATGTCAAGTGCGTCATATCACATCTATTATTATTATATTAAAAAGTAGCAACATAAATAGCTCAATTTTCTCATTGACCATCATGTATCTCGAGCACATTACAGGAAATGTAGTATTAATTATCATCAACTTACTTTCAGGAGATACTGTACATGATCTCCTCTGAACACTGAGGTATTGCATCTTGCCAGAGGCTTTCGCGAGCAACCAGGAAATAAGTCTCTCAATTACAACCAATCAGGATCTCACGCAGCAAATCAAAAACAATTAAAGACATTAAATTACAGTCAGTAATGAACTCTTGCCATCAGATAACTTTGTAGCCCATAACCTTTATATTTTTATACTGATTCTCTGAATGAACTCAAGTGATCCAGCATTTGAGCTGCTGTAGCTTTAGTGTCAAAGTGTAATTGTAAATGATAATCAAAGGACGAAAGAGTAGAAGCTGTGACTATTTTGTGATACCCGAAAGTGTTTGAAATATACTCACTATCATCCAAAAACTTGACAGTGTTTGATCCATAGCTTGCAATGAGTGGCATGATTAGTCTAACATGTTTTACCAAGCATCATCTGTCCCTTGAGGATTTTAGGCCTTTTGATAATAGAAAATTGGTCCAAATTGAACGATGCATTTTTGGAAGACCACTGTTGTTTACGACTGTGTAAATGTACGCACAGCCTGGAGGACCTGAATTATGTGTATGTGGTTGTTTTGAACTGTAACCAACTCAAGCTGCATTCATGCATCTGGGCTAGAAGAGACATCAAACAACCATCAGCACTTCATCACTAAGCATTCAAGGGACTGCCACGGGATGACAGTGTTGCTAAAATGTTATATTTAGGTTATATAAACTATATATTCCCAGAGAGAACAACTAAAAAGGAATGTTATTTTTGGAGACAGGAAATATTTATTTAAGTGTTATGTTTAAAGATGTTTCTAGGTACAAACTTGGTGTTTTTGTTGTTTCTTTAGTTAAATGTTTTGCCTTATTTATGAGAAACTATGAGATTGTGTTGGAACCAACATTGATCATTTCATGACAGCAGTTTCTGGTTGAGAGCACATATTTGCATATCTTTCCATGGAATATAAAATTGCCTTTGAGCCACCTAAAGTGAGTCCTAAAAACTTGGTTTCAGTTATAACATATGATTGTTTTGAGCTATGACATCAATTGTTTTGAACAATAAAAATGAATGTTCATTCTGACATTTTTAGATTTATTTGTAACTGAACTGTGACAGCTGACTTGTGTCACCCTCATGAGTGTGAGGTTATGTTGACAGCGTTAAGTAGTTTTCCATAAAGGTTTCTGGGGAGATCAATCTTCATTGTCATTGAACCTTTACAACTTTGAACAATACTGCATCTTTAAAATGGTGGGACATGATGACATCGCAGTGATAGTGTTACAGATCGGATAGCTCAGTATTAGTTTTGACAAATTGTTTACTATCCATAGGAGTAAGTAAAGGTGATTGGCTGAGTAGGGCTAAAAATGTCTAATCAGGGCCGTCCAGTTACAGTAAATGCAGCTTAAATATTGCATGAATATTTTAAATATGACACCTCCAGAAGTAAAGAAGAGAAAGACTACATGTTAATTAAAAATTGATAATTCGTTGGTATTTGAGTACTAGTTTCTCTTAGTATCTTAGCTTGTTTATTAGTATTTATTTAGTAATTAAACTTAGACTTTTACTTTTTTAAAGAAATAGGGCCCATAGTTATAATAACAACCCCTTGCATGACCCTCAAGTTGTAGCAATCAAAAGGTGTTTTCTTCTGTTTCTGTTGTTGCTGGTTGGGACAGGACAGTATTGTCCTAATTTGCATATTCATGACCCTTGTGTCTCATTCTTTGCTTTCTGATTGGCTCACAACCCCAGGAGGACCTACTATTCATACTCTTATTACCTGTAAGTAAACAATCAATCAACAATCAGCTCACCCAGCTGCTGTTATCTTATTGGGCGAATTATTAGTGGTTAGTTGTTGTTATTTTTAAAGATGCAGTATACTTTTTTCAAGACAAAACACATTTTCAGCTCTGACCAACCAGCCAAAGCCATCCTCATTGACGCCTTGCCAGGGTAGGGGTCAATCCACTTTCATGTCAGTCAGGTCAGGACTTCAGCGAATTTCTTACTTTCAACCATCTATATGAACATATTAAAAGATATATTAGATACTGAAAATGAGAGAATGTTGATCATTTCATGTCTAAAAATAACAATAAATAAATAAATAAATGCCGAATCATTAGCAAATTTAGTGTCAGCTTCTATGAAAGTGACTGAACTGACAGTGAACTGACCTCAGCCCTGGTGTCCTCTACATGCTCCAAAGTTGCTCTGAAGCAGGCTTATGAAGGCCAAAGTTGGCCATGAACCACAACAAAGCAGGCCAAAGTGGGACGACACAGGCCTAAGCGTGTTATTTGAAAAAAGAATGCTGCACTTGTGACTTGTAGCTCTTTGTGTGCATGTAGTCATGTGATCATCCATCCGCCCATCAAGTCACAGGTATCATGGTAACTCTGCTACACATGCTCAGTGTGTCTTTCCTGGTTCCCGTCCTGAAACAGTCGGCTTCCTGTTTAGAGCACATGGCTCTGATTGTGGTAGTTCTTGGTGGTTCTTCTCGTGTTGTGGGTACTCCTGTCTTTCTACCACTGGCTGTGACCAAAATGGATCCCTAATCACTTCTTTAAAAAAACAAAGGTGGGGACTATTTAGCAGTAACAAGAGCACAGATTCATAAATAAATATGGACATTTATTAATCACCAGTTTGTGTGTGCATTCACCAGACAAATAAACAAAATGTAGCCAACATTAAGGCATGACCAGTGAGCACCGATCGTGTGTCTTTGAACAGGATAGTTATGAATCAATAATGAGTGTAAACCAATGTGTTATTGATTATGGGGAGAGAGGTAATTCTGATTTGATAAGATGGGATTGTTCACAAATGTTGTTCTAACTCTATCAGACTATTCTCTGTTTACCAGGAAGTAGCAGTGTTCCAAGAAGTTCAAATGACATTGCGAGACAAATTAGCATATTTTCAAATACTTTTATCAGGCAATGTTTACTGTCAAATAATTAAAAAAAAATTTCAGTAATTTTTCACATTATATAAATTCTTCTCTAGGCTTTTTGTTTTACCAAACCACTCAAACAAAGATTACCTTTTTCACAAGAGAGGACATTGCAATGTTTTTAGTTTTGCTATTCATTAGTAAGAGATTTGCAGGATGTTTACCATTTTCAAGATCAGCCATGTTCAGTAGATATTACAGGACATTTATGAACAAATACTGTGCAAAAACATGTGTGAAAAAATCTATTTAATTCACCTTAAAAATAAATGAATAAAGACCCACTCTAGTTCTGGTCACAGCTACCCCCTTCTCTTTCTCTCTGTTTTACCTTCTCTCTCCATTATGTACAAACATATACAGTACAAGTGCACAGCATATGGTGGTTTATAATATATATTTATGGCCTTCTCTTCTATGTTTGTGTTTTCTGTTGACAACCAGTAATACACTCACAAAAACTCACACAAACCGGGTCTGCAGTTAAATCAATGTTCCTACTGAGTGCGTGAGTGTATGTGTATTATGTGTGTGTGTGTGTGGTCTTAGAGGTGGAGTTGGTGTATTTTGGGGTCCAGAGGTAAAATATTCAATAAAACACAGCATGCTTTCTGTTTGTACACTGGAAAGAAGTCAGAGCCGTACGTTGTATCAGTTATGCAACAATCAAATATCAATTTCTTCATCAAACCTCTGAGAGATTTTTTTTTATATTTATGTTGGAGTTCTATACGAGCAAGGAACTAACTAATTTAAAGCTTATAAACATGTAAACACATGATAAATGCCTGTTGACCTGTAGTGATGTTGTCCTAACTGATGCACATCTATGGCTCTGGGTACAAAATGTTCCTGCATGCTCTGTCATGCTCGAAAGTATTAAACCCTCTACAGTTATTTTTCCTGGGATTTTATGGATTACACACACTGAGAGAATTGCCTTGATGTTTAGAATTTAATCTTGTTATTTTTCTTCACCAGACACCAGATCTCATCATAAAGAACAGTTTCTGTTGCTGGCACACACAAAAAATGCGTTATTTAATTCCACAATACAACAACAGCATGTGAAGAAAAATAGGAGATTAAAATTGAAAAATCAGGTATCTCTAAAATGTATCCTAGAAATGCAGTTAACTGTTCTCTCATAATTCTGGACTGACTATTTATTAAATGACCTCAAATCCTACTACTGATACTGTATGTTGATAACTGTGGTACTCTGGTTGGTACATGGTTTTCCCTGAGCCTCTATAGATCATAAGTCATTCCCTTACTCTTGTTTTAACGGGATTTTCCCTTTGCTGTCGGATGAAAACCACACCAAAATTTTGTTTTGTGTTTTTTTTTTCACTTTATTGAAAGCTGATAATCATTCTGATAATGAAGGAAGCTAATGAAACTAGAAATAGACTTAAGAACAAAACAAAAAAGTCAAAGGATTTCATCTGACAGCTCATTTATTATTTACTTAGGTTGATAACAGATTTCCCTTAGCTACTTGTGGGTCATAGGTTATTTTCCCTGTTCTGTATTAGACTCTATTTTTCCTTTGCTCTTATAGCTGAGCCTGTTACATGCTGCCATTTACAAACAAGTCTTTCCTCTATCTCCCTTGCCTGTTCTCTCCTCTTTCATCCTTTCTTCTTTTCTCCTTTTCTCTTCCTTGCTGGTTCTAAACTCTGCATCTTAAATCAGCAGCCTGCAGCCCCCCAGCCGTGCTGGTATTGCCAAAAAAGACATGATACAACCTCCTCCATACAAAATCATACAAAAACAATTGACTATTCCCTACAAGGCGGTGGTCTGCAGGCTAACTGATGTTTGTGTTTTTGTTCATAAGACGCCTGATTGTGTCTGTCTCTACCCCCAACAGGAAATTGGCTAAAAAACGTAAAGACGCCATTGGAACGACACGGCAGGAAATGACTCACATGGTGAATGCCATGGATCGCAGCTATGCTGACCAGAGCACTCTGCATGGAGAAGATCCCATGGCTGTGACATTCATGGACTCTCACAACTACAACAACAGATGTAGGTTTATAAACAAGACTATTACTATTAGTATTGTAATTTTTAACTATAAACAGTGGTATTAACCATCAAAACACAAAACTCTGTGAACTTGGAATCTAATATTCCTTTTCAATTCTAACAAATCTGTGTCGTTTCATCTTTCTTCTCTTCTATCTCCACTAATGAGACTTGGATTTTACAGTACACCAACATTGCAGAGTTATTCTTACATTACAGTTCACAAGCTCAGTTTAACAACATTTAATTGGGGACACAACTAGAGCTGTCCAAAAATAGTGAAAAATGTCCATGACAGTTTCCCAGAGTCTAAAGTGATGTTTTCAGATGTCCGACGATCAGTCCAGTTCCAAAGGTATTAGGTTTGCAGTGGTTAAAAAAACAGAGAAAAGTAATAAATCCTCACATTGGAGAAGCAAGAACTAGGTTATGTTTGGTTTTTTTTCCTGGAAAATAACTGAAACAATGAATCGTTGATCAAAATAGTTACCAATTAATGTTCTAAGTAACGTCTAATCATTCAGCTGTAGAAATAACAACTCAAGCGATACTTGTTCACTCATGTTTAGGTCATGACTGAAGAATGTGTAGTCCATCAGTAGCCATACAGAGCTTCCTGATGCTCACTGCTCACTTTTAGGTCCTCATCTATGTTTGAGTAATGCTGAAATTTCGAACATTTCCTCACCGTGTTTCCTCCTGCAGTGCCCAACGATCCTCTGGTTCCTACCGCTGTGCTAGGTGAGATTTCTGGCATGGTCGGATTATTCACATTTACCTCCAAATCCCTTTATTGATCACCCATCATCATCTCAAAGCCCCTGTTCTTGTAGCCCCCTCTTGTATGTCCCAACCTTGTGTCCAGTTAAAATGTCAAACATGGTCAAAGTCACCCTGCAGTGTTCTGTGCTTTGACCTCTGTCAAGTACTGTATGTTTATGTGGGTGGAGGGTTTGGCTTGATTGAAGTTTGGGTACCACAATGTTGTCTCAAATCTACATTTTAGAAGTGCTAGATGTTTAATATCCCAAGTATTACCGCAGATAGAGAACATAAGCAAATCAACAAGCAGTGAAAAGCACTGGAATGAACATAAAAAGAGATAAATCCAGCAAAACAAACTAAATGGATGTTTGGATTTGGTTCAAAAGTAATCTAAAGATGTCTGCTTTCTGTGCCACCTAATGCCAACACTCTGTGTAAAACATGGCCGGTACTAAAAACTCAAACAGCCAAGCACTTCGTCTGCCGTACTGTGTTTGCCCGAGGTTCAATCACTCCCAATCCCAGCCACAGTTTCTGTATCCTGCTGAGAGTTATTGCTATTCACTGTAATTACCATCATTCTCCCTTAGAGACCTCATTATTTCCACAGTTTTGACTTGTTTTAAGGCATGCCATTTCCCGTCCCCAAAAAACGACAGAAACTGATGCTTAAAAGGAGGAAGACACTTTGTTACATTGCAGCTGCAAAATGACTGCAGATTATATTTGTGACATCAAGTGACAGTGAACAACTTAGTGCCTACAGCGCTGTGTGTTTGGTGGAGGTTTCTTCTGTGCACTGGATCTAGACGTCTGCTTGAGTATCTACCATCTGCGTTATTCCCCAGGCTTGTTTTGATGCTGATGCCCCACTCTGAATCGCAAAAGCTGTAGTTTTTGCCAAGTTGGATGTTATTCCAGCTCCAGTGTTGCACTGCAATGTGTTTATCTTTAGTTTAGTCTGGTGTTAACACTGCAGCATGATGTGGAGTTCTAACATACCCTTAAGGCCCCCACAATACACACCGCCACCAAACTGTGTTAATTAACTGTTCCATTGCCTCTAATTTGGAGTGAAGGCTGCAGTTACAATCTGTCTTGGCCAATCACATCACAGAGTGGAAAGAAGTAGCAGGAAGTAGTGAATTAAGAGGCAGTGTCGGGTCAGGTTTACTGTTAATTGGCCTGACGAGGGCTTAACAAACCTTTAACAATCAGTAATGAGCTAACATGTCCTCGGAGCAGAGAAAAGCATCAGTTGGATGAAATAAACAGTGTCAGTTAATAAACAGTTTGAAGATGAAATCAGTCGGTTGTGCTGCAACCCCAAGCTACTCCATTATACAACCTGTCAGTCTGTGCATTACCACTGTCAACTCACATTATTCCCCACAGCACAGAATCACTCACCTGGAACTTCTGCAACAATTTGACCTCATAATTATTAAAATTACCTGCAACTGAAATACTTTTTTATTATTGTACACGCTTCTAAAGTACAAAGTTAATTACATCATAGATGCTATACTCACAAGTGATAATTCAACCTGACACAAATCTGCACTATATAGCAGATGATCACACATCTGTGGTTTAAATGTATTATGTTTTGTTTGACTAACAGATGTATCATATAGTTCCAGGTGAAGCATGTTAATGTATTGTAAATACTGAATAAAACCATCATCTTTTACCATTACACTGTGTATTGAAGGTGTAGAAAGCTTGGAATAGTTGAGTGAAATGTGTTTGAAGCAGCAGTTACTAAATCAAGTAATGTAATTGTAGCTGTGCGCCACTGTAGTTTCTCCTTTGCGCTTGCAAGGGAAGGGTGAAGCAAGGAGTTTGCAATCTGTAACTATACCGCTAGATGGCACTAAATCCTACACACTGGTCCTTTACTGTTTATTATCATTTTTAAGTCACGCTCCATTGTTTTGTGAGATCATCCACTGTTTTTTTGGATCCTCTATCATGTTTAAACCTATAAAGTCCCTTTAGATCAATCAAAGCTGTTAAATTAACCTGCAGTTAATGTTTCGAGTCTTACTAACAAATCTTTTTGCTCCTTTCTTTTTCTGCTGCTTTGACATGTAGTTCCAATCACAGGTGAGTATAGACAGAAAACAAGGAGACTAATGGTTTGCTTGGTTTCAGGCTGTATTTTCTTATGGTAACAGTTCAAAGCCAGCACCTAGAGCTGGCTTTGGGAGATGAAAAAGTCATTATTTTGTTACTTTTATGTAGGTAAAAGTTCTTTACAAGCCAATAATCACTGAAAGTACATGATTTTATCCAACCTATCTTAACTCACAAAGCCTTGGACATCATTGTACTTCATAATTCTGATTTTAAAAAACTGATCCATTGTGTTTATTTTTATTCCCTGGCCAGAATAAAACACTGTTTAGTGCCTTTAGTGAAACCACTGATAAATGTAATGCAAATCTTGGTTACTTTGTGATTAAACTAACCAGTAATTCCCTGTCTTCTTGTAGATGAGAACCACAGTGCCTCTGCAGCAGAGAACAGCAGGCTTCTGGATGTTCCTCGGTATCACTGTGAAGGGACTGAATCTCCTTATCAGACAGGACAGCTCCACCCTGCCATCAGAGTGGCCGACCTGCTGCAGCACATCAACCTAATGAAAACATCTGACAGCTACGGCTTTAAGGAGGAGTATGAAGTAAGATTATTATTAGCAGTACTTTTATACAGTTGTATAAGCAGCCTGCTGCAAAAGCAGAAAATGTATTACTAATAGAAGCGTAAGTGGATGAAGTAGTGATTCAAATGCTATTACCTTTAGTTTAGCCGTGATGAGGATATTTATAAACCTATATCAGAGGAAGATATTTAAAATGTCTTGTACGCACATTTTCAATGAGGAGAACAAGAATTATGAAAATCAATGATGCTTTATTTGATGTTTTGGCTTTACATTAAAATGATAAAATGACTGTAAGGGTTGAATTGCCTCTTAATTTGAGAGTATTTTCTGCTTTATTGACTAAACAGTCAAAGAGCTACAAACCTTTTTTTTATGGTCCCGTTTTTTATATTTAATAAGCATTATATCACGTACCCATGGAATAAAACCACTAAAGCAAAACATTAAAGTACTGCTCAGAGTCATTCAGCACGGATGTAATTGTTAAGGATCCATGACGTGTAATTTCCTTTCCCATTGTTTTGTCTGTTGTTGGTGATACAGAGCTTCTTCGAGGGCCAATCGGCCTCCTGGGATGTGGCCAAAAAGGAGCAGAACCGCACCAAGAACCGCTACGGGAACATTATAGCATGTAAGTTAGCAAGCAAGCTTGATTTATGTGTGTTCATAACAGAAGTTACAACTGGTTTGGCTCTTGTGAGACTTTGTGAGACGATGTTCCAGAGTTTGACGAGCAATAACTCCAAAAGAACAATTACCTTTAGTTTCCAGCCTTTACCTTGGAACCGCCATCAGTCCCTGCTCTGAAGATCTGAGACTGTTGTGACCTCAGATTCCCAAGATCAGAGTAAAATGTACTCAAATTTTAAAGACAAGAGAGTCTTGCCTGCCTGAAAATTTTGTTTAGTAAATTGTTTGACTTGTTTTGTTGTTTTTCTTTGATTATGTACAGTTAATTCATGTCTTTTGATTGTGATATTTAAGTGTATTAACGAACTAACTGGTCACAGGACACAGCACCTCCAAGAGAACCTGCATTGTAAGGACTCACAGCTATGATCTGTTCTGCAGTCCTGCCTTATTGTATGTTTAATATAGTGACAGTAGAGCATGAAACTTAAACTCCAATGTCATTCCCCTAAATGTTGTGTCTGAAAACATGGCTTCAAATTGTAGGCATTTCTTTGTGATATTAAATATTCATCCCAGAAAAAGGCGACAAATCAGGTTAAAAAACATGATGGTATTATTTATTAATAGTTTAAAAGGCATTTAATCCACTTTCTTTTTCTCTTCTCTCTATGTCACTGTCTCTCTCTTTGTTTACATCTCTTTCTGCTGCTCTCTCTCCAACACTGTATTCTTGTGTCTTCCTTTAGATGACCATTCAAGGGTTATTCTCCAGCCCATAGAAGACGATCCCTCCTCCGACTACATCAACGCCAACTACATCGATGTAAGTGGAAACGCATCGAATGCTACTATTGGCTCCCAACGAAACCAACGAAACCACACTCCCTCGCTCGTATGTCAGGCCTCTATACCTTTATTGCGTCTACTAGTCATCCATCGTACCATTTTACACATCCAGCCACCCTGAAAACACATCATACATACTACAGTACTTGTGTCTTTCTCTGGTGTCAGTTCTGCTGTCTTTCTCCTGTCTCTATCCATGTATTCATGTATGCATCCATTCTGAATTTATCATAGCCAATTTGAATTGCAATTTAGTCTGTGTGATTAAATTCAACAATAGATTTTTAGTCATCATTTGGATTTAGTAGAACTTACTTAGTCTTAACGCTAAGAGCGATACAAAGAGAGATGTTTTTTCTTCATAATTCAAATCTTTTAATGAAATAGTTTGGGTATTTGTTTTACTTTCATGTTGTTTAGGTGGACTTTATTATTTATGGACAGAGCTGTTTCCCATCTTTATGCTAAGCTAAGCTAACTGGCTCATATATATTATACATACATGAGAGTGGTATTGATCCTTTCGTCTAACTCTAGGCAAGAAAGTGAATAATAGTATTTTGTTATAGTCACTGCAATTAGCCTTCAGTCCATCAGTCCATTCATTCATTTTATATATATACTGTTCATTTTCCATCACCTATCACTTCATAACGCCACTGCTGTCATCTTTACAACAATCATCTGCATGTTAGTCTCTCACATTGTGCTTTTTTTAAATGCTAATACTGCTTATAGCATTATCTTCTGTATTATCATTTACTACCATTAAAACGATCACATGCATGCTACCACTCACTTTAAGCTAGAACTAGAATGAATAGAGTGGACACTTCCTGTTGTGTCCATCTTATCTCTATTGGAACAACAGAGATAGATACATGGCTGTCACATAATTTGGATTTTGCTCTAACATAAATGACAATGAGCTTTAAGACAAATAAATCTAGAATGTAAACAACAATATAGCTGTAATGTTTGTTAAATTAGATTGTAAACAATCAGCCAACAGGAAATGTCCTTTCTATTCAGTCTAAGTTTTAGATCATGTTTTTTTTTCTGCATGTCCTGTTCAAACTCCCATTATGTCAATGCAGCTTTTCTTTTTTCTACTTGACACTCACTGACATTGTTGTGCTTTCTTTCTTCCTTCCTTCCTTTCTTTCTTTCTTTCTTTCTTCCACTCGCTCTTTCTGCCTGTGGCTTGGGCTATAGATTTGGCTGTACAGGGATGTAAGTATCACTGTGGATTATCTCATTCATGCCCCTCAACCTTTACAACCATTCATCCGTTCATACACTCGGCATTACACACATCAAGTCACGTTGTTCGTACATTTTGAGTTGCTGGGGGCTTCTCTTGCTGCGAGAAAGATTTCACTCCATCTTTCCCTCCCACCACCTTACATCCCACAATGTGCTGTTAATAAGCTTATGCCTGTTTTTGTCTTATTACAATCAGTGGTTGTCATAGCTTTTTGCATCTGACAGTTGTTATAAAGGTGACAGGCATCAGTAGATAATCATCTGTAGGTTTTGACAGGGCTTTCATTATTTTGCACCTTTGTTTTGATAATTCAGAAATGTCAGGTACGAGTATTGAGAGTAAAAGTTCTCATCACCTTGATGAGATACAATTACATTCATTATATCGTCAAAATATTTACAGTTAATTAACAGTTAACTTTACTATTAACTTCTTAGCAGTGCTCCATAATGTTAATGTTGCACTGTGGACGTCACATGTGATACATACAGTTTTTATGCATATTGAGTTGTTTTGTTATGGTGTTTTCAGGGTTACCAGAGACCAAGTCACTACATTGCTACTCAGGGTAAGAGCCGGCAACACTGTCTAACACTGTTACGCAGGATGTTACAAATAAGACCGTTTTCTTCACACATGCTGTAGTCGTCATACAAAGTGCTGTGTGTCTGTGTGTAGGTCCTGTTCATGAGACAGTGTATGACTTCTGGAGGATGGTGTGGCAGGAACAGTCAGCCTGCATTGTCATGGTAACCAATCTGGTGGAGGTTGGAAGGGTAAGTTGCTCTTTTTACTCGCTTTTTGCCTTGCAAAGTTTATTCGGCTCCTTTGACAATTGGATGAAAACACAAGTCAGGGATCATGTAACACTTTGAAGTATCTTTGGCACGTCTGCCAGAAAGATATATTTTTTATCATTTTATTGTTTGTTAGTGTTGAATGTGTGCTAATGGAAAAAAATCTGTATCTGCCACTTAACCCAGGTTTTTGAACATGTTTTCTTATAATGATTATATTTAAATTTTATTCCGGACAGGTTAAGTGCTATAAATATTGGCCAGATGATGCGGAGGTGTACGGAGACTTCAAGGTGACTTTTGTGGAAGTTGAACCTCTTGCTGAATACGTGGTTCGCACATTTACGCTAGAGAGGGTGAGTGATATTTTATTAGCTTACTTACTTATTACTTGTTATTTTGCATTTACTTTGCATCATTTACAGTATTGTAAAATATTCACATTTCTATTTCTTAAACCTGATTCAACTATTGATAAAAATGTGGAGTTTGACTAGTTAAGGATGTGTTTGTTTCTTCTCTTTGTGTTCAGGGAGCTCCACACAAATTAATGGTTAATGAGTTTGAGTTCAATGAGGGAGCATATTTAATGAAATGTAAACTTGACAGGTAATAAGAAATGCAACTTAAATATGTCTTTCGTCTTTACCCAGCGTGGTTTCAACGAGGTGCGGGAGGTCAAGCAGTTCCACTTCACAGGCTGGCCTGATCACGGTGTTCCATATCATGCCACGGGACTACTTTCCTTCATCCGCAGAGTGAAAATCTCCAATCCACCCTCTGCTGGGCCAATTGTGGTACACTGCAGGTATAATAAAAACACATGCAAACCTTAATATACTTTATATTCTCTACCATGTCATCAATATGCACTCTTACATCTGAAATACGCATACATAGTCATAAATAATTCAGTCAAACATCTATTTGCTTTTTCCCTCTCAATAATAGCCCTAAAGGATGAGTTCTCACTCTGTGTTTCTCTCTGCAGTGCTGGAGCAGGGCGTACAGGCTGTTTCATAGTCATTGACATCATGTTGGACATGGCGGAGAGAGAAGGAGTGGTCGACATCTACAACTGTGTGAAGGCTCTTCGCTCCAGGAGGATCAACATGGTACAGACTGAGGTGACTGCATTACCCATCCTCCATCTGCATCCACATCTTAGAATATGAACCCTCACTGTAAGACTCAGCATGGTGTAGGCTGAAGTGACTACATATGCCACCCATTCATAAACATGTCATCTCACCACATAAACAAAGGATGTAATGCAATATATATTTATAACAGATTAAATTCATCTTATTTATTCAAAGCTACTATTTCAAGGATTTGGAAATATCTTACTTTGGCGCCATCCAGTGGTAGGATTAAGATATGTAATGGATGTTGCACCTAAAATGTAGCAGCTCCATCCCAAAGTGACCCTTCTAAACCCCCAAAGAAGAACTTAATGCATCCCCTTCGCTTCTTTTTTTTTAATCATGAAATTGCTAACAACATCAATTTTCTGTATGTTGTTACTACTGGGTCAACAAGACAAAAAGAGTCATTTTTCTGATGTAACGACCACAAGCTCCACACATTTTGTCATGGACACTTTTTGCCCATGTTACAATCATTATCATAATATTCACACACTGTAGTATTATTTATACTACCCAACAGTTCATCATCCATCAGATAACACATCACATTCAGAGTCTTTCACCAAAACCGCCTTCAGTTCACTCTCCCTGAACTGAAGCTGCAGTCATTTGCTTGAAAGATGCAAAACTACAATTTCCTGAGGTGAAGTAAACCAAAACTCGACAGTCGTCATCTCAATCATAGCTCCATCTCCCATCAGTCATCACTCACTCACGCTGTCAGCATGCTCACTTTCATTCGGTGTCACAGCTGTTTGTGTTATCCATGCGACAAGCTGTATGTGTTTGACTGTACTGCCAATGTTTTTATCTAGGCGAGAAAGATGTGTATGTATGTGATAATATGCATGTCTTGAATTATATGTCTTCAGGAGCAGTATATATTCATCCATGATGCCATACTGGAGGCGTGTCTATGTGGAGAAACAGCCATACCAGTCTGCGAGTTCAAAGCTGCTTTTTATGAGCTGATCCGCATCGACTCACAGACCAACTCGTCACATCTGAAGGATGAGTTCCAGGTAAATCTGATTGTAGTGTTTCCATTAAGGAGATCAGAGGCTCAGACACGTTTTGATGACATGATCAGCTTCTAAATCCTCTCCTGGCCAATTCTCAACAGTCAGACAAGTCAAAACAACCACATCAGTACATTTTCTACATTTACAATTAGGCCAAATCTGTGCAGCTGATCTAGAAGGCAAACTGTGCTTCAGTTTATATTAGAGCTGCACAATATGGTGAAAACATATTTTGACAGCTGACTCATGATCAGTGTGGGAATGATCATTTTTGCATCACAGATTTAATTTTCACTGAAAATATTAAAATCATAAAGATGTGAATTTTTTGTGGTCTGTACACAACAAACATATTTCTTACACCTGAAGATTGTTGGTCTCTGCTGCACTACAGTACTTCATTATAATGCTGTTTTGTCACTCAATTGCATTGTGTTTATCCTTGAAGCCTTACAAACATGTTGAAGTATTTTAAATCCTGCATTGTTTACTTGCTAACAGTCTTCATTTTCTTTGCTGGTGCTGGTGCTTTATTTATACACCCTTGTAAAAAAAAAATATAATGGTAAAAAAACTCAACCTCAACCGTACCTTTAACGTACCAGCAACACAACATATTTTATTGACTCCAGTTTTTGAAACATGCTTTTAAGATGTATTTTCATCTTAATGAATCTTTGATGCCTAACTTTACATAGGAAAGTAATGTTTATGCACTAACTTATGTGATATACATCTCTTTCTTTGTCCAGACATTAAACTCGGTGACTCCTCAGCCTCAACCTGAAGACTGCAGCATCGCATTGTTGCCTAGAAACCAAGATAAGAACCGCTTTATGGACGGCCTTCCTCCTGACAGATGCCTTCCCTTCCTCATTACAATAGACGGAGAAAGCAGCAACTATATCAATGCTGCTCTGATGGATGTAAGTCCATATCACATTCACATGCACATACAGTAAGGCTGTGTTATTTTCAACACATCAAGCAAAGGTAGTTTGGGACATTTCACACTGTGTGTTCTTTTTTAAAAGGGAACTTGTGAAAATCGCCCTTTAGACCTGCAGATGTGTTGCTTTTAACACAATTTGAGTATATGCAACACGAAAAAGTAAAAAAACAAACCAAAAAAACAATGTATAATGTCCCAAACTGCAATCACATAGTTGTTGAAAATGATACACACTTTTAAGAGATTAAACACAAATTATGATAAAGAGAAACACTTTTACATTCAAATATTTATGCACATGTGTTTATACAGACAACACTCACACACACACAGACTCCCCTCCCTGTTTGTGTGATGCTGTGTTTGTGGTTTTAGCAGCAGAAGGCTAGAGACAAATCCAGGTTCTGAAAAGACCACTAGCTTCTCTGGCCACCACCCAATCTTTTACAGCCTCATTGTTGCAGGACATTGTTCACATTGGCAACAGTTGACATTGTCTCAACATGCTGCCCATGCACCATGACTTGAAAAACAAAGTCATTAGGTAGAGAGATATTTAAGGTAAGATAGAAATATTTGGTCATTGTCAGGCATAATTACAATTTAATGTTTATTAGCAGGTTTGTTTTCATAGACATTATACAGAGAGGGGGGGAGATATTAAGGGGTGGGCTGTAGATACAGTATGTGAGTTTATAATAATGGTTGAAACACAAGATGTTATACATGCATGGAGTGGAAAGAAACCTGGCTTCTCTCCAACAAAGCTGTTGGAGTACAAAAATACTGTAATTGCTGTAAAACGTCTGGAATTCAGTCCCATTTTTTAAAAGTTTACCTTCAAAGTTTAGTTACTTACCTTTGGCCTCTCTCTAATCAAGCTGTCAGAAGAGTTCCAGGTAATGGGATTTTACTTCAAATCTCCAGTACTGGATTTGTTTCATGGCTTCAGTGTCATTCTGCCACCAGGTTTATGTTTAGCAAAGCCATTTACACCCTAAATCCTGAACCTGACCCCCACATTAGATTCTCCTCATGATTACAAGTCATTCACACCCATGTCACACATTTGGCTGCACATTTCCATTCAGGATGAGCTGGGCTCAGTTCACTTTCTGTTCAATCAGTTCATTAGGTCAAGAGAAACTGTGAGACTTTTGTTTGATTTCCTCTTTTATTTAGTGACTGACAAATTGGCGATTAGAGACATTTTTAATGTGAACTTAAACTGACCATGAAGTTAACTGACCCTGTTAGATATAGATGTAGATGTAGTGTGTGTTTGTATATGTAATGCATGCCCCTTACCCTTTTCATAGGCCCACTGCATGATCATGTGACCAAACATCACCCGTGTTGCCTGCTATCCCTTTCAAAATGTCCCACTTTGATCTGCTGTTTGTGTTTTAAAGTGTATGTATGTTTGAGAGAGAGAAAGAAAGATGGAATAAAAAGACGGATAAACATAATTAGGTATCGAAATGGAAATGCAGAGTTTCTAAGGTTGTAGACAAAATGGCACAGCTGTGTGTATGAAAGACCTGACATTGTGTTTGTCTGTTTCTGTCTGCAGAGCTACAGACAGCCTGCTGCATTCATCGTTACCCAGCATCCTTTGCCTAACACTGTCAAAGACTTTTGGCGCCTGGTTTATGACTATGGATGTACCAGTTTGGTGATGCTGAATGAGATTGACCTGGCTCAGGTAATTCAGGTTTCTGTCGCCTTAATATCATAACTTCATCATTTCATAATGTCAAAGATGGTATTTTGGATATAATATAAAGTTCCACCCAACAACATCAATAAATATAGTGGTATCACTTAAATAACTTTATTATACTGTAAACATACATCAACTGTATATACCCTTATACACAGACACAACGTAACTAACATAACAAATAAAACAGATACAATTGCAGATATCCTTTGATAGTTGTAATGTTTTACACTGCCATTCCTAAAGCTGTGAAGTAAATTCTCTTTGCACACCACACTGAAATTATTTCTATTGTCATTTGCATAAAAAAAAAAAGTCTGTGAACAGAGAGAAACTTAAATAATACTGAAGAAAATTATTCTGTCTTGCAGTTACTGAAAATTTGTATTACAAGGTTAATATTGAATTAAAATGTCAGTGTAGCCCCAACATCTTCAACACGTTTCCCTGATTGTGTGGAAATCTGATGTATTCATATCAAAGATGATCAAAACGTGAGTTACACAAAAACCTGACACACATTTCCACCACAGGAACTGCTGATAAGAGGAGTTTAGTGTGGCATTGAACTGAGAAAAAAAAGGAACAAAATTCCAATGTATTCAACAGCCAAATCCAATTTGACTGCCAAAAACTTCTGAGTTCAGAATACAACTTTACTGTCTACAAAGGTAGAAAATTTGCTCACCAAGACCTCAATCAGGCATCAGCCATATAACATAAGAGTAAAAAAAATGCTTAAAACTTTGAATGTTGCACTTCCATTTATCTCAGTGTCTGTCTATATTCTGTGTCTAACTGCTGTAACTTTGTGCTCAGGGTTGTCCCCAGTACTGGCCAGAGGAGGGCATGTTACGTTACGGCCCCGTCCAGGTGGAATGTATGTCCTGCTCAATGGACTGTGACGTTATCAGCAGACTTTTCAGAGTCTGCAACCTCACCAGGGTTAGTAGATTCATATTACACTGTTGTGTTATGGTTTTCTTCAAGACTAGTTCTGCCTCAGTGTGTTTTTGCAAAATGAAACAAACAGAAACAGTGTTAACTCATTACTTCCAACAGAAAATTATTAAGTCAAAGCTGTCGTTGAACCGAATTCAACTCTCTAAATATGTGTGTGTTGTTCGATCTCTCAGCCTCAGGAAGGCTACCTGATGGTCCGTCAGTTCCAGTACCTGGGGTGGGCGGGACACAGAGAAGTCCCCGCCTCCAAACGCTCCTTCCTCAAACTGATCCTGCAGGTCGACCAGTGGCAGCGTGAGGGAGAGGAGGGAGAGGGAAGAACCATTGTGCACTGCCTGTGAGTACACACCAAAAATACACAGTCTCATACACTTCTTTTAAGAACTACATTTAGAGATGGAGTGTGAAAGCAATCAGCAGCTCTTTAAAGAATAAATATCTGATAATTTGTTCAAGTGAAGATAAAAAAGGATAAAAAAAAGGTCTTTATTTAGCAGTGCTCTAATAAGGACATATAGGCACTTGAGCAATAGTAGTTAATACCAGTTATTTTTTTAGCATTTAAACAAAGACTCAGAGTTACACTTCTATTTTAGTTTTTTTGGTCTGATGATTTACAACATGTACTGACAAGCAGGATGATTTGTGCCAAAATCAGTGTGAGAGCTGGCAAAATTACAAATGCAATATTAAATTGTGCATTTTGTCACGTATCCCTGCACTGTACTGTAACTCTGTCCCTGTGTTCACAGAAATGGAGGTGGGCGTAGTGGAGTTTTCTGCGCCAGCAGCATTGTGTGTGAGATGGCCAAGAGACAGAGCGTGGTCGATGTCTTCCACGCTGTAAAGACCTTGAGGAACAGCAAACCTAACATGGTGGATACTCCGGTAAGTTAGTGAGAAGGAGACACAGGGAGTGAGAGTAAAAGTGGTTTGGTTTATTGTGAATATTTAAATATATTTATGAATATACAACATATCAGACATAAAAAGCCAAAATATGAACATGTGACCACCCAGATGGTAAGTTAAGTTCACGTGTCCGTGTTTGTCTACAGGAACAGTATCGCTTCAGCTACGACCTGGCACTGGAGTTCATCGAGTCCTCTTAAACAAAGGAGAGAAAAAGAAGAAGAAGAAGAGGAGGAGGATTAAGAGGAGGAGGTGAAGAAGAGCAGAACATCTTTTCACTTCCCATGTGTTTGATCCTTTGCTTTCGCTTGGTCCCGACTCCCCTCTGTGGCGGCCGTTCTGTAGCACCCGTTTTGTGTCCCTACAAATGGCACAAGCAAAAACCGGCTCCTCCTCGCGCAGCGTTGTGAAGAATCCAAATAAAGGGAAGAAAAGTTCAGACTTTTAACAGAATGAGCTGCTGGGAGTGCAACACGGGGGGGAGATGTTACTCCTTTTCCTCCTTTACGCTTATTGTACAGCTTTTTTGAGTGCCAGCGGGCCCCCCTGTATGTTTTGGGCCCCATTTAAATGTTTAACGTCTCATCACAAGCCCTCCCCTACCCCCACCTCCCTCCCATGGACTTGATGCCTCATGCTGTGTCAGCTGCAGTACTCAGTGTGCACTGTAGATGTCTCCCTCTCCCCTTTGCAAGCTGCAACCACAGCTTTTGAATAACTGCAAGTGCTAGTTTTCAGTGGCCACACATTCCTGCTCTCATGCTAATTTCTGAGTAACTTAACAGTGTTGGGCATCTCATCATGGTGATGTTTGAATATTTTGCAGCCAGTACTTTTGTACAAGAAAAAGAAACTTACAGCCTGGCCAAACTCTGTGAATGCTTCTGTTTTCTACTCCATACATCAGCGGCCATCTTCATGTTATTTTTCTGGTTGTTTCAGTGAGCATTATTATGGATTTAAGTACTTAAGAGCCACTTTGAACCCATTTTGCATTGGTTACATACAGGAGGTTGTCAGATAACAGAATACAAAGACACAGAAAATAATCTTAAATGTCTGTTTGCTAATTTGATGAATAAACTTTAGAAAGAAGACCAACAATGAAACACAACAAAAAAGTTTACACAGGGAGTATTAGGCTTTTAGGTTCACTTTTGTTTTTTTTGTTTTGTTTTTTACAACATCATGAAGTGGCAACTTAAAGAAATGTGTAGGATTTTCACTCAAATGTATTCCGTTCGAACAAGTGTGATATGTGTCATTGTTTATGTTTCCTGCAGCCACTGTGGGCTGCAGAGTGGATTTTCTGTGCTTTACTGATCTACTGGATAGAAGTCTTCTTTGTACCCCAAATTGTAAAAAAAAAAAAAAAAAAAAATGAATACTTAAGATTTTGTTCAACCATGTGACATTAGCATAATCATGTTTGTTTCAGGGCTGGGCCCAATGCACTTTCAATTCAGCCAATTCACAAATGGGATGTTTAATTTCAAATATGAACAGGGTTTTTGGGTACGAGGGAATCGGCTTATTAACTCTTAGAAAAAGACTGAGGATGCACGCTATTTTCGTGAACAGGTCAATTACAGTTTCCATTTATGGTTTGAATGGAATTGGAAGTGAACTGACCCCAGGCCTCATTCGTTTTGTGCACTGGTGGCCAACACTTTTTCTTTTTTTTTCTCCTCCTTGTTTTTTTATTATTTTGTAGCTGATGTTTATTCATAAGCCAAAGACTTTGTGTAAATATGTCTATATGGATAAAGCACATTGTTTGTATTTATTGTTTGTTTACTTGCATTACTTGTAAGAACAATCATTCTTCATTCCATGTTTACTCTACCACCAGCGTTTCTTAAACTGCGGCTCGGGACGCAAAACTGGGCTGCGAGTCTGTTTCCTCTGGAGTACTGAGAGTATTAGTTTGATTTAATGAGCCCATAATGGGTCCTGAGGTCAGAGGCTACAGCTGCTCAATTTGGGTCCGTGAAGAAAAAGTTTAAGAACCCCTGATAGAAGCTGTATATTAAAGCATTAGACGTAGTTTTTCAGTATTTAGGTGGAATTCAGTAGTATTGTCTTGTTTTCACTTAATGAAACTCTCTGTGATGTTACTGTGGTTTATTTGTGTAAAAGCCCCCATTTGCTCTGTTTGTGGTCAGTAGAACATCGGTGCATTTATATGCACAGAGTATTTTGGATAATAGTGCCTATCCCTCTTAACCTCTTAGTAGGGATAAGCTGTTTATCTTCATCCTCATACCCTGCTCACTCACATTACCCCTGAATACACACGGACTCAGTGATGCAAACGGGCTTAGTGAGTGAAACACGCAGGACTGTGGAACAAAAAAACATTTATTGTGCCTAATCATTTGAATTTCCTTGTTGATACAAGCATTTTAACAGCATCTTAGATCGCAACCAGGGCTTAGTTGAATGCGTTCTCATGGACGATCAATGTTTTGAATACCTTCTGGACCATGATTCAGTGTGTTTTATTAATCAGAATGCTTCATGAATTCTTTGTGAGGCTTTACCAGATGTGTTTCTGTTGTGCACAAACTGATTCAGATAAAAAAAACAAAACAACAACTTTATTGTAAATAAAATGTCAGAGGTTCCACGTGGTTGGAACAAGAGTAGCCCAGGTCTACTGTTAAGGATGTAAATAGACTATCATGAGTGCTATAAGAGGCTCTATTGTTGGATGAGCAGTAGAGATTTAGATGATGGATGCAATGTCAGAACATTAGTTCTGCTGTAGATAAAAAGTCAGAGATTGTACTCCTGGAGGATCCAACTTCAAATTTTGACAGATATTATTTGAAAAGCATTATAGTTTCCACTGAATACAGAACTTTATTCTGCTGGTGGAACATCAAGTTTCATTTTTTTTTTCCTCCAGATTTCTGGTCCGACCCAAAGAGCGGAGAGAGAATTCAAAGGCTATAACACTATACTAATACAGCCGTACAATGTCTCGTTGGACAAAACTGATGGTAATCTCTATAGCATGCAGAGAGAGGAAGTGAATCAGTGAATGATGAGACTGTTAATAATTTAATAGTATGTTAACCTTCTTAACTACACGGCTTAGGGAAAAACTAAGGAGCAAATCATGTTAAAATGCCCATAATTCCCCCTTAATAAATCTGAAGTAATGGCCCTGAAGAGTAGTGAATGAAGCAGGTGTCTGGATGAGAGGCCAGTCTGAGCATAGAATTGATATTCATGGTTCATAATTATTCTTGTCTGTAATGTTTGGCTTCTTTGCTGTAATAAAGACCACTTCTTTAATGAAATGTTTCTGTGTGTTCTGTTGTTAGCTTGCAATTAAAAGACCCAGATGTTGGGATGGATGAGTGATCAGCATACCTGTAGTTTCTGATATCTTACCTACACACCTGTAGATGTATTCCTGTATATTTTAATTTTTTTTTTTCATTTTGTAAGTACATAATATTGTTTCACTTAGTTTTTCTACTAAACATGTTTTTTCACACCTGGTTTTAGTTTCTAGTTTAGTTTTATGTAACTATAATAACCTTGGTGTGGGTGTGAACCCACTGGGCTTTATTAACAGGTCCTTCACCAGATTTAGACAATTTACACTATTTGTTTATACAGTTTTGATGACATCACAGAATTGGCAGCATCACCTGACTTGAGGTCAAATTAGCTGGAGACATTAAAAACCCCTGTGTGCGTGTGAAGGCCTTTTATACCACTGTTTATATAGACAGCAGCCGTTAATATCCCTTTCCACTGCAGAAACCTAAAACATAAAGGGAAGTCATTTGTGACAATACATTTTAATGTAAGCTCCGTGTGTTTAGTAGTTGTAGTTTGCTTGCTTTGACTCGTCATAGCAGGGAAAGCACCGGTTCAGCTTATAACATTAACAATGGCTGAAGTTCCACTGGAGTGCAAGAAGCCCTGAACCTGGCAAAACTAATCAGATATGTACATCATTAATGCTTTTCCTGCTGTTACACTTCATAATATCGTCCATTGAAGGTAAATGGTGAGCAGCACAGCTCTTCACGCACTGTGTTTGTGTTCACTCTATTATTTACCTTCCAACATCCTCACACCCACACTACTGCTGCCTTCACTCACTACTACATCCCTCCTCATTTTTGCAATGCAGTTTCTGAGCCAAATCAGTTCATGTAAACACATCTTCTCTGCACTTTAGGCCCGTAGACTGGGTCTCAGGTGGGGAGCGCACAGGTGTTGCTAACAACGTAAATGATGGCTCAGATCTATTCAAGTCTCCCAGCGTGACCCTGAAACTGAAGCAGGGACACATGTTCATGTTTTTACCTCACAAATGTCCCAACTGCTCAATTAGTAACTAATTAGATCACTGACTTTATTTAAATAATCCCAGAGAGCCAATACGGTAATAAGACACTTCATGTGGATTCTCCTTAAGGAAGCATCTTTCCTTCTATTATTATCATTATATGGACCCGCATAGAGGGTAAAAAACACTTTATTAGGGTTTTAGTAACCTTTGAGCTAATATCTCACATGACTTGTCTACTTTGTGGCACAACTCCATCACTGAACCCTTTTCCAAACTCCTGGTACCTAGAAAAGAGAAAAATGAAAGCGCTCTCACAACAATGTCGTTTTCTTCAAAAAGTTTAATTTGCATAATTATTTACAACAGATGGTTGATAGCAGTACTTAGAAGAGGCAAAATATACTGAACCACATTGATAAAGCAGGAAAATAATAAAATGATATAAATTGTTGAAACCATTTCAAAATCTTGCATTTAGAAAAGAAAGTTTACAATTCATTTATAGGTAAACAAATCTAGAAATGAAATATTCAGCTTAAAGTAATCTTACAAACACAAACTGATCTGTAGAATGCTGTAATACTGAACAGCAATGAAACACTAAATAATACATTCATTTTCACTATCCTGCATGCTATCTGAAGATCTTATAAAATAATGTTGACAAAGGAACGTTAAACAACAAAAACATGGTCAAGAGCGGAAAATAGTTCCATTTAAATTAGGCATATATTATATATTTATATATGTATATTTCTGTACAAATACTGAATATTTGGCATTATATTTATCCTCATTATTGATATATCTAACAATTCAAAATAGTTTTAAGCTAACCACAAACCTTTTATGCTATCAAATTTTTCTCATGTCACATTCAAAAACCCATAAGAGGCCTTCTGTTATTTCTACCCACAGCCACAACACAAGACATTTCTCCACCAAAGGCAAACTAAATTGTGACTGCTCTCTCCCCTCATAAAACACTGAAACATAAAGAACAGCACAGATATAGAAACATTTTTTCCTCCCAGTTACACAGTAGCACTTCAATTCAAAGAAATATGCAAATGTGGACAACATATACCTGTGTATTCTGGTTGGATTGGGATTGTATGTCCAAGAACTGGTGCAGGGACGGTGGCGTTAAATAGTGTTTCACTATCCTTCAGAGGCAATGTAAACTGATTCACATTGACTGAGGCCCGTAACACTGTGGACGGGCACTGAGCTCGCAAGTAAAAAAAAAAAAATAAATCACAGAAATTAAGCGTGAGGAAATGGTAAGCATCTAACCAAGTTCTCATTTAACGTGACCTAAGCAAAAGGTTTGCTATTTAAAGGAATAATTTGACATTTTATGCTTTCTCAGAGAGGCGAAAAGATTGATACCACTGTGAGTTACAACCAGGATAGGGTTAGCGTAGCTTAGCATAAGGCCTAGAAACAGGGAAACAGCTAGCCTGGTAACAAAATACGCCTACAAGTATCTTTAAAGGTCCCTGATTTACACGTAACTTATTTTTTGTTTATTCCACACAAGAGAAGAGAATTTGTAGTTTTATGCTGGTCTATTTCTTTGTTACGGACGAGTTGTTTCACCTGTTTTCAGTCTGTATGGCGAAGCTAAGCTAACCATCTCTTATAGACAACAGGAAACAGCTCATCCCCATTTCTGGCCAAGAAATAGATCATTATAACCCCCTTAAAACCACAACCGTTTTTACACTGTACAGATTAAACAAATGTATATAACATGTTAATTATTGAACTTTAGTTTAGCTTATCCAGATCTACTGTTTCTAATTTTACACTTCAGTTTTTTTTCCTTTTTAAGGACTGAACAAATAAGAAATAGATGATTTTAGGCAGATGTTGCTGCCTTTGGACGGAGCCAAGCTGTTTTAGCTGTTTCCCACTGTTTTCAGTTTTTTTTTGCTAAGGTAAGCTGGTCGGCAGCTTCATATTCAATAATAAGATATGACAGATCGACTTATCTAAATATGCAAATGTGCATATTTCACAAAAAATGTCAAACTGTTTCTCTAAGCAGCTCATCAACCACATAAACTGTACTGAAACACCCCTCTGATTTAAGTTTGTCAGAAGTCTAAAACTCAGGATGAAAAGCCAAACTAAAAATCGAAATCAGGCTTATTGCTTGAGGAGCAGATACGCTCTCATACAGCCCAGTATTAACGCAAGCATGACATCAGATATTGTCCATAATTACTCACTTGACTGCCATTTGTCTGGTGACAAAACTGGTTTATGCCATCGAAAGTGAATAAACATGATTTATGAGAAGAGAGAGCAAGCAATAGAAAGACATCTTTGCAGTGCAACTGTATCAGAAACAAGGAGAAAAGCTTTCAATGAAAATCTGATGGACTCTCACTTGAAAAGACTGTAAAGAGATCCTCAAGATACGGTTTAAGGGAAACTCAGGGCTCTATCTTGAGGATGAAATATGACACTGCTGTTGTAGTGTGTGTGTGTGTGTGTGTGTGTGTGTGTGTGTGTGTGTGTGTGTGTGTGTGTGTGTGTGTGTGTGTGTGTGGAGTGTGTGTGCATTTGATGCTTTTGGTGTGTGCTGATTGTCAGAATAAACAAAACACCAAAAAAGAAAAAAAAAAGAAAAAAGCTAATTTAGGAAAAGTACAAGGAGAGAAGTTGGTTGATTCAGCACCTGTACAGACTTCTCTGAGGTTTATCTTCAGGACAACTAGTAAACAATGTGTCTAAAATATGGTGCTGCAAACTGTGTTGTACAAAGCATAAACAGATGAGTAGTGATTTAACAGGGAAAAGTGACCCTGTCAAAGGAACTTATCACAACCGTGTGTGTGTGTCTGTGTGTGTGTGTGTGTGTGTGTGTGTGTGTGTGTGTGTGAAGTAAGCTGACTTTTTCTTCACACTAGATTTTTTATCTTTTATATTAGCATAAAGTAAATCGTAACTAAGCAATCATGGATGAGCTGTGTAGGATTGAGCGCTGGATGACAATGACAGCACACGTTTTTGCTCCTGTAGTATATAGCACAATGGACAGCGTGCTTTCAGTGCTCTGTAAATGAAAGGTGGTCTGCACCGGGGCCTGCAAGCTCTGCTGCCCCACAGAAGTACTTCTGCATAGTACACAGGCATGACAAAGTGTTCCTGTGGAGATTACAACTACTCCTAATATACCATGTTTGCTAAAAACGCTTAACCGTGAGGTAAATAGCTGTAGGTGAGCCTGCCTGTCGTTGTATGAAAAACACTATTGCACTTTTTGGCTGGTCAAGTTTTGTCAGTCTCCAGATTCTGTAGATGTAGAATGCCAGAAAACTGGCAGAAAAAACATCACAAGATTAAAATATCACAGCTAGGAGGAGAAATAGATAAAGACCTTTAAATAAATGATCTTTTTATGATTTGCTGAAATGGATGTGACGTGCACTCCAATTTACACCGTCATATCCACTCACAGAAATCCACGGATTTTCTGCAGTTCACTTTTGTTTTTAATGGAGCTTTATGCGCTGTCATATCACATAAATTCAATTCTAAAAATGTAACCGCATCATGGTGAATCATGGCAGAACATCTATGTGATCTGAACCAAAAAGAGGAAAACAAATGTTAGCAAATCCTCCTTTGATATCCTCTAGACTGTATTGTGCTGAAGTTTATTACAGTTTGGATCAGTCAAATATAAATGTAAGTTACTTTTAAATTCTGCAGTCCGACCCAGCCCAGTTTCCAGCCCTTTGTAATGGTATTACGGACAAACCTGCACTTTAAGAGGTGTTGCAGTCCTTTTCACGTATCTCGACCCAAAAACATTCACTCACAGAGTCCTATGAGAATCAAACTGTAAGGCACCTGAGGATTTGTCATGTACATAATCGCCAAACTCCTAAGCCCCTCGTAGCATGGTGGGTAAAAATATGAGACACAGATGCAGAAAAGAAAAAATATTTAGGCGTTTCATTAGAGTTGCTAATGAGGAGTAATCCTAAAATATACAACAACAAGAAAATGGTACCATGATTATAGAATAGCCCCGCATGATATCACAAAAACACATTTGCTTGGTGTCTATAATTCTGTCATCATGTGTATTTCATGTCACACATACTGTAATAGTGTACATCACTCGCAGCAGCTGGTGTCCCTGTGACTTTTGAGGACATCTTTGTGTCTGATATCAGTCTTACTGATAGATGATTGGTGCAAAAACAGCTGAAGTGACATCATTTTTCATTCAAGCCAGCGACGGTGAGGTTGTGAGTCTGGTTCCTGTTAATCCTCATCCCTCTTCTGTCCCTTTCACTCTCTCCCACTTAAATGGTAGCGCACGACAAGGTGACAAAGCAGAAAAGGTCATTTTTATGTGCCAAACCGACGTCATTACCTATTAGCGATACATTTAGCCCATCCCTAGTGGTTGGAAAATCAATTTAAAGGACCAGTGTGTAGGATTTAGTTTCAGATTGCAACTAACTGAACACCACTCACGTCTGTATCTGACAACTTGGGAATGAGAATGGGCTGTGAAGTGTGTACAAGAGACTACGGTGGCTGCAAACTCGCAAAAAAACGTGTTGTCTGCTACTGTAGAAACATGGTGGTTCAACATGGCGGACTCCACAGAATGTGACCCGCAGCGTCTGTACAAAAAAAATGTCTCAGTCTAAGGTAACGGAAAAACACAACGATTCCTATTTTCAGGTGATTAAACACTAACAAAAACATACCACTGAATGTTATATTCCATTTCTTTCTCTTAAATGTTACACACTGGACCTTTAAACAACCTCCAAGGAAATTCTTAGGAACAGAAATGTTACAGCTACAAAAACACAAAAGTCTCTGTTTGAAAAGGTGGTTTTATCTTTTAAAGGAAAGCCTGGATTGATGATGATGAGTACCAGATCATCAAGTACTACGCATGATGGAATCACAGTTTGCAGTCTGTGGGAAGAAGTAGACTTGATTTGCATGACTTTCAGTCAGGTGGAAGAGCAGTTGGATTGTTAAAGTAGCCCCATCAACTGTTGTCATAATTCAGAGAGGTTGTTGTTAGTCCCACTGAGGGCAAAAACGTAGAGAGGAACCAGTGAAATAAATGAGGATTTTAATATTTTCAAAGCTAACAGTATTCTCCATCTAGCTTTAAAGAGGAGCTGATATGATGAAGATGCAGATATTTATAGACTTAGAAGGGAGATAAAAGATGGCAAACAAAAACAGACGTGTGTTCTCATCCACCAAACCTAATGGCACTAAGTGTTAAACAGTGAGAACCAAAATCAATATACTTCTACTTAATACTTCTGGTTAACATGACTACCACAGTGCTTACACTATAGTATCAGTGGTCAGTAAAGCCAGCTGTTAAGCTAGATTAGACTTAGAAACTTTTATTTTTTATCAGTCCTCTCTTAGCCTTTCACATAAGTAGTGTTCCTCTTTCAGATTATATGGGCAGAATAGATATAAAAACAGAAATTATTATTCCTTAGTTAAATATTGATAGTCATAAACTCCCTCCTAGTCACAGGTATCCTAAGAAGATTTCTAGCGTGACTAGTTTAACCAGCAGACCAAGAGAAAGTTTGTAGGTAACGTCTGTGTTGTAGAAAAAGTACAGAATGTGTTGGAAAGATGTGCTGGAGAATAAAGAAAGAAAAACGGGACTCTGTGCCACTAACTATCTCTACACCAAACTGTAATATAAAAAGTGGGCATCCTTGGTTACGTAATTATATAATATTAAAAATAGACTGAAATAGAAAATATTTAAGCATGGCAATTCATAGAAAATGAATTGCCAATCTGTTCGTTGGAGTGAATTCGAAGAGGCTAATTATGCAGAGATGACTTAAAATGATTTTGGTTCCGGTTTAAAGTGGGTAATTAAATGGAATCAGCCACAATCTGTCGGATCCGTTTTCTTTGAAACACAACATGAATACTGTATTAATGTTGGAGGTAAAGCCCCTTCATGGAAGAAGATACTGTATTTTAAAATAAATTAGAGTATTCATTGATCTTAAAAGTGAGCCCTTGTCATCTTATCAGTTTCTGTAATTCTATAATGTACTTTGACAAGAAAATTATTCTTTAGTCCTTTAGTCTGTACAGGGGCACAGTATATATACAGTATATAGATACACATTTAAATAAACAAAAGTTAAATCGATTTGAATTTGGTTTATTGGTGCATATACATATATATATATATATTTATATATATGATAAATATACTAATTCTTACAGTCTACATATAGAACTCTCTGTGTTAACAAAAATATGGTTCATAGATTATTTACTGCATGAGGATGTTCACATAGCCATTTCTTTTATCTGTTTTTGAATTACAAGGCCAGCAATGCCTGTTTTGTTTTATTTTAACCAATGTATTGTATCATTGCTTGGAACCTGCATGAACGGACTCAGATTTTTTGCATTGAAACGAGTAAATCTATTCTGAGCAATAAATGTTAGTGTGTGAATGCTTTTGTTTGAAATGTGAAATAATGTATTGCCTTCGGTGAGCTGGCATATCTTCTTCTATTATTTGTGTGTCATGTCATATTTCATCATAAAACCAATCTGATAAATCAGGATAAAAAAAGAAAGAAGCTGAATTGAGTTTGGGAGTGACGTCTCTCCAGCCCAGTTTAGTTGGATTTTTCAGCACCTGCTCATCTCCTGGGATGTTTTTTTTTTTTTTTTTTGCATCGTTAGGGGCTCTACATTCATGAGTGGTTTGGTTAAGGCCGTCTGGTAAGGTAAGGGTTTCAGATTTAGCACTGATGTACACACGTCACAAAGTAAAATACTTCAGCTTCAGGTCAGAAAAATGCAAAATGCCTCAACGCAAGCAAAATAAACCCCCGTCATAATCCTTCCCAACAAGTACGACTCACTGCCTCACACAAGTATTTACAGCACACGGACTGCTCTCGCCTACTGAGTGTCATTCTAATTACAATAAAATGGGAAACATTAAACACTGTACTGCAGCATAATTCTAGTGGCCCTGTATCAACATTTGTTTTAATTAGCTGGGGTTAGATTGGCGAATGAGGATGAATGGGCGTGTATTGCAAAATGTTATGGAAACGTTTTCGGTGTGGTATAAAATATGGACAGGTACAATACAGCATGTTCAGCTAGCTATAGCGGTATGCCCTTGGCTCAGGGTGGGCATATTAGATTTTTACGATTTTAAGTTTGGTGGAATGTCAAAGCCTGTAATCTCTCCCATCTGATAAATATATATCCCTGACCTCTTTGCATGTTAGAAAGGAAGTTAAACCATAAAACCTTCTCCTCATTTACATCACTGAGGGCAAGAGCATTGCAAAGATGATCTTTTCTAAAGTCACAATCTACCACAAGTCATCGGAGAGACAACGGGCACCATGTTAATAAATCTCTGTTTAAAAAGTCCTTGAGTGTGTGTGTGCGTGCACATAGGACTGGGTAAAGGACAACAGTTTTAGAGTAAAAAGCAGCACCATTTACTATAGTAACTGAATATTGTTAAAGTGTCATTTGCACCTGTCTTTCCTAGACTACATGAGCAGATCAAAATAACAACAGGAGTGTTTTCATTATGCCCCACTTGGAACAGAAAGTTGGATGCAGTGTGTTATGAGATATGGTTTCTGTTGGCTGAGAAACACCCCTTAATAAGCAAGACAAATGCACTGTCAAATCAACCCACAACTGTTTTAACTATAAATACTAAATGTATACTGTAGATTGTGATGTTGGTCATATGATAGATACTGTACGTATAATTAAAAGTGTTAGAATCACAATATTGTAATTACGAGAGGCCTGAATGCCATCAGAAAGAAATGAAAACAAAACAACACAAGGTGCAGTTTATATGACCTATAGATTATAGATGAAATTCTGTAGTTCCATATCTGTCCTTGCAATTCAACTGCAACAATATCACATGAGCTTCATAAACAACATTTCCCTTGGAAATACAAACATGAATATTATAAGGTGCAAAATGCATTGTTTAATACAGTCACCTCTTTCAGGCTGCGCAAAACTTTCTTTTTGTTAATAATTCATATTTGTTCTGCAATGGAAATGTATCCAGCAGCAAATAACGTACATAGCTTAAAAATGTCTAGTCCTAGGAGGGGATGGTATTACATGAATGGAAATGAATAAATGCTGAAATGATGGTCTAGGATTTTGAGCCTTATTTTTAGATCTCATTCAGCAACACTGGTCAGTGGCTGCAGCATGCCTGGTTAAAGATGGATAGATGAGACAAAGCTAGAAAGATGTACAGTTGTGCAGCACCTCAGACATGCTGTCCAAAGTTTTTAATACCGTTCTAAGTTTGACTGTTTCACCACAGATTGGCAGGAAATGAAGAAAAAAATTGATCAACCAAGCTACCAGGTTTTACCCACTTCCGTAGAAAAGGCTGGGTGTGAAGTTTGAACCTCTTCAAAAGACAATAATTTAGAGATTTTCTAAAGGCTTTTTCACCTTTGTAAGACAGTGGGAATTCAGTCTCTGCTGCTGCCGTTCCTTCACACAGGGTGCTTTAGCCCAAGACCACTGTTGCTGGTGAGAAACGCTAGAAAAGTTGCACTTTGTGTTTCCCTTTGAATGCGGCAAGTACAGCATCACCCTTACTCACAGCAGGGCAATGGCGGCAATGGAGAGGACTGGAGTTTTAACAATAGTGGCAATGACCAATTAAATCACTAACTTGAATTAATGTCACTTAAATAAATACAGGTGAAATGTTTGTTCTGGGGTATAGCAGCTCATTCTCATGGTGCAGAACCTGTGGAAACGAGTCCCTGGTGGGTTTTTTCAAAGCTACACTAGGCAACTTCACATATTAGTGGCTCATGTTTACCAATCCAGCTGGCCTGTCTTCTATTCTAACCAAAAAACACCAAAAGGACAAAGAGGCAAAAGGTCTAACGCTGGTGTGTCCAGTTTTCTCAGTTTTGGGATCCATTTTTAATGTTTTATTTATTACTTTCTGGAGGAACACGACCATCCACACCTGACTCATCTGACTCAACTGATTTCTCGCTCAGGGAAGATTGGGCGTTCTTCCCTATGGCAGTGCCACATTGTCATTTAAGGATGCGTTCCCCATTGAAATCTTGCCTAGTGTAGCTTCAGTAGGGACAACCCAGAGAATGGCAACAGATAATGAGACAGTGGACGAGCAATGTGTGACAGATGATGACAGCGGGAGGAGGCTGGAGGTGACGCCACGAGCTGGTGTTGGGTGGAGTTGGACAAGAGGAGCTGAGGATGAATCCATGGACCTCAAAGCCGTGTCTGGGCTTCAGGGATGTAGATCTCGATGCTGTCTGCCCTCTCTGTGGCTGAGTTCTGTCTGAAAGAAGCTGCTCGTTTGGCAGCCATGAGGCGTCTGCGGGCTTCCTGTCGCTGGCGGTCCTGAAGGTCCAGAGAGCGCTCTCGCGTCATACCGCCACGTCCCTTGGTCGGCCGCTTTGGCAGAGGTGGTGGCCACTTACGCTCCTTAGGATACAGAATGACATGATTAAACGGTAAAGGTAAAGGTAAAGCATTATTATTGTAATGTATCTGACAGAACTAGTTGATTCACAGGGGAGACTATAGCTGTGTATCTCAATCACTGGAGTGTCAGATAATATAAATTAAAGACCATGATTTTTAAAGCCCTTAAACCTAATGGATGATGAATAGATGAGTCAATCTAATCATTTATGTTTGATAACTGCTCTGCTATGAAGTGAACTGAAAACAGGATCAGGCTGCCTTTATGGAAAAAAAGCAGTTTTATTCTAGTGATGGTAATTTTATAATGTTTTATTTAGTTTGGTCATTATCTCATTATAGGAAGACAAGAGAGACTATTTATTCAGCTCAGAACAAGAACTCATAATTGAGGGGTATGAGGAAAAAAGCAATATTTACCAGCAGATGAAACACTGCTGGAGTAGTTTCATTTCATAAGGAACTCAGGCAGGAAATGATAAATGTTGATTCAGTGCAGATAAATTAAATGCTATTAGGAGTTTTATTCTCTATAGAGTGCACTGCTTTGCCTAAATTTGGCTATAATTCTTTAATATAAGGACTCTTGGCATGTTGAAGACCTGTGTATCATGAACAGACTCAAGTCACTTTGCCTCAACTTTGCTACCACAGCTTGTTGTTGCCACAGACTACACAAGAATAGAAATGATAATAAGAAATATTCACTAGAGGCCACAATATAAGAAATCATTATCATTATTCTCACTGAGGGACTTTATATTTATGCAGCAGAAAAACAGTGTATGAACAAAATCTGCCTTGTGTGACCCAGAAGCTCTTTGCTCAAACAAAAGGCATCTAGAGACACTACAGAAACAGCCATTATTGATTATGTAGCCAGAACATTAACCTTGCAAAACCGGTCAAATCTCACCCGAATGACCTACAAATCCGAACACGTGTATACAATAACTTTTGAAAGCAAGACAAGTTTTTCTGATTGCTTGGCAAGATGCTGTTAGTGCTATGCTGGGCATGCCTTGAAGGAGAGAAGTCCAATACAGAGCATCTGTGTCACTGTTAGGGCTCAGCTTCATGGAGCTTGCAATGTGCCTATTAACTGCTGGAGGTAAATAACTCTCCTACAACTACAACTGTAGCATGAAGACAATTATCCAAGTGCCCTGAAGGATCTTGTCTATCTGTGAAAAAACACATTACCATCTAAATGTGCTTCTTACAAATGCAGCTCGCTCGTCTACAGGCACCACTCTTACAAATGTGCTTTTATTAAGTGTTGGGCATTGGGTCTTTTATTTTCTGATCGTTAGTATTTCTACATTTGATTTAGAATTAACTTAATCGTGTTTTTTATTGTTATTTTGCACACTAAACTCACTTTTTTTTCAGTCTTCTGCCTACTACAGTCACAAGTAACCTTGTTTTCTTGTGTTGAGGTTGCTAAAAATGTACTAATTTCAGCAGATTCCACAGACACTGGTTCTTAAAGCAGTGTTGATGCACATGTGCATATAGGAGGGAAACTGAGCCATCAAAGTCTGTGGACGTATGACAGGACTTTAATAATAAAAAAGACTATCCTGCTTTGATTCACCTCTACACGTATCTGTCAAGATTTGAACCAATGTTTTGAGTAAAAGCCACCAAATAGCACAAATAGCCACAGCAAATTTCCCTGTATTATAACACTTAAAAGCAAAGTTTTGCATGTGTTCAAACAATGCGCAAAAGTGTATTATTGCTCCAGAGACAGTCCTTTTTTTTTCTTTTTCCACACCCATTAGTTAGTCTGTTAAATCTCAAAAGTCATACGGTCTGAATGAAGCTGCAATTGGTCACTTGGTGCTGGTGAAAAGCAAGCTTACTGTAAGCGCCATTGTTCACTACTTTCAATGCTTTGCAAGATGCAATTATAGATCTCAAATTTGTATTAAATGCAGATGAAAGAAAATATACATGTTCTCCAGAGACAAAGACAGTTACTGTAGTCCTCGCAAAAACTGCACTTTGAATGGTACAGTCACTGAAAGAGTCCCACGTTATAAATACTTCTGGACTGATCACATATTGATGAACTAAAGACAAAATTTACAGATAAAAATCTTGTATGTCTTGTAGACTGAAGATTATGGAAGTGTTAGATTATGGTGATGTGATTTACAGATATAAGGCAACATCAACTCTTGCCCCTAAAGGCTGTCAACCATTTAGCTCTTAGAACTGGAGACACTGTATTCTTTGTCCATTAGAAGAGAGCCGCATTTGTTTTTATCTATTTATAAGGGTTAGGGCTTCTCCAAAAATTGCCCTGATATTTGACGTCATTTATTGGCTGGAGAGTTGGAACACATAACACCCGCTCACAGGACTGGCTGCTGCTGCAGGTTCCAAGAATCAACACTGATCTGGGAAAGACTGCTCTTAGATTGCAGAGTATTTTAAAGCCTGATACTCTGGTTCCAATGGGCCAATTGATTAATCCAGTCAAAACCTTGATAGATTTTCACTGTGACTGTTTTAAACATGTTTTTAATTGACTTTTTATTGTATTATATCTATGATTCTTTAAATTTTACTATCATTCTTTTATTATTCTTATTGTGTAACTATTAAGGTATTAATTGTAATTAACACGACTGATATTTGTTTTGTATCAAATATGATGGTTTGTTTCATGCCTTTTTTATTTAGCACTTTACTTAACAATGTTACAAAAGAAAAAGAAAAACCAACATGAGTGCAGACAAACAATAGAATACTAGGCTGTCCAAGAACTGCAGCTATGATGGTTAAAATACAATAGTGTAAGCCAACCCTATTCAGACAGTTCATAGACGAGGCAGATTTATTCTTAATCCTAATAAGATTATTTATTGTTGGCTGTTGTTGAATCCTGAACAAACCGGTTCAAGAACCAGAGCTAATTTGGTGGGAAATGAGTTTTCCTGGTCCACACTTCTCTTCTCAATAGTTTCCATTTGGAGTCAAAACTAAAGTGCTTTTGAACCATTAATGTTGCCTCCACTTACTATCTTGCTATCATATTTTAACTAATCATGAACATATGTATGACCTACGTGCATGAATGTGATTACATAGCAGGCTGATATAGAAATGAAATAATACAGGAAATGCAAAACTAAACAAAATAACAGTATTTTGTAGTATTTTTTCTATTAATTCATTTCATTAGGGGCAGCTCCAGTGGTTCACGTACCATAGTTTGAGAACCAGCAGGAGAAAAAACAGGTGATGAATTACAATGACAATATGGACCAGACAGATAGAACAAGTCCTAAATTATTCTTGAGACGCAAATGATGATTTTAACAGGAAAACATGTTTAGCGGATGCTACTAGCTGTCTAAGCTGAACTGATGTTGCCTCTTAACATCGTCCCTGCAGTGTTATGATAAGAATGATTAACCTCCTGCTGGTCACAAGCCTAAAAAAGAAGGCAAATGTTGTTACTGCAGCTTTCCTCAAAAGCTGAGCAAGTTCATCTGGAGCCCATTAAGACTAATTATTATGAGTGTGTGGATCCCCGGGTAAACAGTCACCAGATTTACCTTCTTCTCTGGGCTCTCCACCAGCTGCCACTGGTTGCTCTTGATCTGCTGCAGCTCATCAAACTTGGCAGTGACGTCATCGATGGAAAGCTGCAAGAGGTCCCAGAATCCAGCCAGGTCCTGAGATGTGGGTCTGGGCATGGCACTGGGGTCCTGAAGAGAGTGAAAGTGAAATTATTTCCCATCTTTGTTATGTGGAAGATTGCTGAACACTAATCAGCATCATGCCACCTGTATCATACTAAACTTAGATTGAAAAAAACAAAAAACCTACAATGTATTGAAATATTAATCAAATCTATGTTCTACAGCTTACTTTCTGCTACTCATAGCCACCTCAAGATTTGAACCTCATCATTCCCACCACTGTGTGGCAGTAGAGCACCAACATTGGTTCATAACCTCAACTAACGGTTCCTTGGTTCCTGGGAACATCCCTTAGCTGCCATTAAATGCAGCAGAGTTGGTCTGTTGTGTGCTGTTGCAACAACGATTAATGATTATCAAAGGTCATTTTTCTGACCACATGCAGCGGGGACAGAATGCATGGGAGAGGGACAGAGATATGCTATTCATCATTAGCTCAAATCAGGCATGATATATATACTGTATGTGCCCTCTTTAGGATAGTATTTCTGTGTGTAAAAGACTATCAGCGCAGGTATCTGTTTTTAGATTTTTCACTCCACTTTAATTCTGTGTAATTATCACTTTTATGTGAAATTTAAATGACAAATATCGGGTGCTCCTTGTTGCTGCATTTCTGTGGTGCATTGCTCTTCATACCCAGTTGGCTGGTGTGTCAACTGCAGACCACAACGCACCCAATCAGGCAGCCACGTACAGCCCTGTGCTCATTACCACGGACAGCAAATACAGAATGAAATGTGATCACAGACCAAGGAAAAGGTCCGTCAAGTAAAAACTTCAAAGCACGTTCAGAGCTTTTTATAGACCCGTCATGCAGTTCCTCCTCTGCCCAGCAGGGAAACAGAGTTGTTCTCTAATTCAGACACGTCTGAAAGCTCAGGGCAATCTATGGCTTGTCACTACCAATGTTAGACTTAATTCATCATCCCATTATCTATGGGGAGAGAGGGAGAGAGTGTAACCCAAAACCATCCAAAAGAGAGCAACACACAGAGTTAAGACACACACACACACACACACACAAACACACAAACACACACAAAAAAAACACAAGGCAGTGAGAGAGCAGGCAGATTTCAACCACCTCCACTAGGTTTTGCATTTCATTAAAAAAATTAGCTACGCTTTACTAAGGTGCGATTAAGTGCCTGCCTGTCTCTTTCACTCTCTCTACTGTATCTGCAGAAACATTCCCGCTTATGACACTATCATCTCCTAATATATGCTGACTGTGTGGATAGTTAGCATTAGAAAAGGTATGAGTTTCCAGTCAACGTGACATGAGGGTTAAACAGTGAGACAGTGTGGCAGTCCATTATTCAAACTCTGAGATCCCATTCGAACTGCTGCCTCCGTGCATTAATGGATAGCCTAAACACAGGTGCTGCTTCCTATTGGAATTCCCCTTTCGTTTACTGCGGGGTCAATAGCAGCAGAGGGACTGCTTCACTATTGATCTCTGTGGTCTATTTCTGGAAGGCGCACTAGTGCAGCGTCAGGACAAGCAACTTCTCAGAGCTCTGAGAAAGAGGAGCCTATCAACAAGTTTACCCCCTGATCTTTAACAGCATGTAGGTTTCATCCACAAACACATACTACTCACCAGATTCTGCTGACATAGCCAGTAAAACTGCTGAAATTTTTGAGACATTAGTAGCTGAGCACTTCCCACTGCACTCCGGATTTTTCCTAGGACTGGTGGACACACAAACAGACACACACATAGAAAGAGAGGAAAACAAGAGACTCTGGTTTAATCGCTGGCAGTTTGGCAAAGGCTGACATGTTGAGCAATGTCTTTCAGGCAGTCATTCACAAGGCTCCAATCTGCTCACAAAACGCCTATCACGATTCTGTTTTCATTGTCAACATGACAGCTAATACTGTGAATGTTCACTTTCACTATACTGTTATACATACTGCAAAAATGATCACAGAGCACATATCATGAAAGCATTGACCTCATTCAACAAAAGCAGCACCTGCTTTGGCAAGAATGTAGTTTCCCTCAGGACACTCACTCTCCTCTGAGAGGTCATGCTCCTCTGCTTCTCTCTCCATCTCTTTGCACCATCCCTCCAGCCGCTTGGTTTCATTGTGAAGGAGCTGCATAAACCAGCTGCCGTCCCTGCGAAGGGGGGACACTCGGCCCGTTTCGGCACTCTCCAGACTGGGTTGAACCAGCCAGGGTTCAGGCTGTGGGCTGGGGGGCCCACTGGAAGGCCGGTAGTCCTCCCTGTAACTGAATAGGCCCTGTGTGCGTACCGTACGGATGGCCCCATACTGCGTGGGCGTGCTGGGCTCTGAGTGGCGACCAAATCCACCACCAAACTGCAGGCCCTTGTCCTCCATCGAGGGAAAGCCCTCCAACTCCATGTCTGCTTGTACTGCAGTGGTCACACTGTTGGAACGTTTGAATCTCCCATGTCTAAAAAAAGCACCAGTTACAGGGACAATGCTTAAGAAATGCAACTTTGACTATAGACAGTGTTTTTGTTTGTTCTGTCTGAGCCACCTACCGTTTTTGATCTTCCACCTGAATCCCTATTGAATGAAACTGAGGAAGGCCTTTACTTTCAGTCTCAGAGTCTGTCACAGTTTCCACCTGGTAAATACAAACAACAGAACTCTGTCAAATTATCATCATTCACAATTGAAATGTTCAGACATACCAAAGCACAGACACACATATTCCACTGAAAACTACACCTTGACATTTAGTTTTTACTTATTACACTTATTTTCTCTTTCAGCTCCCAATATGATTGATGTGTTTGCTGGTTTTCATAGGGAATTCCAAAAATGCTCTTAATTTACAGACCAATACATAACATGTTGCCAAGCTACAAAACAGCTTATTTTACACATAGGCCTGTAATAATGTCGCTCAAACCTACACGCACCACCTCAGCAGAAGGTGGAGGGGTGGTGAACCAATAGCCAGTGCAACTGTTGTGAGAAAACAGCACTTAAAAGTACCAACATGTACAATTGCAGTGTGGGTACTTGTATGAGGTCCAGAATGAGTTCAACCCCATCCAGGATTTTGGCACTAAGGAAACTGAAAATAGAAAGTTGGCAGTGTAATCATCAACTAGCTGGAACTCTGGGTCACAACTGGCACAGTGTCCAGCAGCTACATTTGCAAAAGGACATTCAATTGTTTTGGACACTATACCCAGCGTTGCCCACAGGAAACGTCTGTGAGCAACATGCATGTATAACATGGTCCACACAGACAACCACCACAAAAGTCGGAGCTAACAACTAAGAACATTTGCCTCCAGGAGACGCAGGAGATTCCTAAGTTAGTGAGACAGTTAGAACACAAAGCAAGCTCCTCATCTGGCAGAGGAGATACTTTTTCAGGTTTAGACTGTTATACGATCAGGCCAATGCTATTGTCTAGATCAAGCAGAACTTAAGGGTTAAGCACCCAGATCACCAACTAGAACAAAGAGAGTAAGAGAGATCCTCATTGTACTCTTCATTACGGCTGCCTTTGAATAAGCCCTGTTCATGTAATTGTGCAGCCTGACAGGTGTAAAGGTCAACAAGACTCCAAAACCTTGTAGAGCACTTCACACAGATTGGGATATTTTGAAATTTGTAAAGCCTAAAAAATGACAAGATTAACTAATTTGCACATGTGTCGTTTTATTGCCAGTCTGCCTGGAGATGCGGACATAGAGTTGGCCTTCAAAGAAGAAGCCTAATCTTCCTGTCATGTAATAATCCAATGCTGCAGTGCAATTGAAGCAACCACCTACAGTACACAAATAAACTGTATTTGGTTGGTTTAAAAGTGATTTTACAGAGAACCCTGAGAAATGGTTCTTACTTTGACAGGATTTTACAGGACAGCTCTCATACATATTAACAATCTAAATATGAAAATGATAAAAAGGGAATTATCCTTTCATCCAGGACTAGATAGAAGAAGACGGATGAGATTAGTGTAATTAGCATGAAGACTGGGTAGTGAGTGTGAAAAGAGAGCAGGAAACTGAGTGACATTGTCAGTCATGTTGTTACCTGTATCCCAATAGAGGAACGTGGGGTTTTGAGGTACTCCTCGGCCTTGGACACCAGCACTGCTTTGTCACATGTCTGGACGGAGGTGTGGCTGCCCAAAGATGCATGCCTCTTGCCTGCTGCTGACTCCATGGCCATTGTGACCGCCTTGGTGCTGTCCAGGCTGTCCGTGGAGCTGTAGATGGGACGACCAAGGCTATCCGTGGTCCACAGACCGCCCCGTGGATGCCTGCCCTCGTGGTAGGCATCTTGGGTGGACTCTGTACTGCTCTGGGCTGTTACAGAGATAAGAGGCTTGGTGGTGGTGCGCGGGGGCACAGGAGGTGGAGTCTTCTTGTAACTGGGAGGATATGAAACCGCTGGATAGCACAAGCAGGATGAAAGGACGAGGACGAGGACGAGGACAAGGCAAGACAAGGGTAGAGGATAAAATAAAACATGAGAATGAAAAATGTGGCCAAAAGCTGACAAGTGCTGCAGTTCACCCGTATCACACGGTGTGTGATAGAAGAGCGGAAAGGCATGATGGGAGATTAGAGGCATCAGGGCACTTAAAGCAAGGGAAATGTCGGTAAGGTGAAAAACAGCAGCTTTGTTATATGTCTGTGTTTATTTGGGAAGTGCAATGAAGGATTACGGGAAAGATTTGCTCTTTCAAGTGCAAATGAGAATCTGATGATAATCCATCCAGATGGACCTCACAGCAGAGTTGGAAATGGACCAACTTCACTTGCTGGATATCTTTTGTTTTTTCAAAGCTATGACAAAATACTGACTTAACGTGTAGTTGCTTAGCATATACAATTTGTACAATAATGTTTCATGTTTCTTTTTGATCTTGGTTTAGATCACGGAAAATAAAACAGAATTTTAGTAAATTGATGGATAAATAAGTCATAGAAAAGTATATTGAACCTCAATGTTGGATGGAGGAACTATGGAACTGTGTACTGTGTGATTCCATCCATCAATCTGGATACGGAGGTGACTGAAACTATAATTTATGTGCAGACATTATAGATAGATTACTTACTGAGACATTTTTTTACTTGACTCAATGAATACTCCTTCATTCTGATATTAATATTTTATTAACTCGATGCTACTTTGTGCCTTTTTAAACTAGTTCAGCTGTAAAGTAAATTTAAATATTTTTGTTTCAAGATGCAATCACAAAGTCAGTTTGCTTCATGCATTTAAAGAAAATAGCATCCATTGGTTCAAATCTGGTTGACAAAAATTAGATTTAATTCCAAACAATATTACTTCACAAATTTTGTCTATTGTCCAACATAAAGGTGAATATCAATGAGCCCCATTCATGAGTTTATTTCAAATGTAACCTTAAAAAATCTGCATAAATCACAGAACTACGAGAAGAATAATAACTCAAACTTTCTTTATGATTATAAGATGATTCAAGACACACGTATAATGGCGATTATGATTCAGCCATTCTCCCCTACATGATGGGTTAATTTAGTCGTTCACTGGATGTCCTTTTTATTTCCTCATTTATTATTCATGGAAAAGTATATTGTAAAATGTTCATCATACGGAATAAATAACTCAATACACCCTGTATACCAGCATAAACAGGTGCAGGCAGAGCACCGCACACAGACTGATAAACACACAAACCACTTTTGGATTACAGGTAATTAAGTGCAATAAGAAATAAGAAACCACAGGGAACTCAGTTAAGCTAAATCCAGTCACAGACTTGACTTCCTTCCAACTTGAAGGGGCTGCAGTTCTGCAAGACACAGTGGGTGGATAGTACCAAAATGAAAAGAGCACAGTGACTCAGGCAGTACGCAACTCCACACGTTCTATTTTTACACATTCTACCCATTTGACTTACATTCAAAACTGAAAATGTTACAGACTGCTTGGTACCAGATACAAAGTGAGTGACATAAACCTCTGCGTTTCACCGAACTCCAGTATCTGTATTTCTCTATGGTTAACCGGTATTCCTTTGCAAATACAACACATCAAAGTCAGTTCACTGATTTCATTTTTTGTCATAATCATCATGTGTAGGATTCATTTCAAGATTTTCAAATAATTGTCTATTTCCATGTCCATGGCTTTTGGAAAACATGCTCACAACAAATTAGCATTTAATCAGAAAAATCAGATCATAAAACTTCAAATGAAATTAAAGCTGCAAGCAGCATTGGACGGGACCTCGCCATCTCCCAACGCCGGGGCCTGCACGGCGGTCCCCCGCGGCAGCCACACCATGCCACATCACCCACGCCCAAGCCCTCATCGCCGGAAGCTGAGGGAGACAGCTCTGTGTTGTCACGCGTTTCAGACACCGTGCGAAAGACTTAGGTGTTCATAGCGAGAGTCGAACCGTGGAAATTCAGCGCCACGCCACGGACAGGCCGTTTGATGATCAGTAAATATTTGATTAACTTTTGATCACCAACGTGTCTAGATTGCAGTGATTGAATTTGAAGTCAATGTGAAAAAATCTGTAGGAGGAGTTAGTTAAAATAGAAGCACTGAAATGCCAGAAATGGCATCACAGTTTGACCTTCGATTCAAAATGGCCAACTTTGACGGCACGCCACAGACACGTCCTTCATGACTGTACTGACCAATTTTGAAGGAGATCACATAAATTCCCTAGGAGGAGTTCGTTCAAACACAAGGCGAAAAATTCACTGACAGTGACCACAGAATTCAAAATGGCCAACTTTGACGGCACGCCATGGACACGCCCTTCGAGGTACAGTCACAAATAGCACAGCGTTCAATGAGCAACATTTCCTGACTGTACTGACCAATTTTGAAGGAGATCACATAAATTCCCTAGGAGGACTTTGTTCACATACATGGCAAAAATTTACCGAAAGTGAAAATCAAAATCAAAATGGCCACCGAAAGTGAAAATGAAAATGAAAATGACCGACTTTCTGTGGGGTTTGGGGTATGGGTCTAAGAGGCTTTTTTGTACGTCCTAACTTGCTATATATGCCTGCCAATTTTCATTCATGTCCCCTAAACAGGACACCGGGCTGGTTTTTTTAAAGTTTGTAGGGGGCGCTATCGAGCCATTTTGACACACCCACAGGCAACATCCATATGAAATGTACAATGCTGCCATGTGGGACGTGTGTGCCAAGGTTCATGAGGTGTTGAGCCTGTTTAGCCCGTGCAAAATGCGATCAAATGTTAAAACAACAAGGTGTTTTGCATTTCATAAGTAAATTTCAGGTGGATCTGATCATCCTGCTAGGAGTAGAACATTAAAGTATAAAACGTTATACTTCCTGTTACCACTAGGTGGCGCTCTCACTGTAACTAAATATTATCACATAGACGTGTTCAGGGCGGGACTCTTATCAAACATGTGAAGTGTCGTTGCAGTCGGATCATGTAAACTGAAGTTATGACAAATCCCTCTTTTCATGGCAAAGGATCGAAATTGGACGCCACGCTAGCCACGTCCACGCCACGTCCACGCCACGTCCACGCTGTTCAACGGAATGTCGTAAATAGCGCAACTTATAATCATGAAGGTCTTTAGATGGCTGTGTCCAAGTGTGGAGACAATCTGATAAATTCCCTGCATGCAATGCTACGCCTAAAATCGCCTTACGGTTCTTGGGGGCTGATTTGGGGGGGCGGGGCTCCACCATTTGGTGGCGCCCGTGCACGGGGACAATTGCATATTGTTAGTTTGGAAATTATTGAATTTTGTGAAAATTTCCATGATCATTCGAGCATTCCAAATATGCAATCACCCCTGGAGTTAATAATAATTCCTAGGATTACAAGAGGGAAAAAGTTTGAACTTTTGTTGGCGCTGCAGTTAAAAACAACAGCAGCAGGAGCAGATCTAGAAATATATTCATCGGGGGGGCAAAAGGGTGGCATGGAGGTAGCACACATAATCATATATTTAAATATTCCCTTGGAGTCAGACATGCCTTTTTTATTCAACTTAAGCCTATCCCTTAATCTAAAATGTGGCCATAACAATTTTTTTAACACATTATTTTTATCTAATCACAAATGTGTTAACTCTGACAGCATTTGACAACAACCCGGGGGTGGCAGCTGCGATGGTCAGGCATTTATTGACACCCCCTCTAGAACCGCCCCTGCTTGTGAGCATAAATGTGCACAGCACATACTGTGTCTACAGCCAGTGAGTCAGGAAATGTAAATGTTTCAAAACTGCAAATTTTATAGGAAAGGTCAGAGGGTCTGTCTGCTAAATTCTCTTGATAGTGAGAATATGCAACAAACAAAGAGCTGAACAGTCACATAACCTCCTCCGCAGAAGTAATAAATATGACTGTACTCCCTCAGAAGAGTAATGATAAAGACTCTAAATCAGACTGTAGGTTGAGTCAGCACTGCACAGTTCTTCTGCTGCTCATTCATACACTTTATGCTTACTTAAATGGATTGACATTTGGAAATAAATTTGTTGCCTTATACGCCTGCATTTACATGCTGGGGTTACAGCAAGGCACCTAACCCCTAACTGCTCCACGGGCGCCTACAGCTGCCCCCTGTTCCTAATATATATAGTAATGTATATAGGATGCGTCAAATGCAGAGGACAAGTTTCATTTCATGTATGTAAAATGCTGTAAATGCTGTATATACTGTGAAAATCACAATAAAATGACTTCTCTTTATCTCTTTATAATCATACAATTATTTGGTTTGGTTAATGTTGTTTAGTGAAGACATTTCATTTGCTGACTCCACCTTGGCTGTCATATCGCCAAATAATGGGCTTCTGAGAGAGATACCATACTCAAGCCGAAAAAACAACAAAAAACGACAAAACAAAAAAACAATCACAATATCTAGCAATAGCGCTGACTGGACACCAGATGTCCTCCTGTAGACTGTATTGAGATTTACCAAGGCAACACTGGATTTTATCAGTGGACTAAGATGAGGAATTTCACTGTGTCTTCATATGTGTCTGTCTCATTTGTGTATTAAGATCCTTACACTTAATTATCTGCTAATATCTGGAACTGAAACTGCTTGAAAAATCAAACGTACCATTTTATGCTTCTTTATATTTCTACTTCGCTTCACTTCAGAGGGAATGTTGCACTTTTAACTACATTTACTTGGCAGATATAGTTACCAATTAATTTTAAGATTTAGATTTAACATACAAAATGATCATCATCATGATCACTTTAATTAATATGCTGCGGGGTTAAAGATTTCTTAGAGGTCGTGCACCACAACTTACTACAATTCTTCTTACACAGTAATAGAGAAATAATAAAAGTAATAATAGTGATTCAGTGAATGTAAAACTGCTCAGAGGGGGCATTCTGCTGGACATTTTGCTTGAAATTAAAGTGAGTATCTTTACGTTGCTACTTGATCTGAATACGTCATCCACTATTAAATTTGGGATCTTCAGCAGAATGTGTCCTAGTGCAACAGTGTACTACAGCACTGGTTCTGTCATGGACCTCCAAATGGAAGCACATCAGGCTGTGGCCCTGTATTTGATACGATGTAGTCTCAGGGATCCTCGTCTGATAAGATTTACTTATTCCATAACTGTATATATTGTAGATTGGCAGCTTAGTGGTAAAGAGTGTGACACACTGCTATTTCACTAAATTTCCCATTTCTCTAGGGACCTTCTGGAACCCCCTCAGGTTGAAAACTACTGTACAACGCTATGTGATAAAGATGTAGGTCTCATCTTCTACAGATTTTGGGCACGGACTAAGGAGGGTCTAAGAATCTAATTCTAATTTTTATTTAAATACAGAGTCACAAGTCTAACCTGGTGAAGTAATGACTTGCTATGAGTTTGCCCCAAAGGAAAAAAAACCCTTCCCAATTAATCTTGATACTGTTGAAACAACAGATGTTTAGTTAGACAAGATAAAATGATGTAGCAATACTTCCAGAACAAGTACTGTCTCAAAGGTGGTGTGACCCATTAACAGCCAGGAAGAAACAACTTGAAGCCTTAAAACATTGTGGTAAATAGCATCACTTCCTTCAGATCAAAGTCTAGGGTCTTCTGTCTAGACAAAAAGAATCACTCAGGGAATTCAAATGTAGAAAAGACAATATTTCCATGCAGTCACCAGACCTGTCCTGCTCTCTCCACCTACATGTAAGACCCATAGTTTAAGCAAATGCTAAATAACGTCCAGCATTCAGTAGTGAACAAAATACATCTCTGAGAATATGTAGAAAAAGTAAGCTGGGGAAAAGTGTTCACATCAACAGAGTACATTTGCAGAGCTTTAGGACAGCAAGTTTTCATTTGAAATACTGCAGCCTCTGTTGAAAGTTTGACTAATATAGTCCAGGGAAGCATCCTGTCAATTGTGCCAGGCTGTGTTTGAATTTGATTCTTTGGCTTTACACTGCTGCACTGAGCAGTTCAGTAAACAGACCCACACACTGGAGGCGCAGCCAAGACTAAATGGACCTCAATGTCATGCTATAAAATTGTGTTGCTGCTCTGCTTAAATGTATTTGTAGTATTAAAAGTAAACAGTGAGGACCCGGGTTAGTTTATGCCTTCAAAACAGGCATTTTGACAGCTCAGAAGCAAGGAAGTGCTTCTGTGTGGAACCACAAATGAACCAACCTACGTACGATTTATCCTCATGTAATCTCCTCACTGACTATCCTACTTACTTTCTGTTGCCATTTTTAAATTCATCAACACTCACTGTGACTCAGCAGTGTGCATGACACACACAGTACTGCTCGAACGTTAGGAAATTAATTGACGACTACTTTTATAATTTAAGTTATATATAATGTACAAATCTTTAACATAATTTGAATCAAAATTTTGACATGATTATGAATTGAATTGGATTTAGTTTTGGACAGTTTTTGTTGACAATTTTTGATAATGAAAATAAAATGATTATTCAGGGATGAACGTAACAGATTTTGGGTATAAGCTATGGTAAAGATTAGCATTAAATGTACCTTAAATAATCACTGATTTACAGGACCAGTGTGTTGGATCTAGCAGTGAAGACTTACTAAGACTTACCAAATGTTACACTCTGGACATTTAATGCATCACCAGCCATAGCAAAGTTAAGCTAAGAAACCCAAATCAAACACAATGTTGCGTAGAATACTAAGTGTGCTCATGTTGGACCTTCCAGCAGTGACTTCCACATTTACTGAGGAATATATATACCTGGGAAGGAGTGTGTGAGACTTTCTGCTGATTGTTAAAAATGTGTGACTGCAGAACCTCATTCAGCTCAAAGCACTTTGAATTTGAGGGGTGCAGCGGGACAAGAGAGGTTTGCACTGACATTAAACGAGCAGAGACAAACTCATTGATGTGTGTAACTCTGTTAATAGCCTATGTTACAAATATGTTTTCATGGCAGGCTTAACACACACATGGATGTACAGTATATAACGTCTCCAGATGGTCTCTAGCCGCTCACAAAGAACAGAAACGCTTGCAGACAACAAAATACGAAATCGTCACTGTAGTGAAGCATTGTACTGCAGCTGGTTGGGAGGATGTGACCACTGTGGTGCATCAGGTTTGGGGGTGTGTGTGCTTATGTTTCTGAACGCACACATGCATGGATGGCTTGTGGATGGCAAACTCTTTACAGTATATTTCAGCTGCATCTGAAAATCCACATCAAAAGCTTTTAATAGGCGAAACAATAAGGAGGGCACTGATTGGTTGATCCCTGAATTGAGTGACAAACTATTATAAAACACTAAACGAAAATGTCCTTTGTCACAGTTAACAATAAAAAGCCCAGTTCAGACCAAAGATTCACAGCCAGACAAGCTGAATCTAGCAACTATTTGTGAAACCCAGTTTACACCAATGCAACTAGAGGAGACAGTGTATCATCTCCATAGCAACAACTCTCTGTACTTCTGTTCTAACTGCCCGTTTTTCTGGCTTATTTAATTATTTATTTATTTTTGTAGCTAAAATATAATATAAGTATAGTGAGTTCCTTGCTACAGTTGCAATTTATTGATAAAACGATAAAAAAAAAAAAAACTCAATAAAATGAGAGGACCAGCTGACGGTTTGTAACGGCCTTGATCAGGTGACTAACAAACAAACAAGCTGATTGGCTGTTGACACAGGTGACATGCCTTACGTTCCAAAACCAGCCGCGCGAGATGAATTGTATACAACAACATCAGCCGGCTTGAGTTGAGCTGAGACAACCAACAATCGTCTTGTTTTGAATCTTTGGTCTGATTTGGGCTGGATAGTCAATAGAAACAACAAGTATTTTGTAACACTGGAAAAATATGGAATGACTTGGAATATTAGCTTTATTTTGGTTACATAAAACATACTCAGTTTGTAAAGTTTTTTGGACATTTTTGAAGGTTATCATTGGTTTCCATTTTTGTTTTTACCATTAACTACCATGAGCATCTCCGAAATAGGACTGGTTACAACTGCTGTCCTCCTCAAACAAATAAAGCTTTTTAAAGCCACCTTTCAAGCCTACACAGCAGGGTAAGTGTTTAATTTTCACAGCACATATTTTCAGAGCAGTGCCCTTTTAGTTATGTTTGTGTCTTTCTTTTTTCTTGGCAAAACTAGTAAGACCCAGTTTGCTACACCCATGGATGTATGGCTGCAACTAAAAAACGTTTGCAAAGATAAGAGCTAGTATGGAAGAAAGGAGAAGAGTTTGAGACAGACTGGTACCTGGAGGTGGTTGAGCGCGGTCCACACTGCAAGAAGTAGGGAGACGAAACTGAATCCCTGCAAGGAGCAAGCAACACCAGTTAGAAAGGACAGATGCAGGTATCCAACTCATTAATGCAAACCTACAGTTAATCATACCTACCACAACTAACTCCAACGGGGTCTAAAGCTCATTAAAATTATTTACAGGATTTTTTTTTTCTCTTTGCTTATCCAATTCAGCCAGTAAGAGACATGGAGAGAGAAACACAGATATGCTCAGTTTACAGTGTTTCACATTCACATTAATGTTACTGAATATACTGCATGTACTGAATGTGCAGAGCATTAACAGTATGGTGCAGAGCTGAAGAAGTGCTTTTGCCTGTAATGATTTCATATGAGTGAGTTACTTTTACAGTCCTACTGTAACAAACTCAAACACTGCATCAGTGCTTCACCACTAAAAAAAAATCAGGGGGGAAATGCTTATTTCTGGGTAACACTCATTATTCAGCATTTGCTGTGTTTCTGTCTCAAAATGCAGGAGGGCAATGCTCATAGGCAACAATTCTTCAGGAAGTGCCTCAACCTTGTTTGTGTGTCTGATAATAGGGTTCCTGTTGGCAGGGACATATGAATACGTAAACAATATTTTTATATTTGCTTCTGTTGCAAGTGCCAATATTGTCCCAAAACATTGTATAGCATATAAAACTAAAAACAAAATCAAAGCATGATCCAGTCTGGACCAGGCTGGGAAATAAAATCAGCTTTATCATCTTTGGCAAAAATAAAGGCTAAAGCCTTTGAACAATCATTGTTTTTTTATGGTTGTTTTGAATTTTGCCCATCTGCATTGCCCTATCATGTGACTATGGCTAAGTAAGTAATGCACTAAAACATTCAGCATGAGATAACATGCATCATCTGAATCTGAAAACAGACAGCTACACCTTATCATATTATATATACATATAAGACACAGAGCAGAAATAATTAAAACAAATATGAAAAGCAAGTCAAAGTTTTAAAATTCAGGATCTAATAAAACCAGTTTAAATTATTCCAGTCAATGGTTTTAAATTGCGAGATAATCTTTTTCTGATCTTTGTATATTAAATAGAGAAATATTCCAATATTAAACTTTGTTAGCAGTACAGTGTGTCTCATGAAAGAGACACAGGACATTGCAATTTCTGGAGTATAAGGCCAACAAAAAATGTCACGTACAGACAAGGACTTGGAAGAAGGGACAAAGACAATCCTTATAATCAACTATTATTAGCCTCTCCAAAACTGTAGGAAAATGCAACAAACATGGGCTTGAATTGGAAATTTTCAGTCTCTGTCAAGTGGCATTTTTGTAGAGCTAACTGAAATGAGGTTTAGACAGCAGGGAAACAATCAGACAAAATCAGACAAAATGTGCTGAGAGCCAGACAAAGAACATGTTTTTAAACTGAAAAACAACAACAATCTGTTTTTCTCTCTTTTTATAAAAATATCTGGACTGCCTCTGATAATGCAACAAAATAGTGTATTGAAAAGTGTTGCATGCTGTACTGCAGCATGTAGAGCTTCCTGAAGTTTCACTTTTCACATTCCCATTTGTCAAATCTTACACTGAATGGGTATTAACATCCTACTTTTCTGCCATTAAATCCCTTTGTATTTGGTGAGGTCAAGCCATACTTTACATGAAGTGCAAGTACATGGCTGCACTTATAAGTACAATACAGTTAATTACTGGAAAATGTCATTCTAATCATTTATCATGTTCACTCTTTCGTTCAAGATTGATTATGTAGGTACTAAAAAAACTATGGTACTTACATGGACTCGATGTAAAGTGTGACCTAATATCATTCCGTAATAGTTTTGGTGCAGAGAATATGTAACAGACCTTCACTCTCATGCTTTTTTTTCAACAAGGCCCCTCAAACCTTTGTGCTCCTTTGTGGTCAACACTTAAATTTCAGAAAAGTTCTGACAGCGTCTCGTCTCCGTCCGAACTCCCTCCATTTGTGCCAGAGGCCGTTCTTGCCATAGTTGTGGACTCAGACTGGCAAAGAGGCTGGTGAGATGCTGTTCTTACTCAGGTCAGGGTAGATTGTGGCTTAATGACGTGCAATGACTGACGAGCTGCGTATATGAGCATGGGGGCTGAAGATGTAACAAAGTGAATGTGAAGTCTCTGGTCTTAATGTAACACTTTGTTTTTCACGACTCCAGACTGTATTAACCATGAAATCAGAGTTACTATCTAGCTTCACTCCCTTTTTAGTATAGGAACAATATATATTTATTTTATCTGTGTAATTATATTGCGAAATTGGTGTAGTCCAAAGCCTACAAATAACAGCCTACAGCTTTATTTAGTTGCAATATAATCATTATCTCTCTTTAACAATTTTCTGTACTGTCTGTACAGCAGTGAGTGCATAGTGTGTATGGACACTCATACAAGTTTAAAACTGCTTCTATTTTACATGATTGCATAAATGTAGCATGTATCCTACTCAAAATCCTTTTCATGAAGCCAATGTAGCTTGTTTATTGCTGAGCACATCACAACATCCTAAATGTAAAAAAAAAACTAAGAATACACTACATGATTTCATCTAGTGACATACAGTTGATGATAACTGCAGATATTACACTAAAAATGTCTATTCAATGATGGACTCTAGGATGAAGTGCAAACTAAATCTTACTTGTGTACTGAAATAGACTGAAATGTTTTCTTTTGAACATTTTTTGTTCAAAGAAATCCCTCTAAATCTGTATTTTCCTACTCACATACATGACATCTCTTTAGTGTGTGCATAAAAGACACATATTGCCACAGGCAAAATGAATTACTGTGTTTATCAAATCGGAACATCGTGCTTTGCAAAAAGAGCATTGACTTAATGGAAATGATTCCTTTTTTTCTATCAGTATTACTACATCTGGGTCAGATGATCTGACTGAACCATTGTGAAGATATTTCCTCAGGCCTAGGGTTGAGCTTGAGTATGGCACTAGTGGTTTGCATGATGGACGAGTGGATGGATCGATAAATGGATGATTGGATGAATGATTTGACATAGGACGACTAGCAGGATTTAAGGGTGTGTATATAGCTCAATAATTCCATCTGATTCTGCTGGATTTACAAAATTGAGAGAGTAGATTTTTGTACCCTTTTTTTTCAAGAGCTGTACAATAAAACAAGCATGTTGTTCATAGCCACATACATATATACATACAGTGGTGATGCCCCCATGGATGCAAGGTGGATTAACCTTTTATGTATGATATATCACAACAAACCAATACAAATCAATTGCCTGAAAGTATAATTTCAACAAACTCTCTTTTCATTGCCTTTACCCCAGTGATGAATTAGTGGTTAGTGTCCAAAATTAATCCGCAAAACTATTAACCTTCACCAGCCTTCACAGATAAAAAAAAAGTAACTTTTAAAAGAGCAAACCCTAGAAGCCGTAAAGGTCATTGTAATCTATAATCAAAAGTGTTTGACAAAACAAAGAACATATGGACCATTTTGCTGTTTTTATAGCCATGCCAGTAGTTGGGTTTTGTTGTTGACATCAAACAATCAATTGCCCTTTTGAATAATTGAGTCTACAGAGCAAATTTTATTTTAAGCTATCTGTTAAATATTTTGTGTATACAAAGATGACATTCCGGTCTGAGGGTAGCGCTAGAATAACACTCTGTCCGAAATGTAAACAGTTCATTCAATTGGGGACTGTGCTTGTGGTCAGAAAATTCCCATTTCATGTGTACACATGAATAATTTAGCCTGATAGTGGCCCTAGAGGAAAGGTCATGAGTTCACCAAAAACCTAAGGATTTATCCTTCGGGATCTGAATCTCAATAGATCCATAATATCTTTAATTTGTTGCTTTGAACTAAAGTGTTGGCCAAAAAAAGCAACTGACAGACCATGGGATATCACCATTCATGGGTTCTGCTGCTAGCAGGGCAGTTAAAGTGGGTTTGCTACAGTACAGCAGTGGCAGCTAAATACATATTCTGCCACCAATCCAATATATGTGACTAAAAGTATGGTACAGTTTGCAAGATGCTGACAGCATAAAAATGTTCCACTTGTCAATGGAAATAACACTTTCCAATATGCCAAAATCAGAAACCATGTGATAATTCCACCACCCACCACCTTTAAAATTAAGTTTGAGTATCTATCTTTACCTGAAAACTAATGTTAGAAGGATAAGCAGAATTAAAAATGCCACCAGTGTCAAAATCACAACTATTGGAAGTAACTGAGCTGTCTACAGATCTGAAATGGTCTTTTTATACATCAGCAAATGTAAATATGAAAAGCAGATTGATGATATCATCTAAAAGCAGCATTGATTTGTGGTGGTTTGTAGAACAAAGCTGTTACGTTGGTCATAACCTGCCTTGCTGGATGCCAGGATATTTAAAATAAAGACACACTACTGTGTGCTGATTTTATTCCCCTCTGTACACTTAAAGAAAATGTTTACAATGGTTAAAGCAAGAGGGTGAATCACTACTAATACCAATGAATTTGAACAGAACTGTAATATTAAACCATAAAAAATAAAAACAAACCAAATAAATCATTTTATGGATTGTGTTAAAGACTCCATGCACATCTCAGTTAAGGTATGTTTTAGTTGTGCAGAAGAGATTTTAAATGAAACCGTTACTCTTGTGTGTCACTCTGTTCAGATGCATTAGATATTGTACAGAAAATGCCTGTGTGCTAACACAAGGCCAACATGTGTGACAGGAGTCAACAGTTTTGTTAGTTTTGTTCTTTTGGTTTGTTGAACTCATTATCCAGTTGTATTACTTTACATGATCTTGAAGATTCCACTGGATTCAATGTGTAAACAGATGAAAACATTTAAATGTATTATACATACTTGTGAGTATGACAGCATTTTTCAACTTATGATATATCTTATTTTAGTGGAAAATGTCAATGAGTCAGACAAAATGTATGAAAAACAGTATTAACAACATATAAAAAAAGATATAATAAAGCGGGTCCCTACCAGACCTACCGTACTCTCTACGCCCCCCAGCTAAGCTACGGGCGCCTAAAATTGGTGGAAAAAAAGAAAAAGGAAAAGAAAAGAAACAAACAAAAGGTGATAGCTTAGTAGAAAAGCAATGCATATTGAGTGGGTCAAAGTAAAGACACTGTGCCTGGCCCATGCTGTGTGCATTCGTGATGTGTTAAAGTGTGTAGGCTACTGACTATGGACACAAAAAATATGAATAATGCTATAAGTCAGTTTCATCTTTGGATGCCATTGTAAAGCTATGACCCCCATTTTGCCATTTAAATTACCATAAACATAAACATCATAAACATTTTAATCCATTGTTTTATATCAATTTATGAAAAATACATAAGGCCAATAAAAGTTGTAAATAAAAGTTCACAAGTAACACCACAATAAGCAAAAAAAAAGAAAACAAAACAAAAGTATCACATACTGGTTTCATTCGTTTAACAAAATAAGCATAAGCTAACAAATGCAGGCTAAACTATGATTCTCAAAAGGATGCTTTATAACTTTGACAAAATCTGATTCACTAAACAATGCAGTCTGAGATCCCTGAAAATTGCAACATGATTTATGCAAAACAGAGTTGCATGTTTTCTCCAAGAAACCTTAAATAAATGCAGGAAGAGAACACAGGGGTAGAAAAGGATTTATATTCAAGCAGTGTTACAGGTTCAGGTGAGATCAGATTCCATCCAAAAACCTTGGTCATAATAGCTGGACGTCACAGAGTTGGCACAGTTGTTGCATCAGATCTCTGGATGACAACAAAATGTAAACAAAAACTAATGGGGTAATTGACTACATACTGAAACATATTAGACAATTCAGTTTTTCTTTTACAAATAATTATATATTTCATTACACAAAATATGGTTGCATGGTTAAAAAATAATTGTAAATACCCTCTGTCTATTTCTTCTTCAGTCTCTTAAATGTACATCTTTCATGTATATATTTTTAAAATAATATTTAGATCAATATCTGTATTCTTGCTACATTTCAACTTGTTTTAAGGGAAGGGTAATTTCTTTGGGCTAAATGATGAAATGATAATGAAGCACTGAATTAAACCTATTTATACTGTAGCATGGGTGAGTTCCCTGGCATCAATCTAATCACCAATTTGCAGTTCAATTGGATATAAATTTGGAAGAATGTTAAGCATTTATACATCATTTCCAATTATATTATCAAAGGCTTTGTTTCATAATTTTTGCTGTAGTCAGTAAATGAACTGTCAATATGTGATGCGCTTATGATTGTTCATTTCTTTTGTATACGACGTCACAAAGCACATGGATGCTACTACTGAGCAGGAATCTAAAGAGTCTCACCAACAAACTGTTTGATTCTAGTACTATATAAAAGCTAAAATGGCGAAATGTGAATGAAACAACTGTTTTACAGAAAACACTAAAACAAACTTTAGTATGGCCTGTGGCTCATGCAAAGATAACTAAATAAAATCTATATTTTTTTAAAAGAGCCACCATTATTTTCTGAAAACATCATTCCATTCCCGGCATTGATGACTTGCATGAAGGCTTAACATAAACACCTAATATCTATAATTGCAAATATTTAGATGACATATAAGTACAACAAAGGACTTGCATAGAATGAATGAATGTAGATTGGAGACATCATGATTGACCAGTCTTCAGCACCTTTAAATTAGTTTGCATTCCCAAACAATGGGAAAGAATGTAAGTAAGGAATGCCACTGCAATCCCCTCTTAATCATTCGAAAAGCAAAAATATGAATACAAGCTTTTCCAAAGCTTTTATTTTTTTAACATATACTATATATATATATCTGTATATTAAAATGGTTATAGGCTAAATGTTGTCACAGTCATATGCCTTTCACTGAAATCATTTATGATTTATGCTAACCGAGCATTTGGCCGGTCTGTAATGAAAAAACTCAAAATTCTTTTGTTTGGGTTCATAACAACAATAAGTAGGTTATGAGCTTAAAAGAAATTGTATTACGTATTGCAAATAGTAGAGAATGGCAAAATACATATGAGCTTATTCCTTACCTATTATTCTTTCTACCAAAACCTCAAGTTCCGGGTTGCTGCCAAAAATTACCAGCAAAACATGCCTTAATAAAGTGATTTTCCAAGGCAAAAGAATAATTTAGCTAGGCATTTAAGCTCATGGTTGAATGAGTTACTGTAACAGGTGTGTGGGCGGAGCTACTGCAATAACTCGAAAAGGAAATGTCTGCTTTTTTTTTCTTTTGTGGCTTCAACTTTAATTTTGATCTTACCTCTAGTACAACCTTAATATAAATATCATCTTTTCAAAATGCCACTTTTTCTGCAAGTATTGTCTTTTGGTCGTGCAAAGGGGGAAGAAGATCCACTCTCTTTATAAAGTGAGAGATGATGCCTCTCCTTTATTAAAAGTCCTTTTGAAAGGTTCACATTTCAGTCAGGGGTCTGATACATACAGGCTTCCCATGGTCCTGTGCTGCAGTGATCGTCCAAAGATAAGTGCTTTCAAGCTTGGAGATGTTTGTTGTTGGCCTCAGTTCCATGGGCCTCAGTATTAACTTTGGTACGCCGTGTTGGGACAAGGGGACAATGGAGCAGATGAGTGGTTGAGGGGAATGCCAGTGGCAAATGACCAACTATTATTTTGTGAATAACAAAATGACTAAATGAGCAATTAGCCAAATATAGCAAATGATTGAGGGCTCCCACCCATTAAGGTTTGACAGGAGCCCAGCTAAGCCATCACTAGTGAGGCGGTGTTAGTACATTCAGTGGTACTATACTGCACCTCTGGGGACATGTCGGAGAGGTAGAGGCCCTCAGCGGCTCTGATTGTCTACTTATAGGGACCAATGTTTCTCTGTTATCTTTCAGCAGTGATGAACCACCCCAGTTTGAAAAAAATCCACCATTACTAGAGAAATGTGGCATTTAAAAAAGGTGAAGATGGTAGAATTTTGTTAAAATCTAATTGACCGAAACCGTAAATCCATTTGATAAACCTTTTCCTCTAAATAAAAAATGAATGGATAGGTAAGATGGTTAACCAAACATTTAAGGACCTCCAGTCACCACTGCATAAAAAACAATAGGCGAAACACTGGTATGAACTACCAACTTCCTTATGAGGTGCACAAACAGCTGGGTGATGAACAGGATGAAATAAATGGAGACAGACCTCGAAGACTGGAAAAAGTGCTGTGTTTGGTTTAGAACCACAATTACTACAATAACCCCTCTCAGCGCGGTCAGAAATCAGTATGTCTATAACTGCAAACAGTACAAGTATTGAATATAAGTTTCTCTATATACAAAATGGTACATTTATATACATATACAGAGTTTGAAAATGAATGCAGTTTGTGCAGGAATGAACTGAAGCCGATACATTCATACTTCATGATCACTGTGAATCCCCCTTTCTATTTCCCTCTCCACATGCTGTTGGACTTAGAAGTCAGTCACAAATGATTCAACGTAAACAATTTTAGCCAGGGACCAAGTCCACAAAGCCTTGAGACAGTGTCATCCATATAGTATTCCAGAGGATTAGGCTTTTACAAATTTTATGGGCATTATTAGTGTTTATTACTGTTTATTAAATTATTACAGTAATGTCTTTCTGCTGTGTGGTTCACCAGTTCACTAATGAGAAAACTTGAACTTCAAAGTTGGGAATTTTCAAATGCCCATTTCAACTGGAACTGGCTACAAAGTGGATGAAGGCCATGGTAAAGGAATGCTTTTATTAGAATAACTAAAAAGTAAATTATATATCAATATATTCATAAATAATGTACTCATCTTTTATGCATTCATTAAAAAACTAGGGTTTATAAAGTTATTCACAGTATTTTTTCAGTGTACTCAGGTGCTTAAGATAATGTTTCTACATGAAGAGAAACTGGAATGAACATGAGCTATTCAATTTCATTTGCAGAAACAGACCAACTTATGCCTCACTTCACAATGGCAGATTATTTAGTTTTATCATTAAATGACCCGCAGGTTTCTGATCATGTTTACTTGAATTAAGTTTTTCTCTGAAGTTGGGTGTTTAAGACAGCGGAGGGAACATGATGCTGCACTTGTTGGCACTTGAGGATCTGAACATCAGCCACATTCTCTCTCACATTCTTGTCACCTCATTCAGGTGTAAAACAACATCATTTTCTTTTATTCCATGGCTAAGCAAGACACTTGTTAAAAGATTGCTTGAACAACATTGTAACCTGTTCAAGAGATGACAGACTCTGTGTCTGCATAGAGTAAAGGGACATCTAACAACAGCACTGCCCTACCTTTCTTGGTAAAGGTCAAGTTTTTACCCTAGCTTCCTCATCTCATTTTACATAATGCGTAGAATGGGAATGATTAGAATGACATAGACAGATATGACATGGGCCCACTGGTGTACTTCCTGCTCCACAGTTCTAGACTGGCGCTTCTGTGGCCACCTGTGTGGCCACTTGTGTCTGGCTGCTTATAGGTCTTTTGCTTTTTGTTGATCTCCCATGGGAAGTCCTCTATTGGAAGTGGGCTGGCAGGGCTGCCTGACCCCTCTGGCGTGCTCTCAGGGGTTCCCTCTATAATCTCAATTCGGGGTGGGTCCATCAGATCTATAATGCTGAAGGGTGCTGGCTCTGGTTGGCACATCACTGACTTGTCCTCTGTATTCTGTCGAACGGACCAACTTGAACCTGCTTGAATTCCTATAGACACTCTGTCGTCTGTTTGTGTGGTGCTGTCGCTGCAAGGCTCCCGGCACAATGTCCACATGTTGTAGCACTGAGTAAAGTTGAAGAAGTTGCTGTTGAACGTCTTCAGTTCCCCACAGACATCTCTACGCAATTCTGCCAGCTCATACCGCATTGCTGAGATTTCATCCTTCCACTGCATGTTGAAGGCAGCAACCATGTTAGCAGACTCTTTAAAGGCCTGAATGGCCTGAGGGACTGGTGGCTCAGAAGTGGATATGGGTGAGGCAGAAGGGACCCTGTATGAAGGCGGGGATGCCGGTGGGACAGAGATGGCTGTTACGGTGGAGCTAGTACTGTGCTGGCTGCGAGCCGCAGCAGTCTCTCTCTCCAGCCTCTCCAGCTCCGCATAGGCAGAGGAGCTAGCACCGTCATCATCCTCTATCATGTCGTCATTTAGTAAAGAGGTCCCATCCACAACATCATATCCCTCTGGAAGAAAAATTTGAATATGCAAACAGAAGGACATTCAAAGTGAAAGGAACAGCTGGAGTGTGATTTGATTTGGATTCTGAACTAGAAAATAAACACATATCTATGGAAAACATACAGTATGTGAGTGGCAAGTAATTCAATCAATCCATTTGACCCAGTGATTTGCCATTTGGTTCTAAAGATTTAAATCAAGTGTGAACACCCATCAAGGACTGGTGTGCTGTTCAAATGTGACTACGTCCACTACGGCACCAGAGTTGTACAAAACCAGGAGGTAACTGAGTAGTGTCATAAAATCACAAAATTACAAATGTGAAGAAACCATCTGTCCATTTTTTATCAAGATCAGTATCACTATTTTGTTAGTAGAATTCATAACGACATGTTTTTGGAAGTTGATTATCATTAGTAAAAGTTTTTGGATCAATACCTTTTTATATCTTTCACTTTCTGTCGGGTTCAGGTATGGCTTTTTAGGAAAAATCCAAAGTGTTGTAGAGGGTCAGTACAGAATATACAGCACCTTTTTTGAAATATGCTCTTGAGTGCCTTAATTTAGCTAAGACAGTAATGATTGTCATTAAACTCACATACTGTAGGCTTTTCACAATGTTTTTACACTGCCTTCTCAGTCATCTCAAGGCTTCTTTCCATCTTTTCACTGCACAGCACAGCAAAGAGTGGAATTAAACATGAAATACATCAATCATTATCAAATCATGAATCCATTTTCTGAGAACCCTCTTCTCAAAACATATCAAAATGTTTCTCAGTGACTTCAAATTTGTGCCATTTTGTGCAAAAGAAAAGATGTAAAGGGAGTAGAAGAATCACAACCCACTGGGCCGAGAAGCAGATATGAACCCTATTGAACATATCAGGTCCAAGGTGGCTGATTAGACCATGTGGAGTAAGTAACCCGGTGAGGGGAGGGGTCACTCCCCCCTTCAGGGCTGCACCAGGGAGAGGCTGCAATCCCACAGTCAAAGACAGCTGACAGACTCAATGCCAAGGGTTAGACTATGCCACACGTGGCCTTTTTAAAAGAAGTCAGATTTTCATGGAAAGAAAAAATTAAGTTTACACATGTACAGCAGACAGATGCTGCTCTCACAAATGATTGGAGACAGTGGCAATGCGATAACATTCAGTGCTATTTTATGGTTACGATATGAAAACATTCCGAAAAGTTTGGGAATTACACCTCTCATACATTTACACTTACAATGTGGTCTAAGCACACTTAAAATAGAGACATGGTAAACAACTCACAAAAGCCAGCATCACATTTATCACTGTAATCAATATTCAGAGGTGTCAAGGTTTTTAAGAAAGTGCCTGAGGTTTTATGAGTTGTTTGGAACCGTGTTTGCTACTTAGGATAACATAATGAGATATTTCTACCAACTATATATAAATATAAACTCTATGTATCTATTATTTTTACTGAGAAGGCAGTGCAAAAACACACATATACATAGATATATGTATGCGTGTCGACATTAAAATACCTGCAACAATCATCACTGATGCCTCCAGTTGTTCTTTCCCCCTGGTTATCCTTCAAGAGATGGATGGTCAAATGGAGAGGGGTTTGCTGCTCGTCTGCCCTACGGAGCATCATGGGATCTCTTCCCCACTCAAGGGCCCACTAGCCTCACACGGGGTTTGGTTCATAAGCCGCTTACAATTCAGTTATAAACTAGTACTGAATATTACCATAAAAACATGATTCCAGGAATCAATGTTTTTCTTAGCCAAGATAGCCTGGATAAGTTACTTTATTTAATTTTTAGGCCACTATTCCCTCAAAACAGTGCAAAGAGTACACCAAAGGAGATATATTATTTACAGTATGGATTGACAGGGAGGTGACAGTAGTATATAACTAATCACCATCCAGGGAACCTTTTCTCTGGTTTGCTATAACCTTATCTGACATATTATAATTGATGCATCATGCCAATCTTCAAAATACAACTTCACAACATATTGTACAGTCAACTGCTTGTTTTAGTCCATATAGAGCTGACAGATTTGGAGCAGAAAGCTAAATCAATAGAGTTCAGCAAATAAGACAGTGGGATTGGAGAACACTCTTTTATCCTCAGTACTTCTGTCACATCGAAGAAATCGTAGATGGAAACCCAATTGAAGATGAAAGGATTCCAAAAACAAAAGTCCAGATTGCACAAGAAAACAAAGCCCACAAAATGAGTAAAAGTGCAAATGTCTCCAATATTAAATTGACAGAAAAGTGTACAAAAACAATAGAAATCCAGGTCATAATATTTAAAAATGCACGTAATTAAAGAAAAATGTTTCAATAGGGTTCATAGCTTTACTCTTGCAGGTAAACACCAAATGCACTTAGTGAGGGAGTTACTGCAAAGACTCTGCTTGCACAAAGAACCTGAAATGCTAATTTTAGGGATATATTGCTCGCACTGTGTCGCACAAAACCTTGAAGTCTCTATTAAAAAGCAGCATGTAGTACAAATAGATATGCGAGAGTCCATAAACTAAATGTGCTCTTCTCAGAGAATCCGTTTCAAAACATGTTAAGTTTGGTCCACTGACATATAGTAATTGTAGCTAACAAGCAAACAATGTAATATGACCAATACAATTAAGTTTGCTCAGTTGGAAGTGATTAAGAAACTTAAAGAAGTCCTATAATGAACTTAACATATCATTCATTAGCTATTTTGACTTAGGCCGCTGCTCAAAAGCTTGAGTTTCATGCAACACAATACAACAATACTGCAAGTAATCAAAGGTTGTACTTCTCAAACTGAATGAGAATCAGTGGACAGTTCCTTTGTGCAACCAGCACGTGTGTCTATGCAGGTGTTCTAGTCTCTAGAGGTTGTTGACTTACCTTAAATTGGTTACAAGATTGTTTTTTTTAATTTTATGAGGGCAATTACAAGGTCAGTTACAAAGCATATGCTAATGTGTGGTGCAACAGAGCAGGGGGAGGACAGGCGGAAGGCTTTTCCAGTGTATCGTCTTAATACAAATATGTCAGCAACCTACCGCTCCCCTACCCCTGGCCCGTTTTAGTCTTCACCCTTCCCTTAGTAACTCACACGCTTTGTACAACACATATATAACACCACAGTTTAACATGCTTAGGGTAGGACCTATTCCTCTAAGGCATGCCATGTAATGTGGCTGTGCTGTGTTGTGATATTGTGTACCGTGAGCGTGTGTTGCCATTAATGTGACCCTCCCACCTATATCCTAGTCTACAGCTTGGCAACACCACAAGTGACCAACCAGAAGCTTGGCTAATGATGCATGAATCGTGCAAAGTAACACACAAGCAAGTCCATCTAAACAATCGGGAGTATGCAGAGGCAAAAACAAACACACGCACACCATAGCTTCCAAAAAAAATAACTGGAATCATTCAGCCCGGCATCTCTGAAGCTCAAGGGTTCCCCACTGTACATATGTAGGTATGTCAAGTTTGTGCGCATGTATAGGATGTATGAGGATATGTGGTCTAAGCCCTCTCTCATTTAGGGGGGGGATTGTTTTACCTGTTGTGGATCTGAGAGTTGAAGTGACAGTGGAGGATGTCATTGAAGGCAAGCAGTCGTCATCTTGGGAATAACCAGCCTGAATAGCACGGAGGTAACTGTGGCTTCGAGTGCGGAACGAACCAGGCAGGTCCAAGGCCTCCATGGCCTGGGATTCTACTTCACTAAAAACGGACTCGCAAACTGACTCAAACTGGCCATTGATCTCAGTCTCACTCACCTGAGAGACAAAAACAGGAATAGCAGTCCTTAATTTTTCCTCTTCCTTTCTCTTTCTCACTTTGATTCTTCCCCTTTGCACAGCAAATATGAAGGAGTGTTAGCATAAGGAAATGCCACTGTCAATTCCGACCTTGAACTGAATAAATGTCAAGATCAAATGGAAAAAAAGGCAGATGACAACAAAAAACAATCAGAAAAAATTGTGTTATAAAGCATTCCATTCACCACATCCCCCAATACCCCCAAAATATGTACTGGACTGTATGTAACTACATGGAAAATGGGAAAAACAAACTGCAGTCTCAACTCTTTACCTTGTATCTCTAGCAACTCTCTTGGAAATATCCTTAATTCTTCTAGCTGACACGAGATGAATTCAGTTGTTCATATTAAGATCATGCAAGAAAATCATGTTACTATAAAAAGGACCTATATATATCCAATTCTGATCTGTCCTGTCATGTCCTCTCCTGTCCTCTGTCCACATAATCTCCTTTTCAGTGTTGAACAGACTAAATTATAATTCAAAAGAGAGCTGGGTTTCAATATTTTAACACATTTTACCATCATTATTATTATTATTGTTATTGTTATTGCTAAACTTTGTGTTAGCACCCGCAGGGGTAAGCTGATTGTACAACCCTTCTTCTGGACAAAATCTCTCTTCCTCTAGTTACTCCTTCTCCATATGGAGGCTTTCTGGCTGTGTCACAAATCTTCTGCAACCATGTCTTGTGCCACCATGGAGGTCCAAAACAGACTTGCACAATTGATCCAACTGTATAGACTCATAGCAGGGTATGAAAAAGGGAAAAATAAGAAACGGTTGGTGTGTAATGTTAGGTTAGACATTAAGTTGCTGCATCTCTATAGCCCTAGTCTCTACTTGTAGTTTTAGCAAAATAAGTTCCAGACAGCCTTTGGCCAAATCATGATACACTAATATGAAACTAATATCTTGGTTTTTTAGTTATGTGCAATTTCTTTATAGCACAAAACACTTCAAAACGACATCAACATTAAACTGTGTCTGGACCTGAGATAGCCTATTGGTTAAAGCATCAATTTCTTGTCTGAAACCGTATAAATATAAATATGCCTATTGACTTCATTTGTGACAGGCAAGGTTATTTCTACTAATCAGCTGTGGACCTCCAATATGGACACCTGTGGATATTTTATGTCTCTGTAATCCCCTCTACACAAAGCTACTACATACCTAACAATATAACATAATCTCTCATTCATGTCTCCAGTTGTTGCCTCTGTGGCATGCATGTGTCAGACTCACCTGGCTGACGCAGCTAGCCTGACTGAGGGTGCTGACAGCGCGCATGTAGCTCTGGTTGCGAGAGCGGAAGGGCGGGGGATGAAAGGCGGCAGGGTCCAGCGTGACACTAGGGTGGGGCCGCATATCTCTTGTGGTTTGCAAGTGGTAGCCCTGGCTGAACAAGGACAGTGGGGGTAGGGATAGATACGATTGCATAGTTCAAAAGCAATATATGGAACATCAATGGATAACAATGTAATTAAGAAATGTAATGGCTAGGGCTATGGGCATGGTGTGTCTTCTGTTTGGTATAATGATGACTGAGTATTTCTATCCAAAATGAATATGAGCCACTTGAATGACTCATCTCCTCACGACAGTATCTGAATGGCTGGGATCAACATTGAGCTATTTTAATGACTTGAGTTGTTAGCTTCTAGTCTAGCTCCAAGTGTCCTATGAGAAAACAGCCTTCCATCCCCAAAACTTTAGACAGCCTGTGTATGCCTTGTCTCTGGTTCTTATTAGATAAACAATGAGAGCTAGGAGCTGCAATAATAAGAGATTATTACATTCTCCACCAGAGGCTAAAAAACAAGAGGGCTGATTTGTTTGTGGACAAAAGTAGAAGTGATCAGAACCCCGCTGAGATGATGGTAACAAAAATAGCACAGAGCACTGAATGGCAGTAGGGATGACGGATGCATGAAGCCTCCCCAGGTTCACAGGATTGGGCTGTATCTGAAAGCCACACTGGCTTAAAACACACAGAGAACAATAAGCTGAGTAAAAACAAGCTGGGCAACAATACGTAGGAATGTGACGGTGAAGCAATGGCATCCTCCGGGTCACAAATGCACTTACTGGAATATTAGTTTGTGCTGGTTTACTAGGCAACAAATACACATCAGCACAGAGAGATGAGTAAGAAATGATTAAAGAGTAACTCAACACCCCCTGAAAATCTCCAGAGGTTTAACTTTTCACCTCGCTGCAGTGAAGTAGAGGTGGACTTCACAACCCAACACATTACTGTAGGGTGTGGTTACAGATCAAACAGACTTGAAACTGTTAGGAAAGTTATTCTTTAAGTGCACCTCAACCAAGTCTAATGACACTGTATTTTAGGCTTTTGAATAATTAATCCCTATTGTGGATACCAGTGCATGAACACATTTTTTGTATATTTACACTTGTTATTATTATTGATAAATACTGTCCACTTCATTTATATCAATGAGTGTAGAATAAATATTAGCGCCACAAACTATATCCTCCACAATGTTACATCAACACCTCTTTTACAGTTTCAACAAAAACTGAGCCTTGTAGCCTTAATGAAAGTAGGATTAATTACGAGAATGTTTTGTTAAATGAGATTATTTTTGGTTAGATGTACCTAATAAACTGTCCACTTATTTCCACGATTCCCTTTTTTTAATGCAAAACAAGACAAAAAATATTTCTGGGAATAAGCAATATACTTTGCTCTATTACCAATCAAACACATCTGTCCTACCTTCGGTTTTCATCATACAGTGTGCTTCAGCACAATAGTCAGTAACTTTAACTTATGCCCTTCCATGTGTCAACAATTCACCCAGCCATTAAGCCCAGATACATTTAAGCTTGCTCTCTTGAGTCTGACATTGTATAAATGTGACAGTTTTGCTACAGACAGTCAACAACACTGTGATAAGATAGGGCACATTGCCTGTGTAAGATGTTGGGCAAATATTGGAACTAGCAGACGGAAAAGGTCATAAACAAAAAACACATTTGGTACTGCAACATTCAGCAGAGCATTACTTTACCTGATGTCATGAAACAGTCGTGAATCGAATACTTAGCCAACAATGCTCAAGGGCAAGTTAATAATGTGGTTATAAAACAAGCTAACAAGTAAGTACAGGCCAGCTCTAAATAGCAGCTTAATACAATTGTCCAGGCATGCATTAAATGATGTAAAACAATAACAAGATCTTCTCCCATCATTTTGCCATGCAACCGCACTTGGAATCAGCAAATAATGTAAAACCTCTTCAAATCTCTCAGAGACAACTGAGCAAAAAAGCAGCCTCAGCAAACAACAGTTTTACTTGGACAGCATGTAGATGAAGCGGTGAGTCAGTGTTAGATGGTTCAGATTTATAGGAACAAAAGGGCTAAGGCTGTAAATTAAATCATTTATTGAAGGCAAGGTTTAGAACTTATACAAACCAACGTGAATGTTTTCTCTTGGAACTTTAAAATACTGAATATATTTATATCAGAGTGTTTGTTTCAGAGACTTATAACAGCACACAGTTAGCAGTAGAAGTGCACATCAGCTCTCAAATTCACATTCCAGTCATTCCCCAAAAGATAAAATTTTACTAAAATACTAGTTATTATATGAATACTAGCTATAGACATGTGTGGGTTAGTTTGCATACAATACTGAAATAGAGGTCTTGTTGCAGTACTGACATGCACTATCATTGCTCACTATAATTACTGGTGCTGATCAAAAGCTCGGATAATATTGATTTAGTATTGGTGATCACAAGTTTCCGACTATATAGAAGCTTGACGAAGCCAGCACCTGCGCCAACGTCCTGCATGACGGCTTTGCCACCATAATTGTGTGGGCATGGTTAAATGTACGACTCTGTGAAGCATAATCCTAACCATTTGTACTGATCTCATAGTACAGTCAGTCAGTGTACCATTTACCACTGTCTCTGTCCAGTAGTCCAATTACTTTCTCTTCAATGTCGAGAAGGCACACAGTGCAACACAGTCTAAGCGCTTCCATTTAATAATTAATAAGTCTAGAAAAAAGCTGTTCATTTTGTTGACCCTAAAGCAACCACCGATTCATTGATAATATATTTTAAAGAATGTCAGTTTCATGAGGTAAATTTCGAAACTGTTGAGGGTGAAATGCAGTGCATTCTTTTGACTTACTTTCTGCATACCCTCTGAGCAACCATTAATCCTTGAATGGTTTCATGAAAAGAGTTGGAATGAATTTAAATCAACACATAGCTTTGGCATCGACATATAGAGCGAGGCAGCCAGGCCTACCTTTGGGAGTCGAAATGGGGTCTCTGCATGGCTGATTTAAGGACGAGAGCATCAGGCCGAATGGCCTTCTGTGGGGAGGTTTTAGGGCTGGTGTCAGAGTCACCACTTTCATCATCCACCTCTCCCATAGCTTTGACATAGCTACTGCTGCGCATCCGGCGACATGGAATCTCTTCATCCTTCTCTCCTGGATATCCACTCCACTCATCTTGGGGCACCTGTGGGGTAGAACACACCTGTATTAAAAACTATATACACATTCATAAGGCCAGAATCTTTCTATGCAGACACTCTGGGGGCTGGACATTCAAACCATAGACCTTATTAACCTATTATTATTTAGTATTTTTATTTTCTTACAAAATTAATTTTTATTTTTTTATTATCAGTGTGAACAGACTCATGACTCAAAACACTAAAATCTATAATGATAAATAGATATTGACTGGAACATGCTCTCAGACATCCACCAAGGAGGCAGCTCACTGAGAAGTGATGGTTAAAGTCTGTAATTCCGGAAACTTAATTGCAGAATGTAGTCCTGATTGACAGGAAATGTTGATCAACTTTAACCGGTTTTATTATGCAGTTGCACCGTTATTGTGCATGTCACACCTGTGGTTTCTGGTGGTAAATGCGGTTTAATACGACAGGTCACAAAATTCTGGGGGCAGAAGATTTCTTGACAAAGACGTCGGGCAATAATTGGTCTTTCTCCATTGTTCAGTGCGCAATCATTATCTGATTTGATGCTGCACACGGCATGATTCTGTGAACAGCAAAAGTGAAAGTAGTTGGTTACCTCGCTGAGAAGTTGAGGTGTGCAGCCTTTTGCCTGCAGCTCTTCATCTAACAGCTCACTGTGGCTGCTCGTTCTTGTTCCATTACCCCCTGCAATATTTCACACTGATCTGCTGTCGAAAAATGACCGTGGTCTTGTTTTGTAGATACATTTTCAATTAACAATGTGGTCAGTGAGTGGCAAGTCCACTGACAAACACATGGCATTTCTTGTGATTACTACTTCATAATAAAAGTCAGCATGTGTTTTGCCAGTTATATGCTTTTAATGTGAAGCTTGTTTGCATTAGCAGTAACTTATACTGCATTTTTACAGGGATTTTGCCATAGATACACAGTTTCTAATACTGTAAATACACAATGAGGCCTAACCCAAACGAGTGTGATAACTATCAGAAAAATGGTCGAATAAGCTCTGGCTGTTTTCTCACTAAACAGAACAGCTTTTATTGCCTTTAATTGATCGTGACGGCTAGAGAGTAACAGGAAAGGGGTGGGAGGACAACAAGCAGCAAAGGGCCACAGGTTGGAGTCGAACCCATTGCCACTGCATCAAGGACTCTGCCTTGGTTGGTACACATGAGCTATCAGGGCGCCCCAAAAGTGACTTGACAACAAAAGAAGTAGCTGATGTTCTCTAGAGCCACAACTTGTGTGTGCACTTCAAGTGTTGTGAGCAAAGCATATATTCATATTGCTTTTACTAGTAATGCAGTCGCGAAACACACTACAGTTTAATTTTATCGTTATTACTTGAAATGGACACATTTTCCTTGTGTTTGGCAGGAATAATGAAACCCACAGACTTGGGAATAATTCTGAGATCTTTTGCCTGTCATTATTCTTGTCATTACTGCATCGGGCCCCTGGAGGGCTACAAAGAAGCTGCTTCATTGTGCTTTGTCCATAGTTTTGAAAAATTCAAAAACATTCTCTGTTTCTCTCCATGGTGCTGAAACATTCAGATGTGGTCTCGATTATGCTGTGTCTGAAATCATTGTACAAATTCTGAATGCGTAAAAATGTGTGCAGTTTTTCAGAACTTAAACCAAAGCATGTGCATGTATTTTCTTCCTGTCACAGTTGCACATGTTGAAGCCTGTCAGTGGCAGTACATCAATAGAGTGCTTATCATGCAGGAAATCTATTTTCTTGAGGAAATGTAATCTTTTTCTCATTGATTGTTGGCTAGATAAGTGTGAAAATTGTATTGGATAAGCAGTTGGATAAACCCTAGCTGAATGGTTACAGTGTTAGAACTAAACAAAGTACCAGGTAAGATAGGGCAATAGAGACACCTGTCAGTGTTTTACTGTGATGATGTTTTCACAAATAAAAGCAATTTAAAAAAAAAATTGGAACCACATCAATCGTGTATAAAAAGAAAGTTGTGTTGCACAGCTTCAAAATTCATGGTTGATATTATAACAGGTTTAACATGAAAAGTGAAGCATTTTTAAACTGTGTGGCCTAAACACTTTTTACTATAGGATCAGTTGTTTTCTGTAACTTAATTCTTGCACTTTGGGGTCATATTCTAGTTTGAGTTGTGTATTTGGCTCTATGCTGGCTTCCTCTGGCTTCCATTTAAGGTTGTCTGTCTATTCTTTGTATATTCTTTGTATCTTTATATTATCTTTACTAGGTTTCTCTTTTAATCACATAATGTATCAATTACAGTATATGTTGCAATACAATAATCCAATATAAAGCAAATACAAATATCTATGTAACTGAAAATGGAAAACAAAGTAATACAAAGTAATTTTTTGTAAAGCAGGAATTAAACCTACACTGTGTTTATTCACAGTAGTATTATGTTTCACAGACAGAAGTCTCAGCTTTTAGACCACATATGTAGTAAGATTACAGTAACACATACACCATCATTTATTTAATAAATAGGCACAGGAATTTAAAGTAGTTATTTACTAAAGAAATCAAGGACACTAGCACTAACTTTGTACAAAGCAGCTGTCTAACTCTACAGTGACGACAAATCTGCAGACTCACTTGCTAACCGCAGACGAGCGGAGAAACGTCGACTATACAACCTCGTCTGACAGCTACTATTCAGCACACTCAGCTTCAGCAGTCCCCTTGCCAGAAGCTCGGATAAGATAGCAAGATTTATAGGCAAGGATATGCAGATATGCAAAATTTTCACATTCATTGGAACAAATTGTGTATCATTTCAAATTAGTTTGCCCTGATTTTTTTGAAAAAGTGACAGCCCTAGCATACTCTGATTAACCTAACTGTTAATGATGTACTGTAAGTCCTACAGACAAATTTCCCTCCTTTTCACTTTCTTTTCCATCCTTTTCAAACTGCAGTCATGTTGCTCCTGTGGTAAAAGTGGAATGGTTGCAGCCATTTGAGCCATTCTGCCTCTTTGCATCAAAAGTGGATTTTTTTTCACGGTTGCAGACTTGTTCAACTGTGCAAACACAACTTCTGTCTTTTAAATAATTCAACCACCTTCTTGAAAAGTTTGCTGTTGTTTGTGCGTGTCCAAAAACCTGTTGATGTCCAAGTCTTTCATAATGTTTAAAAGTAGGTGTGTTTCCCCTTCTGACCAGAAATGTTGGCTTTTCTTTTGTGCATGCCTCTCTACTCCAGCCTTGCGAACTGTTGGCTAGTTGGTTTGTTTACATTGCTCAGAGCTGACTGTAAACAGGCAAGAGGCCGTGTGTTGCAACTAGGTAAAAACCCAAAATGAGACTGGCTGTACACTTGTCTAAGGAATGCTCCTAAATTCAAAGTAATATTGGCATATTGCATGTCTTAAATGGTAAATATTCCATTCAGAAAAAGGCATTTTTAGGAATATTCAAACAAAATATGCTGTTTACATGACCCTTATCAAATGCAGAATATTGTCCTATTCTGAGTGTGCATGTAAACATAGTCAGTAATTAAAGTTCATTAAAGCTCCTTCATTTGCTGTTCTAATCACCTTTTGTTAGCTAGGTCTTTCTCTGTAAAATCCTCTGCTGCACTAAGAGCCGTGGGTTTTACACTTCCGACAGCAACAACAGCGGTTTGTCTGGAATAAACACAAAAACTGGGTAGCCACTGTATATTAGCCTGACGCTGCCTGGAAGTGTGTGGGAGAGTGTAAGTGAGGGCTCTGTCCCATCTGTATTCTTTCGACTAGTGGGTGGTAATAACAAGGAGCACTGCATCCTGTGAGGGAATTGGTCATGTACTGTGGATATTTAATATACACAGAGAAATGCATTGATAGAACTGTGGGTTATAAGCAGGACCTTAGCAGCTAGGCGTATGTGGGCTGTAATGTAATGGGCTGTAATGGGTTTCCCCCAGATGTTGAGGTTTAGACTGTGCACAGTAGAGTGCTGCATCAAAAGTAACCCCATTACTTTTACAGGTTCATTTAAGGCAACTTCATTCACTTCTGAAAAATGACTTCTTTCTTCAGATTTTATATTTTTAATATATTGTCGCAGAACTTGTAATTCTAATCAATATCAAGTTTTCTACTTTTACCAATTGCAGTATGTCAGCATTTCAACAGCTATATTACATTAAGTCCACAATCTATCCTCCCATTCATTAGTTTTAATAGAGTCCATGTTTGTGGTTTGGAAGAAAATTATTCTAAAGTACTGGGTGAGATTCATCAGCACATTTCTAGAAGGAGCTCAAATACTACTTTACATCTGCAGGATCATCAGACCAGTTAAATGGGAAGGGTAAAACAACCTTTGAGAATAGCACTCATATAGCAAATCAAAACATGAGCATGCTTAATTCAAGGATTTGTAGAAAAGGATTAATAGAATTTGCCTCACACTCTTGGCGATGATGCAGTTTTTGTACTTTTATGCTTGCGCAGCAAAGGCTGCCAATCATACCCCTGAGGCTGTAACTTTTTAAATCAGCACACTATCATTAATGGCACGGCATTACTGTTAATACCAAAAAAAACACATGAGCTCTTAAATTAGCTTTGACTGACAACCAAAGGGGCATAGCATATGGTTTTTCACATACTGTGCCTTAAAAATCAATTCCAATATTCTGATTAAAAACTACATAAATCATCAACATTCAAATATGCATATGGGATCACAACCATGATATCATGCAGTATAAATAGCTTTTCGTGTTTATAGTTCTAATAAGTGTACAGAGTGACTGCTCTTAACATTACAGCATCAGGATTAACATAGTGATTAAGTGATTGTGTGCTAATTACTGTACACTGTATCGTGTTCTGCTGCAAATGTGTACACATAACCAAGTGCTCATGTACTGAAAACCAGTGGGTTTTAATTAGATTTTGATGTGATGGAAATCAAGGTAGAGTGCATCCAGTTTAACTTGCAATTACCCTCAGGATTATTGATTGTCATATTGAATATACTGCTTACATTTGATCTCACCTGAT